TGTTGTTAATGATCTGTCTTACTGGTACAGAATACAATTGTTGTAGTATCAGATAGCTCTCATAACTTAATCCAAGTAATGAAAAATATACGAACTTTCATACTTCAATAAGATTGATCAAGACTGTGATAAAAAATTCATTACCTAATATCATATGTGTATTCCGCATTCCATAAGACAAAATTAGCAACAATGAAAGGTGCAGTCAATGTACTAACCAGCACAATAGATCAGACTGGTCCATGGATAATTTCAAGGTCTCTTTCTCTTTATCAATCAATCACGTGACTCGGGTATATCTAATACCCAAAAGCTTCAAGAAAATGTGCCCCAATGCAAAGAAAAGAACCTTCAGCTATCAGCCATGTCCTTGCTTTGCCTTTTGCCCACGACGACCCAAGAAAGTGCAATGAAATTGTAGGCCAAGAGTCTTAAACTTACACAATAGGAAATGCAACACTTCTCTGAAATATTTTGTTACATAGTATATATGGACAGAAATATATCCCAGGTACAGTAATTCGTCTCAATAGCGAATGTTAAATGGTAGCAGTCAATAAATAGACTTAAGTTGTCAGCTATCCGATATTAATCATCTTAGTACAGCTTTTATATATCTATATAGCGCTTTAAATTCACGTTGTATGAAACAGGACCGTCTATCATTACTAATTATGATCTGAATGTAATTCTATTTAGAAAGAAACACTGGCAATTTTTACAATATTCTAAATGTCATCACTGTTCAAATGAGAAGATTGTTTGCCAATTTGAATTGTTTGGTCGATAGACTCGAGTAGATTTTGAGATTTGTTGCGAAATTCTACAGGAACAGTATTTAACGAGCAGTTTTTCCTTACCGAGTCCTAAATATCTTTTAATCCAAAATAGCTCCCTACCGTACCTCGATGGTTCGTCAAATATCGGGGCAGATAAAGTCAAATGGTTCTTACGGTTGCAACATAAATTAAATTATCATATTATTAAATCGAAACGGTCCTGGATAACTATCTAAGTGCATATAGTTTCCGATATTGAAAGTTGCGGTCACATTCAAGAAATCGAAATAAATATAAGGTATATTCTTCCAAAAATAAACTGTGAAAGCTTTTTATCAAGTATTCCTTGATTGTTTTTTTGGTAAGAGACTAAATGAAGTAGCTAGAGAAACATTTTTAACTTTTCCGACGGTTATCGGTTTAGAAATTAGCTTTTATTTTTTTTTTTGAAAATTTTATTTCCTCATGTCTTAGTCAACATCAAATCATTACTTGGGTTTAATTTGTAAGATCAATAGTGCTAGTAGTTGTAAGATCTCTTCCGCTTTCTCTTACAAGTTGAGGGCTTAGTAGCTGTCGACGAAGAACCGCTGCTGGTTGTTTGCGTTGCACTTGCGGTGCTCGTAGTGAGGGAGCTGTTGCCACAATTGTCGAATGCAGCAGCTAAAGAGTTGACAATAACTGCCTTCAATGTGTCAAGCGTTAAAAATTCTTTGATTAATGATGGAATCAAACCCGACTGTGCGATTGCGCTAATCAACTCAGACAAAGTGATGGCTTTCGAGCTGAACAACTGCTGTACCAAGTTGGCACCCCATTTCAAGAAGCTTGAATCTGTGATTAACTCGGTCACAACTTGTACAGCCAAGTTGGAATTCTTTAATGATTCCAATACGTTTTCAAGGATAGTATTATCATCGTCAGCCCTTCTGTATACAGTGACATCACGAGCAGCTTTTTTCATTGCAACTTCTTGCTCATATATTTCAATATCTCTTTTACTGGAACCAGTTAGTTTATCATGGATTAATTCACCTAAATCGGCGATCTTTTCTCCAACAATCTTGAAGATCTCAGCATAAAATTCACAGTCATTAATAAGAGCCTCCACGACTTGAGCTGCCAATCCAGAATCATTTAAAGCAGTGAATAAAGTGGTGATGTCAATTGCACCACTTTTGATGAGATTAACTGTTACTTTAGTAATAATTGGGCCAATTGTGCTATCTGAAACAAGAAAATCAATAATCTTTGGTGCTAAGTCAGTGCTTTCGATAACTTTCAAAATCTCTGTTAGTGTTTCATATTCTCTTGCGGCAAGCTCCAGAGGGGACAACAGATCTCTCTTAGCAGCAAGTGTATTTAATGAAAGCGAAAGGCTATTCAATTGCTCAACTTCTCTCTTTGTTAATTTAGTCGTCTTCACTTCATTGGGTGGTGCAGCAGTCACAGAGGTAACTAATGCCAAGGCAAAAGTAGCAGAGGTAACGGACAACTTCATATCAGACTATAGACACTTATCTAATTTGGCTCCTGAGCTCTGTAAATTGATATGCTCTTCCTCTTCTTGTTATGAACATTTTGCGAGGAGGCTTTTTGGACCTTTAAATATCTTAAGGTGGAGTTTCTTTCAACACTCCCATTTAGGTATATAATATGAATCTAGGAGAAGAGATTCACAGTCGTTTACTTTACTACCCAATATAGATATTCATTCTTGAAAATCTGTCGTTGAACTCTATTCTGAATGTCTTGGACCTCAAAAATTACCTAATTGGGTAAACATAGTGATACGAGCAAGAAGTGGTTTATTCTCTCCATTTTCGCACTAACTTCTAGTGGAGACGTTCTGCGACCACTCTTGGTTTACAAGTTACCCCATATGGCAACATTATTCAAGATCTAATGATGAACTATTCCCATCTTGGTCTATGACTACTCAAGATAGAGTATCAATGTATTTTTACATCCTCAGGTCGTAATTCTAAGAGGGGATTAACTCCCTTAACGTAACAGGTCTGGACTAGTAAAAAAGGTTACATTCGTACCGAATTGGTCACAAGGGCGTTCAGCTTTCATTTAATCATTTTGTTTATTAAGCTCTTCAACTTTTTCCCCAAATATGGACGAATTTGTCATAGAAAAGAATAATTCTTCTATTCGAAAAACTTTCAACGACAATTGGACCGTCCGCTTTTTAAGCTTATATATATGTGTAAGAAATTGGAAAACAAAGTGCAACATAAGGGAGAAAGAATGCAGAAATGATCGTAAGAATAAACATATATTAGCATAAGTTGGTAATAGCAATTGCGGTAAAGAAGCTGAACCAAAGTAACTATTTATACGTTGCTCATCTGCACCGTACTTAACTTGGCCCCCGGCAAGGTGTTTCAAGTTTGACATCTCAGTAGAATTACAAGAAGGTTTGTTTGTACTTGTAGCTAATACTTGACCTTAAAATTTAAGAAGAAGAGGTAGGCGATTTTACATGTAGTTTCATCACGCTTTTGGAAGCAGATTGGACCCTGTCGCGATCAAAACGTGACGCCTGTATTAAGTATCGACAAACGACTTATATACCTTCCATAATCTGACAAAGGCTCTGACAACAATTTGTAGCTCGTAAAAAAGATATCCCAGCATTAGCGTGGCCCTATTCAGGATATGTTTATATAATGGGATATTTCTGGTAGTTGGTACTAGTAGAATGAAAAAGAACGTCTTATTAGATATACTGCTCGTATACTGCCGCTTCACCGTTACAACAGTCAAACTTGACCAAATTTGTCGGATATCGCGGGTTTAGGGTACTGCATATACAACAAACTTTTTGATGATTATCATGAACATATTAAATCGATTGAAATATGAAGAGTATAGAAACTAGTTCTTGCTGAGACATATCCATGCAATAATCCAGATCGCCTAAGTTTTAATTGGTTTAATGATTAATGGTTTCTATGTGTGGGTGGGGTTTATTGCCTTACTTTATGCCGGCACTATTTTCATTTTAAACAAGATACCTAATGTATCCGTAAAATCTCTAGGATGGATGGGGATTAAGCATATAGATATACATATTGGTGATGTGGATGTCAAAATAAGGCGTATCAATATTTGGTTCAGCTTTTTCCGTGGTCAAAATTCGCTGCAAAAGCTAATAAATATCGAATTTCATGACATTGAACTTAAGTTTGATACCTCTAAGGCCCAAGAGAAAACCCGACATCACGATTCAAATCTTGATTTGGACGAAATTTTAAAAATTTCTGCACCAGCTAGGGTCTTGGGGATTCTACAAAGTGGAATTTTGAACCAAATAAGGGTATATCTTTACAGGTGCTCCGTTTTGCATGAAACTGTAGATGAGAAAACAATAATATTTACTGACTATTCAAGAATTGAAAGCACTTTAAGTTTAGAAAATGGGATAGAACTTATAGTGAACCTTATGCATGGTCACTTACGAACCATTGCCTCGAGTGAGAAAAATGATGGCGTCGAAATCTTTAAGGGGATTGAGATCAGAATCGCTTGCGATGTGAATCTGCTGTGTAAACAAGGGAATACCAAACAAGTTTTTTTTGAGCTCTCAGAGTTTAAGCTAAATCTATCCTTTGGAAGATGCCACATACCTTTAGATCACTTTAAGAACTGGAATAGAAAGAACCCAGTATCGAAGCAGCCTTCAGAACCAAACCCTGATATTATTAAACCTTTATTGGGGAGATTCAAGTCTATTGAAGCTAGCTTTGAAGACTTTTCTTCTCAGAAAGATGACATAGACTTTAAGATATCTAATTTTGTTGCTTCTGTCAGTAAAGATGGCCATAATTCTCAAAGCTTAATTAAGTTACATACGTACTTAACTTCAGCCAGATTATACTACAAGGACTCGAAATGCTTTGACTTAGGTACTGGTTCATTTACCGTCAACACTAATATACTTAAAATAATCGATATCTTGTTAGGAGATGATCGGGATGGAAATAAAGCATGTTTGATCTCAGAAGCTTCTTTGGTACTAACTAATCCAACCTTCGATTTTTATTATGATCAGCTCGATTTATATTTGAGGCTCAGTCGACAAAGAAAGGATCACGTACAGTCTAGTCAGCAATATAATGAAAAGAACTTATTATATTTATGGAGCAAGATAAGAGAACTTGGTGTGAGAATTGTCATCTTAGATACTAAATTTAATATCCATTTGCCAAAAGACCTTGATGCGAGTCACCTTGAATTTAACCGTGAGTCACTGCAAAATTATGTTCTTACTTTGGATATCCAAGCTGTTATTCATAGGTTTTATACTAAGAACCTCGAGTCATTACTTCTAGATCAAAATTCAACTAAAAAGCCTTCCTTGAACTTTTTATTTAAGGTTAAGAATTTTAAATTTAACGCTGCTGGAAATTTGGTCAGTTTGGTGAAGATAAATTTTCTAGGTACTTTCTACCTTCTAGAGCGAAAATTTACAGTGAAAACCATAAGTAAGAAAATCGAAATGAAATCAGTCAATTTAGCTATATTTCATATTGTCAGGGAATTTAGGAATCGGGTAATCGCCTATGATAATAAAAGATATCTAATGTTCACTCAGAGGCGAGATAAGAGTGAGAAAAAGGTTGAAGATGAAAATGCTCCGATTTCTCGTTTAGAGTTTTCAGAGTTTGTGCCATCCATTTTATCATCGATTGAGTTGCGATTATCTGAAATCCAAATTGACATCATTTGCAAGGAAGGTTTGCCCAGTCATACCATATACGATCAATCGCTTAAAGAAGATATTGACTTGGGTGACTATAAACGAGGAATTTCAATGAAAGCATCAGACTTTTATCTTCATTACAAAGAATCAAAAGAAGATTTATCGATGCTGCTCAAATCAGTCCAATGCTATACAGTCAGTGGATATGCAACTGAGTTTGTTACTGACTTCAACAAATTTGCCTTTTATGAAAGCCCTTCTAATACTTCCAGTGGATCCAGCTTGCGATCAAGCTTTTCAGATGAGTCTGATTATTGTCCGAATCCAAAATGGTCTGAATCTAGTGATCTAAATAAAATCAAGAAAGTTTTGAGCATTCGAGATATAAAGCTAACTAACTCTCAAAAAGAAAAGAATAAATTGGTGCTTGACATTCCAGAAATTGACGGCCGTATAGATATGTTCTTATTCTGGTGTGCTATATATGCCAAGACATTAGTTGATTTTTTTGCACCTACAGTAGAGCGAGAATGCTCAAAGCAAGAAATTTCGAATATAAGTGGAAAAAGGAAGGTTTTAAAGCTTGATATCAAGGTTACTTCAATTGCTGCTGTTATTAGACTTCCAACAAATGTTGATGTTCTCTTTGAAGTCGATACCTTGAGAGCGTCTGATATTTTGGTATCTACTCGAGCAGATGTGAAGTATACGAGGCTTTATGTCATTCATCCAAGTACGAGGTTGTGGACCAGACTATTCTCCATTGGTGATATGGACTTAGAATACCGTCCTCAAAATGATCCCGAATTTGAAATCAAATCAGATGGAGTAAGAATTAACATCCCTCATCAATTTTTATTCTATACAGTGATTGACAATATAATCACACTTGTAAAATCAATAAGGCAAATCAAGCATAATTTTCGAAATCTATCTTTGGGTATTGCAAACTATGAAAGAATTTTACCACAGGCTAAACCGGCAATTTTGTTTCCAAAAATAAACATAAAAAGCAGAGCATTTGGAATTACTTTAGAAAATGATCCATTTGAGAATGAGCTCGCATTAATATACCAATTGGGTTTACTAGAGCAGAGAGAAAGACTAAAAAAATGGAAGTTGTTTGAGGAAAAGGCAAATGAAATAAGAGATGCTGCTGAACCCTCTATCGAGCAAGAAATCCAACTCTCAAATACTTCTCAAAGACATTCAAAACCAGGAACATCAACAAGTTCGAGGGTTGCAAGTCCTTTGAGACATACATTTTCGGAAGTCATTCATGGAGTAAAAAATAACTCATCAAAAGATAAAATAATACCAGAAGCTGCCAGCCAGTCTTATCTCAATGAAAAAAAGAAGCATTCTTATGAAGAGGCAGAGGAAAAAATAAGAGCCGCAAAAGAGCTGTTGGAAATAAATATAGGATTGTCCTGGATTCTGAGATTCAAAAGATGCAGTGAGACCAAAAATCAGGTTTGGAAAGAACGCATTAATAAAGTTTGGGGAGAAGAAAGTATTAATCCGATGATAACTGATAAATTTGATATTCTTGAGTATGCTCAAGGGCCATTGATGATGGGAGTTATCTTTGATTGTCTTGACTTGACATTAGATAAGGCTAAAATAGATAATGTCGATCGGTTTCTTTATGATCATGGTAAAAAGCAGCCTAAATTGGAATATACTATATTGATTCCACTTTACATAAATTTAAGGGCTGTCTCTCTTAACATTTTTTTAAGAGATTATCCACTTCCTTTGGCTTCATTTCCGAGCAATAAAGAAACGGATGCAACCACATTTAATCTTCTGGGAAATGTAGTCATTAATGAAAAATTAGTGACTAGAAAAGAAGAAATGAGATATATTTTTGTCCCATTTTCTCCAGTAGCTCCTTCAGAGGATCTCGAGGATAACTTCTATTCTGTCTATGTTCCTAGGACCTTGACTCCTGTGAAATTTATGTTTGATTTAGCGTGTAACATTAAATCTGATAGGGCATGCGTTCTTACGTGGTGTAAGTCTTATCAGGCGGGAATTTCAGCTGCTGCAATGGCATTTGAAAATTTCACAAAACCTGCAGTTGACGACAGTCCTCTTGGTTGGTGGGATAAGGTAGCCTTACTTCTACATGGCAAGCTCACGTTCAATATCGAAAATGAGCTTTGTCTTCATATAAAAGGCTCAACTAACCCTTACGACCTAGTAGGTCAATATGCGGGTCTTGTATTCTGCTGGAAGAACAATGTCAGCCTAAAATTTAATCATAATGGAGATCAGACCCAATTAATTGTATTAGAAAGCTATTCATTCTTACTAGCCGTCCCGAATTATGCGTCGCAGGATAAATCGCCATGGGGAGTTCATTTTGGAGATTTTGGAGATGTAGCCTCAATAGACGAGTCAAAGAAGTTTTTAAAGAAGTTAATGGTGTTATCCTCTTCTGACAAAGTTGTGTGGAACTTAGGTCTCCTATTTGAAAGAAATAAATCCGACTCTAAAGTTTTTTCTGACGACCAGGAAAGAACCACTAGCTTCAGGCCGCATTATGACGTATTCGTGACTAATCCAAGGTTTGATTGGCATCCCGATTCATACGCTAAATATAGATCGGACTATTTGCATTTAGCCATATCAGTGGTATCAAAGTCGTCAACAGGCAATTGCTACAATGCTGCCTATCTAACTCCGTTAACTTTTCATTATTTTTTCCACTGGTGGAATTTGTTAACGCATACCAGATCTTTGCCAATTAAGGCAGGCCCATTGTTCAAGAATCAACCTGGAGATAATATCCACATTAAAATGGGTAGCCATTTATTCACCATAAAATATCAACTAATATTCGAACCTCTTATGATATCCCACATGTATATGCATTCTAACAGTGATTTCCTGGAGAATGATTATCGAGTGGCATTTACTGGTCTCAAAGGAAAATTCGGTAAGTGCAAAATTGATTTGCATCAAAGGAAGGAATGGCTTACGTATGTGAATGAAAAGTTGAACATTTCTAATAAAATCTTACATTTGAAAATGAATGAGGGCGAGGTTGATGTTGATGAGGCAGACATTAGATTATTACATGCTATTTTCAATGACCAATCAATAAAAGGTCGTTTGGTTTCTCGCTTCTTCGGAAATATAATCCATCCTCTGGCTCCTATAGTCGAAGAGAGGAAAAAATGGCCCTCCAATTTTACAGATTGGGTAGATAGCATTGATGTCTTCGACAAAGATTATTCTTGGGTTGATCCTGAAGATTTTATTGAACTTGAGGTACGAGAGCCGCTTTCTCCAAATCCCGAACTTAAAGTTTTACCTTTCTTTTACTCTCCAAAATTTACTTACTTTAGGGACTTTTCGCTTCAAAAGGACGGTAAATTTCCCTTCGGAAATGAGCCATCGCATCACTGTGTAATGCGGCAAGAAAAGCCAGAGCAAACTCAAGGTATATTACTTGAAGAGAGAATGAATGCACTAAGACGTGAAATGGCGGCAAAAGAAGAAGAATTAGATTCTTCTTCAAAAAAGAAACCTCACGAAGTTTACGACATTAAAAAGGACATCAAGGTGTGCAAGAAAAAGCTTGAGTTAGTCGAATCAATTGCAGATAGTTTTTTAAGCAACGATGCTGGTACCGAGCCTTCAGTCATTGACCTTGAAAAATCTATCTCGAGAAGCCTATCGGTATATTCAGGCCACCAGTCGACGGCCGGCTCTATCGAGGTGTCATTGGATAACACAATGGTGAAAAAATATCATAATAGATTCATTCTTCATAATCTTCAGATAAAGTGGGATAATGAATTAAGAGACATGTTTACTGTTTATACGCAAAGAGTAAATGACAGAAAATCTTTTGTGTATTTCATGTCAAGAAAAGCTGTCACTCTAGTTAAAAGTGTCGTCAATGAAGTTTTTGACGGTGAAGAATTCTCAGACTTCAAGGAATCAATCTTCGACAAAAATCACCAAAAAGCGCAGGAAACTATTGATTTTATCAATAAAAACTTACATGATGTGGATGAGGACGACCTTGAGGCAGAGAATAAATATTTAGTAAAATTAATTCATCCACAAGTTCAATTGGTTAGTGCTAGAGACCCAGCGTCCTGCTGTTTAGTTACTACGAGAGATTTTGAGATGAGAATTGTTCATATTAATGTTCAGGGAACAGATGAATTGATCAACAGTAGCTCAGAGATGTCAGGCTTAGTGGAAACAAGATACAGTGTTCTTTTAAATGATTCTCATGTCTTTGTTTTCAAAAAGGATGAGGGAACTATTTCAGATCCCAATATTCACTATGGTACTGGTCACTTAGAATCGGAGGTTAACTGGCCACCTTGGCTCGAATGCGAAGCTTTTTATGACAGTACTTGGTACCAGGATCAATTAGTCGTAGAAAGGAATACAATGGCAATTGTATTTAAGAAGCCAAATGAATTGTTTGCTGACAAGGGCTCAACTCAGCAAGGAAATGAGATTTTAGCTCAACTTTCAAAGGTTGTGATAAATGCGGACTCAGCCCAATATTCTACATTGTATTGGGTCTTCCCTGACTTGATTCTCCACGGGACGACTTATAGGGATGAGCTAATTAATAGGCTAAATAAGATTATCTCACTTTCTGATAAACATGACTTCGATGGATTGAACCTGAAAATTGAAAACTTACAAACCCTTATTAGGGATTGCAAGGGCATACTTTTAAGATTTGATGAGAGAGGTGTTACGTTGACCGAACAAGAAAAAGTCACAACTAGAGATTTAGAAGTTGATATAGAAAAAATGCAATTAGAATTAGCAGTAATAATGGGGGGTGGACTTAACTTACGCAGTTCTAAATCTAAGGTAATCAAGAATTCAAGGTTGTTGAATATCTTTGCAGACCAAATTGTTTGGCATCTTTTGGATTCCGAGAGAAAACCATTTGTTGACTTTGCATTAGCGAATCCATCTGTTACCCGAGTAGACTTATTTGATGGATCAAACTTAAATCAAGTTGAGATACCAATGCTTCAAGCTTTTAATCTTCAGGAGAACGCAATATATCCTGAAATATTGAAGCCATATATTCCTGGAAAGAAAGAACATGAAACACGGCCTCTGATAACAGATAAGCCTATCATTGAAATGAAATGGAAAATGCTCCCTCCTGTTGGTGGGATATCAATTATTCAGGAAGCAAAGATATCAGTTCAGCCTCTCAAAGTGGAATCAGATTATTTAACTACGAAAAAGCTTTTTAACTACGTCTTTCCTCATGAAGATTCGCTGGTCAGCGAAGCAGAAAATAGCAGTGACGATGTTGCTAATGACGAAGTCTCAATGAATGGAGGCTCTGATTCGGATTCTGGTCCAGTGACTGGCTTGAGGAATGTGATTCACAACTTTCGTAGTCGTCATAAAGCTTTCAGGCTGGAAAGTAGCAGCGAAAGTGCTGATTATGATCATGGAACTGTATTCTCACATCCCTCATCAAATACCACTGTCTCTTCTGATGATGAGTCTGTCATTTCAAACAAAGGCCACAAGAATAAACGAAACAAACGAAAGTTGCAAGATGATGAAAATAAAGACGACTTTTCGCTCATAGTCCATAGATCATCAAGGTACTTTTCTATCATTGATGTTGAATTTGATAGACTCAACATGATTGTGTGCTTCGACGCCCCAAAGAGTATTAACTTCTTAAATGTCCGTAATCTTAATTTGAATATCCCTGAATTAAGGTTTAAAAATAGGGTCTGGTCTGGTGAGGAGTTTATTTTGCGATTGAAGAAAGAATTGATCAAAATAATCATTAGTCATAGCGGGAAGATCCTTGGTAGTATCTTCAAACAAGGCAAAAGAAACATTTCAGTAGAGCCTCTTAATCAGATCGCAGATTATTCTGACTACATGTCGATCGATGATTTACAGAAGTACGGAAGACCAAGACTCTCGGCTACGAGCCAGCAGTCCACTGCAAAGCATCCACATGTTCACAATGCCCATGAGCATCACCATCACTTAAGTCAAGCAATTGACCATCATAACGGCCAAGTTCAAGACAGTCTTTATAATAAAATTGACATCGACGATTTGTCGGATAATCAGGACCAATCTGAAGATTCCGAAGAGTCTTCATAACTCATGTCACCATTTAGATATGGATGTGGCATACTATGTATATATATCTATCTTCAGTATTCCAGCCAAGTAATATATTTTGTGTAACTTCCTCCATTATGGCATATAAAGTAGAATAGTAGGACTGGCATTCTTAAATGCGGACCACCAAGGACCTAAATAGGATTCTTGTAAGTCATGTCGTTTTTTGAAAACATACGAGACAAGGCCGTTAGTACATTCAATCAGGTTCTTGACCGAAAGTCAGAGTCAGGTCTAACAAAGGATGAGCAATTTTGTATTGAGAATAACCTTCCCGATAATGAACTTATAAGGGCTGAAAGCGCTGCTGAGATTAGGGTAAAGTCGGATCATTACAAAGATATTTATAAGGGAATACCCTTGCCGCAAGGTAAGATCTACGTAACTGACCATTTTTTAATATTCAGAGACGCATACGATAAAAAAAATTGCTCCTTTACATTCAATTTATCTACAATAAAGAAAGTTGAAAGATTGCAATCCGTAAATTATGGGTGTGCTTTAGCAGTTAGCACTCACAGCAAAATGACTATCATTTTGTACCTCGTGGGATTGAGATCAGAATGTGACCATTTTGCTAACTCTTTAAAGGTAGTTTTGAGAAGTAATCTACCTAATGTCCCTAAACTTCAATCTTTCATTCAAACCTGTTATTCTGAATACTTATTATCTAAGAATAAGATATCTAATGAGAAAGTCGAGCATGTTCCAAGTGGTGGTTTAGGATTACTATTCAAGTTCCCAGGTGACGCGAGGGAGTCTCGAGACAAAGCTAAAATGAAGCTATGGTTTGATCTTTTCAGAGTAGATGGGCGTAATATATCCATAGTCAAAACTCCCATGTTTTATAGGCTAGTAAGAGTCGGGCTACCAAATAGATTAAGAGGTGAAATATGGGAGCTCTGTTGTGGATCCATGTATTTGAGATTGGACAATCAAGAAAAATATTCAGAGATATTAAAAGAAAATGAGGGAAAAAAATCCGTGGCTATTGAAGAAATCGAGAAGGATTTGAATAGGTCCTTGCCTGAATATGCAGCGTACCAAGATAAGGAAGGGATTAATAGGCTAAGGCGAGTTCTTACTGCCTATTCATGGGAAAATCCCGAAGTTGGATATTGTCAAGCAATGAACATAGTCGTAGCTGCTTTGTTGATATACATGTCGGAAGAGCAAGCATTTTGGACTCTCAATGTCTTGGTTGGCAGGATTGTACCGGGATATTATTCAAAGACGATGTATGGAACCCTTTTAGATCAAAAGGTTTTTGAATCACTAGTTCAAGAGACTATGCCTTTACTTTGGGAACATTTGAATAAATATGACATACAGTTATCAGTCGTATCATTGCCATGGTTTTTATCTTTGTATTTAAACTCAATGCCACTTGTATTTGCTGCCAGAATAATCGACGTGTTTTTTCTTCAAGGTCCTAAGACACTTTTTCAAGTGGCGCTTGCAATATTGAAGCTATGCGGTGATAGCTTATTAAAAGCTGAAGATGATGGTTCTTTTATTTCTATTATTAAAGATTACTTTCAAACCTTAGATTTATCAGCGCATCCGGCGTCACCAAATGCTAAATACAGACAAGTAACGAAATTTCAAGAACTTTTGGTTACCTCATTTAAAGAATTTTCGAATGTTGATGAGGAACTTATTAACAAGCATCGGAACAAACATAGAGATACAATCTTTCAGAATATCTCGACATTTGTGAAACGTACCGAATTAAGAAACTTACCTAAAGTAAGTAATTTGGATCAAACCACTTTAAGTATCATTTACGATCGATTTTATTCTATTGTACAGGCTCAAAATATTACAGGAGGAGGCTCTAGCATGATGGATTTTCAAGCATTCAACAAATTTATGTCAGAAGTATGCGACTGGGTTTCGGTCTCGGGAAATGATGTCGAATTAGAAAATGGCCGTCCATTCTTACAACGTCTCTACAAGAACTGGGTCTCAAATCCAAAAGATGGATTGACTTTGTATGATCTTGTCTTGGGTTTGAATAAGCTCATTGATCCTGATTTGATGACAGCCTTGAACAATTTTTTCAAGTTATATGACACTGAACTGAAGGACAGGATAGATCGAGAAGGAATATTACAGCTTTCTGAAGATCTATTATTTATTACAATGCCTTGGAGAGATTGCTACTTACTAGATCTGATCACTGAAAATGCTATTGAAAACGCCATCGCAGATAAGATCATCGAAATGAAAAAGGAGGAAGGGATAGACCCTCTGGATTCAAATATTAAATTGCCCACAGAAATTGATATAAATAAGCAAAAATTAGAAAATCAGCAGGTGGAACGCTACTTATCCGCTGCGAGTACTTTTATCCAAAGAGCCTTTGAATATGCGCAACCAGAAAAAGAAGAGACATTAATAAAAGACTTAGCAATCGATTCAAAGATTTCTCATAATGCAGCATTGGATCCTAATTCTCCGGTATATGTAAACTTGCCGACGTTTCGGATGGTTATTCTAGCTGATGAAACTTATGAATTACTTTTTACCCGAACATTGAGGTGTTCATTCCATCTCGCAAAGCCAATCGACCCCAAATTAAGTGGAATTCGTAACTTGAGGAGCATGTTCGATGGTTTGTTGGCCGATGGTAGAGAAGTTGCCAATAAAGTTAGACGCCGCATGGATTCTGCTGCTTCTAATGCTCTACATAACCATGTCAATCCCAGTGACCAATCATCTGACCATTCGTCCAAGTCGAAAGGTGATGATGAAGAAGAAAGAGATGACGATTTCGGAGTCATATCAATCAATGAACACGATAAGGATCTTCTTCTTGGATCTGAAGCTCAAGCTTTCATGGATTCAAGTGTTCCAGTCACGGGGACTGATATTAAACAATCGCACTTTCATGAGAAAAGTAGACCAAAAGAAGAGCATGACGAGAAGACAAAAGCAAGTGACAATCTCATTGAATTTGAAACTTAGAAACTTACGACGTTAGAAAGGAAATATAAATAAAAATTAAGTGCTCATGTAATCTTGAACTAAATACTTATAAAACTGGAAGGTCAATTTTTACGAATCAAAGTAATTATATTTGTAATGTAAGAAATTTTTAGTTCTTGCCAAAAAGTTTTCTAAGTTTTTTAAACTTCTTCGTACTCTTTTTCTCTTCTCGTTCAACTCTGGAATTGCTGACAGCTCCATCGATCCCTGATTTTGAACCAGATGCCTGGCTCGTGTACGGAGCGGTGGGAATCGTGTTATTCAGCTTAGGTAAGTTGGTCGAACTATTTAAATTCTTCCCAAGAGGAGCATGCTGTTCTTCGCTAATGTTGTCCTCTTCATCGGAGTCTTTGAACCTCGAATTAAAGTTTTCTCGAACAGGAGTATTACCCAATTGATCTTTTTCTTCTGAGTGTGTGATGTAAGCATCCCTTGCTTCGCTTACTGGATGAGCCGCTGTAGAAGAATCTCGAGGACCATCTCGCAAAGTCATTCTGTGCCCCTGGACTTTAGACGCCCCTAACTTGTCATCAGATTGAATCTCTTTGTCAAAGGATGATTTCCTGTTTAGAGGTTTGAATACTGAAATAGGCCGAGAATTGGCTTTTGCATATAGTTCGGCTGCTTTCGCTTTTGAAGTTGAACTCATATTTACGGGCTGCTTTGTAGCAACAGGTTGCATCGACATATGAGATCTAGGACCCCTCCCAGGCATTCCTCCATTATAATTGTACAGTTCCAGATAAGGGTCCAAAGTATTTGGGCGTAGAGTCCTACCTGACATTCCTGTAGGAGTTGTTGGCACCTGAGTCTTACGCAACGTTTGTGACATTCGAGGGTTATTATTTTGATGCAATGGCTGGGACATATGAAATCCTTGAAAAGGAGGTGGTTGCTGCGCAGCATTTAGTTGAGTGTTCAACTTACTGGCCGAGAGCTTTGAGTTAAGCCTAGTGTTTTCAGCCGTTGTAAGAGACAAATATGCGTAGTGAGCAGGGTTAACATTCATCTGTGAGTGTTTCTCATTTTTTGTGGCTGGTGTAGATTTCTTCATTGCTGACTTTGGAGGAGATTTTCCTTTTGAAAGAGGAACGTATCCTGTAGAATTTAGCGAGCTTGAAGACGAATTAATACCAGAAGTAATCAATGATTCTTTGGATTGCAAATCAACATTCTCATTTTCATCATCTTCTTTTATTATCTCTGGTACGGCATCAAATGTTGGCCGTAATTGTTTTGCTAAGTTGGACTCGTTGTCATCTTCGTGAGAACCTAAATCATCATCCCCACTACCGAACAGCTCTGTCGACCTTAGACCCTCATATTGACGAATTATTTTTAATTCGGTACCATCTTCATTCTGGTTATCATCTAAATGTTGTCCATTAGACGAAGCTCCTATAAAATCTTTCATGTCACTATTACTGTGATTCTTCTTATCAAGCTCATCAACTATAACACTAGAGGCATCAATAGAATTTCGACCAATAACTTCATCCTGTAAAGCCAATTCAGAAGCACTAGCCTCAGGAATTTTCTCATCAGTTAATTGCAACACAGGCTGATTGAATATAGGGTTCCCATTTTCCTTTTGTTCCACTGTCTTTTGCGAACTACGTGAAGATGTTTCTTCAGCGGTTTTAATTATATCTTCCTTTAAACCGTCAGCTATGAAGGGAGATTTAAGATTTGAATCTGTATTTCGATTTCTAATGTTGTCCTGGATATCTTTTTCCAAGTCAGAGTAAGATGAAGAAGGAGATGAAGACACATTACTCAATTGCTTTCTTAATAAAGCTAAATTTTTCTCTTTCTCCAAACGTTTTTGTTTTAGTTTCTGATACTCTGTTGTCTTACTATCTAACTCTTTTGCTAAATGCTTTTCATGTTCTATTTGCTTCAAGAGTTCATCATACTTTTCCTCGTTGTTAATCATACTACCTCCCTTCACTTCATCGACCTCATTCATAGTTTGCATTCTTGGTGAACTCATTAAACTGGATAATCTTGATGATGTATTACGCTTCGGTGTAGAGACTCCATTCAGAAAAGCGGCTCTTGGTCGAGATAGAGAGTTCAAAGATGGAGATCTTGCAATACCTCTTCCCGATCTCATAGAATTATTTCTGGCGACTTCCTGATTAAACTTCTCCTCTGGGACCTCGATGATCTTGATACCATTGGGAGTGGGAATATATTTTTTGATCATTTTGACCAGTCCAGTTTCCTCAGGTCCTTTTTTGTAGCCGTTTGCGAAGGGTTTTTGAGGAAGCATCAAGTCTTGCATGCTTCGGCGATTATAATGCTCCGAATGAGGTTCTTCCAGCTCTTCTTGTATACTATTATCAAACGAAGTCAGCTGTGGACCGTATCCATTCCCATTAGACGATCTCCTTCTCAAGGATACAGAAGTTAACGAATTATTAGAAGATACCCTCAACAGGTTTCTTTTTGGAATACCATAAGTGTCGTTTGAGCTAATAGAGTTTCTTTTCTTAAGGCTATTATCTCTAAGAGAAACAGTTCTGGAGACATTGTAACGAATAGGCTGCCCACCACCATTACCGGCAAGCCCATAACCAATTGATAAAGCCGCTGCCACAGCGTGGTCATTAGGTTGACTATCAGATGGGGCAACATGGTTAACGCCTGTGTAAGATGTTCCATGTACGTTTCGACTTTTCCTTCTAGTAAACATTCCGCTTCAATTTCTCTAACTCAAAAGCTTTTGATAGCCAAACGAATGCACTTGCTAGGTCTGCTTAAGATTATGGATTTTTGAAAAAGACTCCTGAAGCAATGATAAGATTAGTAGAGAAATAGTCGATTGTCAATTCATTTGTTGTTGCCGGGATACCTTTCACGGGCAGTGTTACACGTGATTTATATCAACTCCGTATATAAGATACATATTACAAAAATTTATCTGCTACTTCCTTCCAGAACCAAAATAGAAAGCTTCTTTGCGAGGCATAAAAGAAAATAAGTATTCCCCGAACAGGCGGCCTTTCATGTAAAAATACCCCTTGAATGGGACAAGCATAATTAAGAATCCGGACCAAAGAAAACCAAATATTAGAGGCTGTATGATTTGATCTTTTATAACCGTGTATGCGATGATGGATGGAGTGATCTGGGGCAAAGGAACTAAACCTGATGTGCTCAACAACTTTTCTTCCTCCAAATCGATGTTACTAATTGCTGCTTGTAGCTCCTCATCTGTAAGTGAACTGTCTGGAACTAATATCCTTTCATTATTCAATCCAGCTGTTGCATAAAGCGACTTCATAAATGATTGTTCGAACCGTAAGTCGAGTTTAAGGGTTTCCATCTTTAAACATTAGTATAGCAGTTCTTTCTATTCAATAATATAGGATCACCTACAGTTGCCGCTGGCTGAGAAGAAATAAACCTTAGGTGTATATACAGGATCATTCGGGAATGACTCGAGAATTTTACTTATTTTTCATAATAGACAATAGTCCAACTAGTAGGACTTCTAAAAGAAATTTGGCTGGTATAAACATGGAGAGAAGTGGAAGCTCTGGCGCTCAGGTCACAATAAGGCAAACGGAGAAAGACCATGTCGATTTCATTTTAAAGGAGGTAGATATGGCGATGGCAAATTCTCTAAGAAGAACCATGTTAGCTGAAGTTCCTACATTGGCAATAGATTTAGTGGAGATAGAAGTGAATACCTCTGTGTTGGCAGATGAATTTATTTCACATAGACTAGGATTGATTCCTTTGAATAGTGAAGGTATTGACAATTTGTCATACTCTAGAGATTGTACCTGCGACCAGTATTGTGCTAACTGTTCCGTTAAGCTTGAATTAACGGCCAAATGTGACACAGATTCTACAATGAATGTGTATTCATCAGATCTTGCTAAATTTCACAATGGCTCGAAGTTGGGCGATCCCGTAATCAGAGATTCCCAGAGGCGGGGTCCTTTAATTTGCAAATTAAGAAAGCACCAAGAGTTGAGGATAACTTGTATTGCTAAAAAAGGGATAGCTAAAGAGCATGCGAAATGGTCACCATGTGCAGCTATTGGATTTGAGTATGACCCTTGGAACAAATTAAAGCATACGGACTATTGGTATGAGAACGATGCAGAAGCCGAATGGCCCAAATCGGCAAATTGTGAGTGGGAGGAAGCTCCAGATCCAGATGCGCCCTTTGATTATAGTGCAAAGCCAACAAATTTCTATATAGATGTTGAAACCGTTGGTAACCTTCCGCCGAACGAGGTAGTGCTAAAGAGTATCGAGACATTACAATTGAAATTAGCAGGAATATCTATGGAGTTGAATAAAGACACAATTGAGGCAAGTGCAGCGGCGAATGGTGGATTCACTACATATGGAAGATCTCCAGAACGAATGGATAATTCTCCATATGGTGGCAGTAATGGGTTTGGAAACTCTTCTTGGAGTTAAATTATTTAGGCTTTCTATTTAATTGCTGAAGTAATTATGCAACCATATAATGTACAATTAGTTTATAAGTATTCAAGTCTATTTTGAATTCAATTTATTCCAATTTACAAGCTCATCGAACTTGACTTGCGATCCTCCGAATATATCTAATGCACTTCCAAATGATAAATCAACCTTATTCTCGCTCAATTCTTTGACCAAATCTAGGTCATCAACCAGCTTGGCTCCACCAGCATACACTATTCTACCTTCAAATCCTCGAGGGCACCATTTTCCTAAGCTAGATACAAGCTGCTCATCTATACCTTGACATAAGCCTTCAACATCGGCAGCATGGATCAAAAATTCATCACAGAAGAAAGAAACTTTGTCTAAGAAGACTTTTGATAATGTGACGTCAGTCAATGTCTGCCACTTATTAATTGCAACTACCCACTTTTTCTCATCCTTCTCGTATATCGTTCTACAACTCAAATCAACTATCAACCTATCTTTTCCTACCAATTTTGAGAGTAAACTGAGCCTGTCCCAATCAAATTCTTTTTTACCGGCATCTGAATCCTTGAAAAGCCAACTTGTGACAATAACATGCGATGCCATATACTTTTCCAACCACTCAACAGCGTTGTCACTGTTTATTCCTCCACCAATTTGCAATCCGTGGGGCCAAGCTTTACATGCTAATTTTGCTGCCTCCTCATTAGCGGGATTTGACCCTAGCTTAATCACATGGCACCCTGTGATACCAGATTCTTTATATAAATTTGCAAAGTATGTCGAAGGTTTAGTTGACACAAAATTTTCTGTAGTATTGTCGTCGTGTATGATGTCATCCAGCTTGAGGGTTCCTCCAACAATTTGTTTCACCTTGCCCGAATGTATATCGATACATCCTCTATATTTAGTCATACTCTATTTTTTATTTTTCAGCTTGCAAGGAAGGTCAATTATTCATCGAGTTCTTAAAAATCATCAAGCCGCGCACTCATCATCATAAAAAAAAAAAAAATAGTGTTACGTTCCTCATTTGTATTTGTAGGTCATCTGTTCAGTTCATTGAAATGTGTCTCGAAGATGACTATTTGAAAGTTTTAGAAGCACAGCGAAAAAACTTTGAAGCTCAATTCTCTTCTCTCGAGGAGATGGGGTTTAAGGACATGCTGAAGCTGACGCTTAAAAATAAAACAGATAATGCTTTGGATGAAGTTTCGGAATCTCCGAGCGAATTCGAAGGTTTCAGTGATAGTGATGGAACCGAAAACTTGCTGAAGAAACAAGAAAATCACTTAGCTGAGCATACGATTGTGAACAAATCAGAAGAAACTGCACCAAAAGTTGTGAAATTGATTGAAGATTCCACAGTAAAACCTCTTATGTCCAAAGCAGAACAGAAGATATTGAAACTTGGAAGGGCTCCCACACTAACTGAGATGCTGAGGAAACAAAGAGAAGTGATGAAGTTGACAAAAAAGCAACAAGAACAAGCGAACAAGGAAGATGACGATAATCTTGAGAATGATCTTAAGTTACAGAGATTGCTTGAAGAATCGCATATTCTAGCAAATAAAGTAGAATACTCAGGGGCTGACTTAACTTTGAAAACCATAGATATAGAAGAACCAACCGGTAAAGCACGAAAAAGAGCACTTGATTCCAGAATTCGAAAAATTGCAGCAACAAACTCTAAAACAGGAGGATTACCTAAAACATTAGAATCGATGCCTATGACCATGAGAAAGGGTATGATTGATAGTAAACGAAAAAAAGCTGAAAGATACGAGAATGAAGCTAGAAATGCTGGAATTGTATTATCTAAGATAAAAAAGGGTCAGATAAGAAATATTAATGCTGGAAAGGGATCAACTATGGACAGCGACAGGCTAGGGACGGTTTCAAATAAAGCAAAGAGGATACGTAATAGAGGTCTCAAGATTAACACTGTAGGTAAATCGACGAAGAGGGGTTTGGTGATATCGCAAAAAGAAATTGACAAAATAAACGGGACATTCAAAAAAGAAAAAAATAGAAAGCGCAGATAATAAAGGATTATCATATTATGTAAATTTTGTATTAATAGAATCTTAATGATAATTAATCAAGATAATCCTCTAAAAGTACTGTAGTTCAAAGTGGACTAGTTTGACTTTTGTAATATTACCACGTGATCTTTTGTTTTTGCGGGAAGCAGATCAAAAGTAAACAAGCTTCATCATATACATAGAGCAATCAAGAACCAAATCTTGAAGGGAATATTAACTACTCATCGATATGAATTCCCAGATACTACCTAAGAATAGAGCGCTTCATGCGAATAATTCTAGGATGCCTTCTGGGAGAGTGGGATCAATTTCTGAAAATAGAAGTGGGTTAAAGTTATCGAAAAGACTTGGTTCTGGAAATAGAATACTTTCAAATCACAGGATTATTTCAAATACTCGACATGGAAGTCGCAACTTAGGGATAGAGGATGATTTAGATTCAAGTTTCAATGACGAAAATGCTATACGCTTTGATGAGAACAAGCACACTATTTTATCCAATTTCGAGGAGTGGATCAAGCTTTCAACAGATAATAAAATCACCTCAAAAAATTCATGGCAATTTGCTTTGATAGATTATTTTCATGATCTTAATGTTATAAAAGATGGAGAGACGATTAACTTTCAAAGAGCGTCAGCAACATTGGATGGTTGTGTAAAAATTTACCTGAGTAGAGTGGAATCAGCGGCAACTGAAACAGGAAAGCTCTTAAGCGGTCTTGCTAAGAATAAGAACAATAATGAAGTGGATTCGCTTCAAGAAAATGAGGTTGAAGATGAGAACGAGTCTAATAATGAAGAAGATACTGAAGGAGATGGCAAAAAGAAGAGGAAAATAAATCGAGTCGTAGAGTCTACTTTGGTTCCTTTCGAGAGTATCGTAGTTAAGAAATTTGACCAGGAACTCGCAATTGATCCCCTTTTCAAAAAAGCTTTGGCTGAGTTTGACGAGGGTGGCGCAAAAAGTTTGTTGTTGAATACATTAAGTATAGATTCTACTGGCAGGGTCATCTTCGATGCGACAACCAATCCTATTAGCGAAGGATTTAAGGAACCTCAAGAGGTGCACAAAACGAGCGATAATGCCCTTGATCTCTCGGGTTTAGAGGCACTCTTGTTTGATGAGGATGGATTGAATGACACATCTATTTGCCCTTCAATGCCTCAAATTAAGTCCGTTGTTGGTGATATTAGTAGAGCTAAATCAATATTAAATGACGTAAATAACCAGTTCAACCTTGAAACTGGTCTAGATGTTGCTGGGACTAAGGATGAGAATTTCGAAAACTTTGATTATGAAGACTATGGTGCTGAGTTAGATAATGACGTAGGTGGAGATGATAATGATGCTAATGAACCAATCAATAATTTAAACCAAAGTATTGTTCAGCAGATATTCAACGAGCCCGAACAACTAGTGGAAAAGTCTCATTCTGCTGAGGTTCTAGATAGAGACCTCATGGTATATTTCGATCAAAGACTAAAGGCGAACTGGAGAGGTCCGGAACACTGGAAGGTAACTGCACTTAAGAAGTCGAAGAATTTGGACCTGAAGGAGGAATCTGCAACTAAAGTGAATAAAGATTCACAATCTACGAAGAGCAAGAAACTGCAGATAATAGACTTCTTGAGTTCTGACAAAGATGATTTTGAAAGTTCTTTGTTTGAGCATCCTAAAAGTATAACCAGTATTAATAAACCAGTTTCTGTTAAGGAGGAAGCTAATGATAATCTTCTTCCTGAAGATATTCGATACTCGTCGTCTAAGTTGACTAATCTATTTACGAAGCCTCAAGTACCGATATTATGCTTCATGAGGCGTAAAGCGAAACCTAATGACTCTAAAAGTGTCACTGATGAAAAATTCTTTGCTCAGCATTATAGAGAGCAAGAATTGGAATGTGAGAACGATAAGATGGCTGCATCATTTCACCAAGCAGAATTTGAGGACTTCAACAATGATTTTGGTGGAGATGCTGATCTTGATGGAATAGACTTCAACGATGCTCTAGATACCAATGGAAGGGATCAGCCATTAAGTTCCCAGGTACCTGAAGGACTCAAGCTGCGGCCAGAAAACATTACTTTTTCTAAAGTTGCAAAGAGAGTTGACGTCAAGCTTTTGAAGGACAACATATGGAAAACTATTAAAGAAGAACATGACTCACCAAGTTCAGTAAAGATGGAAACTGACTCAAACACCAATGTATCTCAAGATGATCCAGAAGTCAAGCCTCATGAACAAGAAAAGCCGACAATAAATTTTACAGATATGTTTACGTCTCTTGGTTCTTTATATGCTACGGAGCAGCGAAAAGATATATCCACAAGCTTTTGCTTCATCTGCTTACTACATTTAGCCAATGAGCATGGATTGACTATTTCATCAAATGAAAGATACGACGATCTTAGGATTTCAGGATTCTAAGATCATATGTAATTATATAGTGTATCATAAACGTGAAGTGCGCGAGTAATTTCTTCTGGAATAGTCCACACAATTAGGTTCACACACTACCATCATTCAATATCAAGGCTATCACGAAACTGAGAATGACGTTCTAAAAGTACTTTGTAAATAATAATATTGTCATTAGGATTAGTTGTCTTAAATGAGTTTGTTTCTAAGTAGGGTATCTGGCTTGTGTTTGGTTCGCCCTTTACGTCCAACAGCCCTATTCCTTGCGAAACCCTTGACTGTCTCGCAAAGGCAAACATTCTTTGGTTGCAGGACTCTTGCCACAGGCTCCAACGTTAATATATTGCAACAGCAAGAACAAATAGCAAACGGAGATCTCAAGAATAGTTCCGCGCAGTTGGAATTTTACAAGAAATTGTTAGCAAACAACTATCCACAGATTGTTGTTCAACGTTATGAAACCCCAGGAATTGCATCGTCCCCCGAGTGCACTAGCTTGTATATTGATGCATTAAATAAGATCGGAATGAAGGACAAAGCAGAACAGGTCGCTGGTTCATTTGCACACATGAATACTAATACAAGCAATAGTGTTTTGCCTAATGGCTTTGGTTCCAAGTACGAGCCAGTTCATGTTGTTGTATCCGAGTCTTTTTTCACTATAGTTTCTAAGTGGCTCAAATGGTTGATACCTATCGCTTTACTAACATATGGTGCCACTAATGCATTTAACTACTTAGTTGAAAATGGCACTATCTTCAAAAATTCTGAAGTTGTGGACAAGTCCGTCGACGTTTCTCAATCGACTGTTAAATTCAAGGATGTTTGTGGCTGTGATGAAGCCAGAGCCGAGTTGGAGGAAATTGTTGACTTCTTGAAGGATCCGTCTAGATTCACTGGGTTAGGAGGAAAATTACCTAAAGGTGTTCTTTTAACGGGCCCTCCAGGTACCGGTAAGACATTATTGGCACGGGCAACTGCAGGTGAAGCCGGTGTGCCATTCTTTTTCATGTCGGGATCCGAATTCGATGAACTTTACGTTGGTGTTGGTGCGAAGAGAATTAGAGAATTGTTTTCTCAAGCTAGAGATAAATCTCCGGCAATCATTTTTATTGATGAATTAGATGCGATTGGAGGTAAACGTAATCCAAAGGATCAGGCTTATGCAAAGCAAACTTTGAATCAATTATTGGTAGAATTAGATGGATTTTCTCAAAGTGAAGGTATTATTATTATAGGTGCTACCAACTTTCCAGAATCTTTGGATAAAGCTCTCACTAGACCGGGAAGATTTGACAAAGAAGTTGTTGTAGATCTACCAGATGTTCGTGGTCGTGTTGATATCTTGAAACATCATATGGAAAATGTTGAAACCTCAGAAGATGTAGATCCCTCAATCATTGCTAGAGGAACTCCGGGTCTTTCTGGAGCTGAACTAATGAATTTGGTCAATCAAGCTGCTGTGCATGCTTCACAATTATCAGCTCCAGCTGTTGATATGGCACACTTTGAGTGGGCAAAGGATAAAATCTTGATGGGAGCAGCAAAGGAGAAGATGGTAATTACCGAAGAGGCAAGAAAAAACACAGCATATCATGAGGCAGGTCATGCTATAATGGCAATGTATTCTAAAGGTGCAACTCCCTTATACAAGGCAACAATATTACCTAGAGGAAGGGCCTTAGGTGTCACATTTCAACTTCCAGAAATGGACAAGGTTGATATGACTAAAAAGGAATGCTTCGCGAGATTGGATGTTTGTATGGGAGGAAAAGTGGCCGAAGAAATGATTCATGGACCTGAAAATGTGACTAGCGGCTGCTCTTCTGATCTAGCTAATGCTACGAGTGTCGCGAGAGCGATGGTAAACTCTTACGGCATGAGCGATAAGATCGGCCCAGTCAGACTTAGTGATGATTGGGAATCATGGTCTTCAAAAATCAGGGATATGGCAGATAATGAAGTTAGAGACTTCTTGCTTGAGTCGGAAGTCAGAACTCGAAAGTTATTGAGTGACAGAAAGACGGAATTGAGACGCTTAGCTGAAGGCTTGATAGAATATGAGACTTTGACTAGAGATGAAATGGAAAAGATAGTCAAAGGAGAACGTATAAACAAAGCTAAGAGTATTAGTAACCCTATCATTAAATCTCCAAGCTCAGGAAGAAGAGAAGTTATCAATGATCCTACACCAGTACCTGTAGAAGCGTAAAGTCGAAGTTTGTAACTGTATATAGGAATAAAAAGTCATGATTTTGTGAGATTCTTGATAAAGGAATGTCCTGCGTTTGAGCTATCGCCAGCCGCACTATCCAAATGTCACAAAAAATCTCACTATAGATATAATCCCACGTGGGTCTAATAACACGCTTGAAATAGCTGTGTTAGCTTAGTGTTAGAGTGTCATCGACGAACTTACGGAATCTATTGTGCCTTCAGTGTATAACACGTAAATTTATGTTTTATTAAAATCTTAGCTCCCGAGATTTTTGAAATAACAACAAAAGCCTTCGATTAGCCTGATAAATTTATATTCGGTTCAATTCATCTGCTTCAAATTAGATTTAAACTCATATCGTTAGCGAAAACAGATTATTTCCATTAAAGTGAAAATATCTCGTCGAGAAATCGTGTATCAATAAGCTTAGAGGTTTGATTATTCAACTGTTTAAACTACAATCCAACACTCGGCATAGATCATTCACGTTTTAACGCTTTATTAACAAGGGTTTGTTTGATTTTATTCAGTTCTAGGTAACTTTTGAATTTTTTCAGAAGTACTAGGCATGGATCTGGCAGACTGGACAAATTTTCCTGCTACTGGTCCGAAGAATGATGAAGAAGGTTACTTTCCAGAACTTCATGAAGAAATACAAGGAACAGCGGGTAAGACGGCTTCTCTGACTGGTGAAAGAGGCAACAGCTCGTCCAATTATCATGGAGATAGCATGTTCTTACACCATCTTGATCATGATCTATATGAAAATGGAGGAGACAACAGCACCAGCACTAACAATTCAAATAATCAGACATCATCTACTCACCAGAGTTCAAGATCTAAAATATTTCCAAACGATAGTCATTACGAATTTGAGATAGATAACATCAACTTCATGTTACCAGAAGACTTGAACTTTGAAGAGAACGGAAACACCCAGTCGTCGGCATTTCCTCCTTCAAATATGCCACAACCTACTCCTAACATGAACCCTGCAAATAAATACGTTAATAGTATTCTGAAGGATAATAGCAAAGCTTTTGCTTCTCCTGTGTTACCAAGTCAGAATGAAAAATCATACAACAATCAGCATTATTATCACAAGCACAACAATATTTCCAGATCAGACTCATTTCAAAACAGGAATCATGTTAGGCCCGACGCCGTTTTCTCACCACTAGTGTCACCAGCAGTTACACCATTGGATTCACAAGTTAACATGAACAAGACTCAGTACAACCCTCCACTTCAGACGTCTTTTGAACCATTGACATCTCCTGCGTTGGGTGCTGACCAAGATAAAAAAAGGCGGTCGTCGCCGTCAGTGTATGGCACCAGTGATGATGCGGTCTCTTATAAACGGAGGACTCCTCATGGTACACCAATAATGCAACCAAATGATAGCACTAGATCTAAGAAGTCACCTGCAATGAAAACTAGAAACTCACGTCGCTCCTCCTCATCGTTATCAGTAATTGAAAAAATTTCGGAGCCTAGTATTGATCCATCAAAGTATGAGGAGACGAGCGCAATGCTCCCTCCCCAAGCCATAAAAGTTGATATAGATCCTTCTGTTGGCGAACGTCCAGCGCTTATGGGTTTTACTATGGGAAGGTTAGCAGAGCAATTTGATGAAAATTTCAATGAAAATAATTCAGAAGCAAGGTCAAGATCTTCTAGGCGTTCCTACTCTAATAAAATTTTACCAAAATCGTCTTCCTCAAGTGAAGCGTCGCCTATTCTAACCGAGCAGAGATCCAATTCTTCTGCGAAGCCGAAGTATGAGAAGCCAGCAACAAAAAAAGCTTCTCATAAGATAGCTGAGCAAGGAAGAAGAATTAGAATGAATACAGCAGTCAGTGAATTGGCAACTTTAGTTCCTCAGTCATACCATGACCAGGTTGCAATTCCTTCCAAGGCTACGACTGTTGAATTAGCCTCCAAGTATATCAGGGACTTGGTGAAGGAGATTGACACATTAAAGAAAAACTTGTGAGGGGACTTGAATGTCTTCTCAAATCTCAAAGCAACATTATAATCACTTAAAAGCGTCGCCCGAAGATTAAAAATCTTGTAGTAATAAAATATCATTAATGTATAGATTTTGTATTGGGTCATTATTTTAACTATGTACATACTTAATCGAACTCCTCAGGCCACCAATCAGGAATAAAGACCTTGCAACCTAAAGTTTTTGATCCTCCTCCTTCTAAACTTGGAATTTCTACTTTAAATAAGTCATTCTTCTTGATTGTCAGCAATGAAATTAGCATGAACCCAGTGTTATTTTCAATGGACAATAGCTTTCCCGAGGATGTATTTCTTTTTCTGACAGGTCTTGAAGAGGCCCCAAATGGTGATGATGCAAAACTTGGAATAGTATCTTCTGTACTATTCTTCTCATTTTCATTATTATTTAGTGGAAACACATCCATCTTAGATATTATAGATGGACTAAGCTGCTGAAGATCCATTATTACAGGATCATCAAGACTGATCTCAATGAAATCCTGATCACCTATTAGTTCAACTGAGCCTTCCTTGAGTGAAAAGAATTGTACAGGAACGATTCTTTTACGAATAGTACCATTATTATATGTTCGGATGGTAAGTTCTTGACCAACATAACAACCTTTATCTAAACACAAGCCATTAGTATAATCTAGGTTACATTCAAAAGGAAGCAATGAGGTCCCCTTCATAGCATCTGAAACTTCAAATAACCCATTCGCATACCTGCGTCTCTTGATCTCTTCTTCCTCACAAAATTCAATTGAAAATCTATCTCGAAACAGATCAGAAAATAGATCAGACAAGCTTAGCAGATTCTTAGAAGGAGATCGGTTTGGATCGTCATGTAACGGTTGAGTACTTATGAACTTAATTCCGAAGTTAGGGATTCTATTATCAATTGCAAAGCCCAATATGCTCTCCGCAGCCTTTTTGTTAAATATTGTTTCATTCCTTACGAAGGAATTTGCTTTGTCTAAGGCATCAAGTGGACTGGGTGTCACAAAATACTGATCCTGGCAGCTTTCTAACCACTCGTCAAACTCAGGGGAATCGTTATAATAGTAGTAAGAATATAAAGTATTTTTCATCGAGATGCTTACGTCAGAGCTCAATTTATGCAATTTCAACATCATTAGTAATTGAGACGATACAGAGGTATCGACTTCAACTAAGTATCTCGGTTCATCTTCCAAGACTTCCTTATTTTCATGGTTTATATTATGAAATGGAATACTGTAGAGAAAACAATCGGTAACAACCCTGCCTTTAGAATTTAGAAACATTGAATTGTCACCATCTCTAGAGACGAGAATTTTTTCCTGGGGGTCAAATATATCTTCATGCATCAATCCCCAATTCTTGTGGATGTCAATCATAGATGTAAGTTCTGCGTGTTTCTGTTCACTAAAAGTATGTTCCTTCTTTTTTATAACGTTAGGCAATAGCCTCGTAGTGACAAGACCATTTAAAAACTTCGTAGCATCAATACCACATATCTGAATTAAAGACTTTGATAGTGGAGTAATTTTTGACATTGAGGAAATCAGAATATAGCAATACAATTAATTATCGTTATCACCGTCTATTACTAGCGATTACTAAAAGAAGTTTGGATTTGAAATGCACACGCACTATCACATCTCAACAATATTCAGGAATAGCTACATTTTACTATAAACCTAACTGCTTTCCTATTTCTCTCTTCGACCTTCTGGGAGTTTCAGAACGTTCGCTTATGTCCGATTGAGAATCTTCTTTCATAGAGAGCTTGTCTCTTATCCTTTCTGATAATGATAAGCCAAATTTTTGAGTAGCAGCTTCACTGCTATGTGAGGATGCCAACTTAAGCAAATTTGAAGAAGATCCTCTCCTAGATCCCAACGTAGAATTAGCGCCAGAAAGTGAGTTCAAGTGTGACTCTGTTCTTGAAAGATCTTCTGACCTGAGACCCATTTCCCCGAAGTCAAAATATCCATAACCTCCTAGAAGATCATAGCTCGCACTTTCAGATGACGATCCCTCCGATTCTGCGTCAGACATAGAAAGATCCTTATACTTGTCAAAAGAAATTGGTTCAGAATCAGTGCTGGTTGTTAATAGAATTGGATGACGAGTCAGAGGTGAGTTTGAGTCGATTTTATGTTCAGGCTCCTTTCCTAATTCTTTTAATTCACTCTTTCTCGCCTTTGAGTCGCTGATATTATGAATCAAACTCATATTTTCTTTCAAGAGATTTTTCAACTCACTAACCACCAGTCTCAAAGTGTCAAGGAATCTTTTAGTCTGTCTGTATTTAGATGATGCTGTTATCACAACTTTATCATTATGAATAATGTAGCCTATTCCAAAACCTTGATCAATAGCAGGAGGAATACCAAATAGGTGTAGCGCATTGTTACCACAGTTTGATACTAATAGCTCCGGTGCAGAGAGCATATCAATAATTGGGTGTGAGAGTAATGGAAGTTGCAGACTATCGACCTTAGATAGATCTGGAATGGCAGGCAAATGCTTATTCAATTTGTTCAAGTAAGTCACAGCATGCGGACGCTTAATTATATGAACTAACGAGATAAAATGTCTGTCGAAACCTTTTCCCATCATTGCATCTTGGTATTGCTTTTTATGCCTAACACAACACTCTTTAAACATTTCCCACTTTTTCTGCGAGCTTGGGTTAGCTATAAAATACTTGACTAGCTCTGACACCGAGTCATTCTGTACTGTGATAAGCTCAGTTCTGGCATCTCTGAACTTTCTGGTCGTGATGGGCTCCAACGTATTAACAATTTTTCCGTATAAGGAATAGTGGGCGATTTGGAGACTAATTTGGAGCATCGAATCTATTGAGATATCCTTGATAAAGTTGGATTCTAGCTTTAAATTCATTGTCTCATACTCATGCTGGTTAATGAGGTCAGTTAATTTAGTTTCAGACAAATGAACCAAATTAAGCAACTCAGGGGTACGATTAAATTTGAGCTGATTGCAAACGGGTTTCTCAATATTGCCATTTGAAGATACAAAGACAACGTTGCTGTCAAATAATGTGTATTCTGATCCGTTGATGTTTTTAGCCAATTTAAGAATCAGATCAGTATAAATATCGCTGATGAATCTTAATATTGCAGTGCTGTCCATTGAGGTAGACTCCCAAACAACAGCTGCAACAGCATTCTTAGTCACAATCAATTGTAGTTTATCGTACCATCTGGATGTACAAGAACCCACTTGGAAATTTGTTCCCTGAAGTAGCTCAGATGAGCCATGTGATAAAATGGATGTTTTTTCTTGGTCAGTCTGTGGCGAGTTACTAGAGTCTAATACAACAACAAACAATGCATCGTCAATAATCTCAAGGTTTTGTGCATTCGATTTAGTTAATTCAAGTCTTGCTAACTTCCAGTAATCAAAAGACTGTGTGGTTAAAGATCCAATAGCATCATGTATGATATCTAATGGGTTGACACCGTCAGAAATATCAATTACTCGTTGTAAAATAATCGAGAGCTCATGATCGTTGAACCATAACTTATGCTTAGAATGTATCTCCTTTTCATTCTCTTCAGTGAACGGGGTCAATACCTCTAGTTTGAAATATTGATTTTTACAAATGATAATTATGTGTCTGGAGTCATTAATGTTCTTATACTTCTTAATCGTGACATGCTGATCATATTTATCCAATAAATCTGGAATCCTGGTAGTCCCAAATAAGTTTTTGTAACAGTTCATTGTTAAAGGATGCCCACTTTTAGGAGTGAGATCTGGCTTCAAGGTTTCATTACGAAGACTTACAATAAACTTCAAAGAAGAATTGATAAGATTAGATGCCCTCTGAGCCTGATTTGGTGGATTTATTGTCTTCGAGTACGGGTCCTCTTCTAATATAAGAAATGGATTACGAGGTAAAATGTCGCCTCTTAATTCTCCATATATTCCGGGATTGGTTTCATCATTTATGCAGTTCAAATAGCAATATTGTGATGGGTTCTTCGAGGCTTCAATTAAGTGGGATTGCAATAGATTAATTAAATCATTAGAAACAAATTGTGATGATTCTAGTAAGAGTTCTTCGTACTCTTCCTGAGAGAGCAATGGTTTCAATGCTGACAAGAGCTGTTGAGTTGTAGACTGTAACAGGGGAACCGGTAAATGAGGGAGATCCTCTTCAAACTGAAATGTATTCATCATTGTATAAGGAACGAGATACTAAAAATTGTAAGAAACCCGTTGCTGTTATATACCATCATTCGTTTTTGTGGGGAAATCACGACTTTCACAAAAATGCCAACATTTCTATGGGAACGACTGCGACTGCAGGATCGCCCACTTCCTTTTTGTTGCAAGAGAAGACCACAAAAGAATAGTACTCTAGGACTTCAAATTCGTGAAGGACAATGCACCTCATATTGAAGAGTAAGATGAATAAGGCTTCAAGCCCCTTATCTTTAATCTGGAAATAAAAGATTAAAATTTTCTATGGACATTGCGAATATACCATGAATCTATCATTAAATAGATGCCCTCAGATGTTTTTTCTCAGCAAGTTCATCGACATTCTGTGGATGGATTTCAAAGCCATTCTCTGGCATTTCCTGATATGCCTATAGTAATCCTTGTAAAAGCATACCATGTTTTATTCGGTGATACAAGTGAACTCGTATTCTTTTAGAGACGAATGCGGCAGAGCTTGTACAATGTTTCGGTGATAGGTATGGAAAGTGGACCCCGTGGATTTTGTTACTTAACGCCTTACATGACTATTTTGAACTGGGTGCAAAGAGTTCCGATTACGTAAATACAATTTTTTGGCCAAAGTACTGCCGTAAATATGAGAACGCGGATCACACGTAAGTATTAAATTTGCGAGGGTACTCCACAGGAATTTAAGCACCCCGCAAATCAAGCATGGCGTTATCTGTGGCAAACTTATATATACGAGAAATTAAGCCTCAATAATTTTTTTCTGAAAGAAGGTTACTTCTATTAACGTTGATATGACTTACCAATCCTTTGATGTTTTCAATCATGCCCCTTTAACACCTCAAAAGGACCACGAAGAAGGTTCATATTTCGATAAGAGGCAAAGTTCAACCGAACAAGAAGATGAAAGATCTGGGGAAAATGTCCACAATCCGACTGTATCCAGCTTGATCAAAGAAGAGACTTATCATAAGTCCTCTGATAATTTGGTTGTTGGCTTGTAGAAAGTCATTAAAGTATCTAATACAGAACTACCTGTAATGCTATTGAGTCTAAATTTATGATGGTATTGGGAAAATACTTGGCTGGTCCAGTACTTCTCGCCTATAGATGCAGAAATATATATTCTAGTTTTTTATATTGCAGCTGTAGCTCTCTGGGAGAAACTTCCCACTCTGTAGTTTCTATTAGGTCAAACAAATGTTGTGCTGATGGATTCAATTCACTTATAATTTCAAAAAGGCATTCACTGCCAACTGTTCTGATAGACGGATTCCTATGATAACAGCTCATCCAAACGATTCTTTTGCGAGCATCGACTTGTACGTTATTGGGAACTTCTTTTTCGAACGATAAATGTTTAAAAACCATTAAGCAAAGACCGACTCTTACGTTATTTGAAGTATTGATCAGTAGGTTGAAAGCTCTCACGTACAAAGCCTTAAAATTGAAATCCGCTGGATATCCAATATTACTCTCGAAAATCCTTACAAATAGATTAAGGACATTAGAGTAGGCTTTCACATCTCTTGAGCTCAATATGCTTAATGGTTGCCCCTTCGGAAGCACTAACAATTCAAGAAGGATAGAAAAGACAAATGCTTTTTGCTTGTCTTCTGCAGAATTTAGAAAAAAAATCACTTCAAAAAAGGCCCTTTGGATTATATCTCTAGAGCCAGTCAAAGCTCCCGCTGTATGACTGATCCCTTTCCAGAAACTTATTGAAAAACTCCGATTTAAATTATCTTGGTCTAGATCTAGAGAAATTCTAAACTCTTTATAAAATTCAAAAAAGCATTTAAAATAAGTTTCCGAGTTATTGTGTGAGACCTCTGAAGTTGATGATCGCATCTTTAATACTAAGCTCAAAGATATATATCTCAATTTATCTATGAGCTCTCCTGCAATTCTGAGTAAGCGTAGCTCAATTTCAGATTGCTGTTCTTGAAAAGACTCTAAGTTGTTCTCAATTAGTTTTATTGTTGCATATCTTACCTTGGATCCTACATCTCCGTGGTTCGTTAAAGTATAGTCATCTAGGTGTGGGATCAAGGAATTTAATATCTCATTATTGAATTCATAAGCTTTAAAGTTAAGACTTAAGCCATTTAGCATATGAGACTTCACATCACAATCAATATGCTTCATATTTATCAAATTGATCAATGTGGAAAATTGGCTAAAATTAAACTTCAAATAATAGAAACAGCACTTTGAAGCTAAGATATTACCGCGCTCGATATAACGAATTAGGGTTTCGAAATTGCCATCAGTTTCGAAAAACCCTATACAATGAAGCTTCAAGAATAGAGCCTTATAAATATGAATAAGTCCATCAACATCATTGAGTCGCATAATAGTAAACATTTTTTCAAAAGAAGAATTTGGAACTTCAAAATTATGCTCCAATAAAATTGTGATACATTTAATAAAACCTTCAGCTTCAAGAAGCCCATTATGGAAATGATCTAAGGTAAAAGATTTCACACTCAGAATAAGCACATTTTTCACATATTGCTTGTTACTTGACAAATCACAAATTTCACTGAAGGCAAACATTATCCTACGCGACGCCAAAAGTTCTAGAACCTCATTTAAGCAAATATTTCCATGATGATCGCCTAAAGGAATTAAAGATTGTTTTTTAGTATTTGATTTGATTAAGATGATCTTCAAATGTGCTGCACCTAACTTTTTCACGTTATAGTCTGTCTGTTCGTTTGTAAGACTTCCAATGAGATGATTCACGATCAACTGATTACTAAATCCTAATTCGATTAGCTTTTCGAGTAAGTTATACGACTCATGTAACGTAGATACGTTATGGGTATTGAATTGTTCCACAAATCGAATAGTTAGTTCACCAAAGTCTTCTTCGTGACTTGAAAGATGCTTGAACATCGATGATCCAAACCTTCCTACAAGCTCTTGAAGGACAGCTGTACCACATCTACGCACTGTTAAATCGTGATCAAATATTGTCGCTCTGATCAAGTCGAATAGTAACCATGGTATTACCCTAGGGTCTTTTTGTATCAAATCATCAAATGACTGAGAGTTCATCAGCCTTATTAGAGACCATAAAACAAAACAAGAAGCATCTCTAATTTGAGTGGCCAAGGACATCATCATCTGGGACTCTTCAAAAAACAATGTTTCATGTGTAATACTTATGACAAGGGGAAAAAACCGATTAGGAAGAACTTTTTCTAAAGACAGATAGCCAAGAAACAATAAAATTATGTGTACCTTAGATATTGAAGTATCTTTAAAAGGAATATTTAAATCAATATTGAATTCATTTAAGTTTGCACCATTGTGGAATAGGAAAGGTTGTTCAATATACAATTGCTTAAATAAATATTCCATCACCTGGTCTTGATAATTAACAGCGTAAATCGAGAGACTCGTAACTATGTGATTCAAAGATTTTGCCAAGGCATATCTTAACTTAGTATCAATTCGATGTTGTAAGCAGTTCATTACATTGTGAATTAGGTCATTTATAATTGCACTTACTTTGACAAAATTGGATTCCTTGCTATAAATAACCGCGAGCTTACCCAATATCTTTATCATATAAAAGGTACTGAAATTATTTATACTAAGATCCGTCATATGCTGCTCCTGATACCTCAAATTAACGAGATTCCAGTTAATGAAATTATAAATTTTATCACAATATTCGGCGAGCTCCAGTTCCGGAGCCCTCTTGATAATCTTGTTTATGATTATCAAATGTCCCAAGCTGATAGCTTGGACGCTTGAATCCGAGGGGTCTAGTTGCCCTTGTACAGTATCAGAAAGATAGCTGCTTAATATTCCATCGCTTAAGGAATCAGGTCTCGTTAGCAACCTAGACACAAGAATTGAAGCAACAACTTGTGTTTTGGATACATTGTTGTGCTTGAGTGCGTGATGTAAGCCAATGTTTAGTAAATCCTCTGGTAGCGTCGCACTTACTTGCCTTAAAGGAAATGGTACTAGCAGCAAGTTTGAGAGCCACATTAATACTAAGAATATTTCATTGCTATCTTCTAAATGACTTATTAATTTCAGTAGTCTAGGAAATAAGTAAATATCGCTCGAAAGACAATCAACACAGAATTTAAATCCACGGATTTTTGATAGTTCATATATGAGCTCACCGATACCATTCGTATATATAGTAGATTGTGCGTTAGATGAATAGAGCTTAAGATATAGCTCTGTTAAGCTATCCGTAAAAAAGCGAACAAGGGGATCAAGTAGCTTGGGATAATTTTCATATTCATTAATAATAAGTTTGAGATTTCTTAAGTAAACTTCGAACTTCACACTCTTATTTTCGAAAGAATTTTCCGGATTCAACAATTGGACTATGGAAAGAGTTAATGTTGTAGCCTCTTCTCTTAGTTCGTCATTTCTTTTGATGATATCCTGTTCTTTCAGGTCATCCATAGTACATTCTATTCAGATATGATGTACTACTGTTATCACCGGACGCGATATATGAATCTCATGTCGTGAATGTCGTTTACATTTATTGAAAGTTTTTTCAAGGAGTGAAAGAAAATTAGAACGTTATAACATATCCGTCAAAGATGCCTGCAAACGGTAAAATGTTCTACAAAATAACCCAGATACGGTCTACTATAGGTATGCCACCTAGAGTTCGTAAAAATATAGAAGCTTTGGGACTAAAAAAGAGGTACCAAACCGTCTACCAAAGGGTATCACCATCAACTGCCCACAGATTAGCTGCTGTTAAGGAATTAGTGAAGCTTGACTTAGTTGATGAACCAAAATCTGCATATGATATGGCCATGGAAAGAAAGTTTGAACCTGGTTTTGAAATCTTGAAAGGCAATATGCTAAACAAGGTATATGAATAACGTTTTTATAAGACTAATGAATGTTGAGGCACGTAAGACTTGTCATGAAGTCTTACAAGGTCATGGCTTTGCTAGTTAGTAGACTCAGAGCACTATAGATAGAAAACACAACAAGACTCCGAGATCAACTTTTATGTATAGTAATTTTAAATAAGAAAAAGAATAAAGAACCTAAAATTTAGTTATCTTTGGACAATTAAGTGATTCTTCTATTAATAAAATACCGTATGTGTCATTTTTCAAAGCTGTTGTCTATCTGACCTGCTTACTTCGAAAGTAAACTAATTTAAGACGAACACGCCTACTCACGTTCTCGACAACTGACATACTATACGTCAGAAGTCCAAGACGACACTTAAATTCTACAAAACAGATCTGAACATATCCTGTGATATACAACTAATGAGCCTCGTTGACAGTATAGTAAGTCACGCTGTAGATTATGTATTTGAATTAACTTTGCTAGAGATGTCCATTAGCTGAGTCGTAATTGGTTTATTGACTTCGCATCACATGATGTGGTTCATTGAAAATTTATAATTGTAAATAAGTTTCTTTCAAAGAGAAAAATAGCTTGTTACGAAGAATTAGAGCTTTCTGGTTCGTCTTGAGGATTACATCTCATTCATTAGGAAATACTTTAAATAAATAGGGAAATATGTTCGCGGGCATAAGGGCCACACAGAGGAATAAGTTGACCAGTTCCTTGTTCACCTCAACATTTGCAATATGCGTGGCATTAGTTGGCGCAAACTCTTTACTTCCATGTCCTATGGACAGCGTTCATGGTAATGATTCAGTTATAGAGGACAGGTTATCCAAGAGAAAAGTTCCGGTAGAAAAATGATAACAAGCTAACGACATTGATGTAACTTGCAAAGCATAACTGACATATTGGCTGCCTAAACAGTAGTATTCATGACTCAATATCCATATCAATCTTAAAAATATGAGTTAGAGAACTTTTTTGTCACCGACTTTCCAAAAACTCTACTTGCATTTCGAATTAGATGCTTAAATGAAACATATTTATTCCACTCAACGAATTTGATGAGTTTTGAAGTTCAAACTATTTAATTATAATTACACTAGGCTCAAAAAAACTTTCGAATGCGTGACAACTATACCTTACCATTATTTGTACATAAGCAATTTACTAATACATATGAAAATTAATGAAAAGAATAAAATTATAGAAAGAAAGGGGGAACAAATGAAGTGATACTTCATTTCTTTATTTCATTTCTTACTAATTGGAGTTAAATTATGATGAATTCAGGGGTTTGGTGGTATTGTCAGCTTTTAGCCAACTCAGATAAACTAGGAACCTTTATGTCGTTAAAGTATGATTTTGAGGTCTCTTAGATGATACATGTCTCTTTTTGTCGTTTTGATTTGCGACATTCATATCACTGTTTTCAGCCTATGTATAAACAAAAACAATTTGTTATCCGAAACGGGAGCACTAATAGACAAAATATAAATGAGCAATATGATGCAAATGATGCCATTAAACAGGATCCGAAGCCTGTAATTCTACTTTCTATAATTATTTCTTTTAGACGGTTTAGAAATCCAAATCAAATTTTTATCATGAACTTTAGCGCCAACAATGTTCATCCCTTGATTAACCTTAATTATAATTTCCCCAAATCTATTAGTGAAATGAATGAAACCACGAAAGGAGAAAATAGTCAAGGGAGCTGTTTTAATTTGGCCGATGTTCCATTGCAGACGGCTCCTGGATCTTCAAAGAGTCCATTAGGGAAGCATTTTCGATTATGTGAAAAAGATATTGACTTAATTGAACCCTTGAGACAAATACTCAAGGAAGATCAATTCGTTCTAAAAAAAGTAAGGGATGACTTAAACAAAAGAAGCAATAAGGAGACACTAAAGGAACCAATATCCACAAAAAATTCTAGAAAATCTAAGAAAGTTCAAAATCACAAAGTAGTCAAATCAAATAGAACTGAGGTTCTTCACAATCAGAAAGAATCAATAAATTTATCACCTTGTGGTACCGTTGAGAGACCTCATTCATTGCAGCAATCTACACCCGTTTCTTCCTCGAACCATATCATAAAAGAAGCTTTTGACGGACATAATTTGCACAGGAAGAATTTAGCTCTTGAAAAAGCCTCAAAATTGACACTAGAGACTGAAGATTCAGATTATGATCATCTCGCTTGTCATGCCGATAATATTATGAAAATGGCTGTCGATTCAACCATGTTGGGTTCAACTTTTAGCGCATCGCTTTCGTTCTCTAGCCTTAATTATGATGTCGATGTTCTGCCGAGAGCTACTGGAGAACTTGCCTATGAAGATGCCGAAAAAAGTGTGTTAGAGACTATTATACCCAAGAGGCGTAACAAAAGAAGTAAGCAAAGAGAACTGATTATGATTAGTGCTCAAGATTTAGCAGCAGCGATTCTGTGAGTCGGCACTTTAATTTAAATTTTGGGTCCCAAGTATATAGTTCAAATACTCTGCATCCCTAAGATCCACGGATCTGATATATTTACGCTTAAAATTTGATTCATCTTCCTTCGTTAGAATCCCCTCACTTTTTGTAAATGCATGTTTCGACCAAAGATCCTCAATTTCATCTTTCGTCAAGGAGGCTCTGTTTTTCGGTAAGCTTTTGTAAAAATCTATTAACTCAATTGTCTTCTTATCTTCAACAACAATCTCGGGAGGAATATGATCCAAAACTTTTCGCACTTCAGGAGCTATGTAGCCGTGAAAGTCATGAAAATAATGATACATGTAAAATTGCAAAAAGTCATGTACGCTTCCTTTCATTATCGCAGACAAGAAATTGGCGTAGCGGTAATGAGTCTGCTTTCCTAAAGATTTAAGAAGCACAAAGAACCGCACGGAACATAACTTGGCCCCAGGAGAGTTGATTAATGAATTAGAAATTATATCTAACAGATCGTCATCAAGCCATTCAGAAACGAACTGAGGATTTTCATTATGCAATAATAGCAAAACTCTAATTAAACCTGAAAAGTTTTGATGAAGATTAACATGATTTAACACACAATTAATAAATAAAGTTATGGTTTCTCTTTCAAAATTCTTATGCAGTGTGAGATATTTTATATGATATTCGATGAAATCTGTTAAGATCTTAATGTTTGCTAAAATATTGCCCGTAGGAGAGGATTCTATATTTGCATTCGAGCTTTTTTCTGGGATATCTGCGTCTGATATATTAAATGTCAAACTGTTGCCAGGCATATTGGATTTTTTTAGTGATTCTTTGTAAACTTTATAATTCTGGAACTTAAAGGACATGCATTCCCCTATCTCTTTAAAGCTCAATAGAGAAAGCTTGTCTCTCGCTAAAAGGTCATTCAAGACATCCAATATTCTTTTTATGCTTTCATCATTATAATAATCCTGATATATATTATCATTAGCATAATCATTATGATAGCAATACGACTCTATTATCTTGACACGAAGCTCGTTAGTCAAAGCTCTTTCTCCCTTTAATTTTTTATGTATGAAGTGTGACTCAATAAGAGATAATGTCAGGTTGACATCCCCATTTGTCGCCAAAGTATGAAGTATTTGGAAAACCTCCTCGTCCGTGATAGACTTAAAAAATGAGTTGGGGCTCTCTAACTTCTCAAATAATGCTTGTTCGGTTGTTATTGAGGAGTTCTGATAATCCTTCATTAGGTATGTTTTGTAAATCAATTTCACTAATTTATAATTGTTTTGTGATAAACCTGTGCTAAGATACTTGTCCCAATCAGATTGTCGTATAATACTTGAGGTGGTGTTCGATCCATGGTCTAAAATTTTTTGAATCCACGTTGCTAAAGACTCGCAGTCTTTGTTAGAAGCGAGAACATCAAGGAATCTCAGAATTGGTATTGTCTTTAGTATTTCCAGCTCCTTATGATTGGAAAGTTGGAGATTTTTCATTTCCATAAGTATATCTTCAAAATATTCTTGAGCCCTTTGATTTTGAAACGTATTAAGGAAAGTGTTTAAGTGAGCAGAATGGTAACGGAAAATAGTATGTAAATCTTTAGCCTCATTTGGTATTCTATTATTCCATAAATCTTTTAAGATTATTAGATTCGTGAAATCATGACATGTTTGGAATGACATCAATAAATAATAGGTTAGAGCTCTAGATTCATCCGGACAAATATCTAAACTAGTAGCTTCACAGTACAAGGAAAGTGCCACGTTCACTAGTTCGGGCTTTCTCGTTAGATAGCAAGCTTTTAATAAGAGTAAATATATGTTCGGAGTTGGTTCAACATTATTCTTCTTCATCATAGTTGCGATAGGCCATATATCCTTAAAGTCCTTAGACTTAATCAAAGAGTCTAACTCTCTCTCGTAATCATTTAGGGCACCAAAAGCTTTAGTACTGTGTCTTTTTGTTATTGATAGTATTGGAATGTTCAGCAGAATTGATAGATGATCGCTTTTAATTCTGGAATTCATATTTCCTCTTTTCTGTGAGAGTCTCTTGATATTTCCTGGAGATGCTAAGTAAGCCCTGGCCCTGCTTCTCAGTACTCGTGACAATGAGAATCGCCACAGAATCATCGCTCATCTTGATAAGATTGTATCTCGGTATATTATATTCTTCTCACCGACTTTATCGAAGAAAAAAAAATTTCAATATATAGAGCGTTATCTCATATCAAGAGAGCTAATTGAAAAGTAGTATGCTCAAGGGTATAAAAATAGTTCGAACACTAGCTACTTCTGCTGGTGGCAATTCGGCAAAGCAGCACCAATATAGTGTCTTTGATAGCTCTGCAAAGATTGCTCAGAAATCAAGGATTGCGAAACTTAATCCTACCTTATCTAGGAAAACTGAGTATTTGAGGGATGATGTAGCACTCAAGACTGTTGAAAGATTGGCGTTTATTACAAGAGATTTTCCTAAAGTGCTAGACTTTGGCTCCCATCTGGGAAATTTACTTAAAGTGCTCTGCCAAGAGACTAAAACACCTGAGGGTGCTGACGAAGTGGAGATGGCAATTATAAAGCAATTGAATGAAGATAAGAAATTAGTAAGATCTAAAATTAAAGAGCTAGTAATGCTTGAGCCTTCTTCTGAAATGCTCTATAGAGATGTCAATGAACCCTTCAACTCTCAATTTGAAGGGAAAATATCACGTTATGTTGCAGATGCAGAGACGTTCGATAGTGAATGTATGAGAGACCCTGAACAATATGATGCTGTGATCTCTAATTTGTCTCTTCATTGGATAAATGATTTACCATCTGTGCTTGCTAATATTAATCGTGTTCTTAAACCAGATGGTTTATTCATGGGGACCATCCTTGGGGGTGACACTTTGTATGAATTGAGAACATCATTACAGCTTGCGGAATTAGAAAGAAGAGGTGGAATCACTCCTAGGGTATCACCTTTGGTCAAGTTAAATGACGTAGGAACTTTGCTCAACAGGGCTGGCTTTAATATGTTGACTATCGATCCCCAAGATATAGTGGTAGGTGGATTCCCAAATATAATCGCTGTATGCGAGGATTTAGAAGCAATGGGAGAGCAAAATGCTTTATTGTCTCGATCAGGATTCATTCCTAGAGATGTTTTGCTTGCCGCGAATGAAATTTATAAGGCCCTACACGGAGAAGTTAATTCTGATGGAACATTGACTTTACCAGTGACATTTAATGTTATGTTTATGATTGGATGGAAGAAAGGAGAGAATCAGCCCAAACCTCTTGCAAGAGGTTCCGGAGAAGTAAATCTCAAAGACGTTTTATAATCCATATCTTAGCTTGTAAATAGAAGTAGGTAGATTTTTGATATAAAATCTGCATTCAATGATGCATTTCAGTGAAAGAAACTTGAAAGATTCTTAGGGAGTCACAATTGAATGATTGGGTAAATATTCCCTGTGATGGTGAAGCAGAAACCAGAATTTGAGTATCCTTTATTTTGAAACCCATTTCTTCGATAATAAAATGCTTTTATCAACTTGTGGAATCACCCTCCTTTAAAAGCATGGGCTATACAAACTTTTCACCCTTTTTCTTGTCTGTAAAAACCAAAAGAAATTTTTTCTTATCAGGAATATGCTTACTAGTGAATATATATATATATATCACTAGTGAATTTATTTCCTGTTTCCTACATGGGCAATGAACGAGGTTTGATTTGATAAATTTCGGATGCTTTCTTCTATTCAATATGCATTTAATATATGGTAATTAATTCTGTTCTGAAATTTCGCTTCTAAATTGTTGATGGTGGTATTCACTTTGAAATAATCTTTAATTCGTTTGCTACTTTTGAACAAAGTTTTCTTGATCTGAGATTATTCACTTTAAAGAGTTTTAATTCTTCTATATCTTGAGCCAGGTGCAAAAGATCATCTTGTATCTTAATTAGGAAATTCTGCGACACTACCTAGATGAATATTACTTTGGAGCTTTCTTGCGTCGCAGGTTTAACATACTTCTTTTGCAAGATTTCTAGGAGATTTCTAGATTTCTCATTACCTTTTAAATGATTATGGAAGAGATCTGTATTTTACATTTTCCTTTTTAAAAATTTAAGTGCAATAAAATTCCAATAACTCTATTTAAAATCATAAACTACCAAATCCTTTTCTAGGTGCAATACTTGCATCCCACTTCAAGAGTTTTTATCAATAGACTTTTGTAATCATGATTTCATTATTAGTAAGAGCTGTAAATATATGTCGCATACTCTGCAAAAGAATATACTCTCAATATTAGATGATCCGCTTGAAAGAGAAGCTCCAATTGCATCAGTTGGTCTGATCACACTAATCCTCTGCTTGTAGATTGCGCTATTTGAAAAAAAAAATAAAAAAAAGGAAAGATAAACCGCTGCAGCATTGAAAGAGACGAGCTGCTTGAAACGGATCCCCTAGTTTTGTTTGGAAACAATAACGTCGAAGTAAGCAGTCAAATACCTTGCCACGTTAATATCAATCATTACTTCACCATATCTTGTTCTAACTTGACCATCAATATAAAGAATATGTTAGAGGTATTCAGATCATCTGAGACACTAATAACTTATACCAAATGAGCGATTTGAAAATGCATTTCACCTCTGCAATAGGTTCTTTAGCACTAGGTACGTAGCTTGAATTCAATTAGCTGACTAGTTGTGTCATTAAGCCTTGACCTTCATGCTCCAAAAAGGTAATAATTTACGAGCTCAAAAGCTCCTCGGTATTCGGCATAGGCGTGTTCTCCACATAAATAGATATCTAGATTCTAGTCACACGCCATGCAATGAAGAGCTTCTTCTGTGGGACATATCTGTTTTTAAACCTAAACGTATAGATAATATAATATATCAAAACATACGTGATTGAAATGGCTATATATAATACCTCCCTGTCGAGCCTGCAAAAAAGGCAAGAGGTTATTCTTCCAACATACCAATTGGATTCGAACTTAGTATTACTTCCAGGCATTATCTATAATGTAACTTTCTCCAGATTTAAAGCCGCTGCCTTACTCTCCAGGTATAAGGAAAGAGCCAGCGGTATTAAGATATTGAGAGACTTGGTAAACGAGTATGAATTTAATGAGGAAAGCAAGACAGCTTTGCCCTCCACTATTTCACTGGATGCGATACAAGGTATTGAAACCTTCCACGCGATACAGTTTAATAACAAGAGTAAAACATCCCTGTTATCTAATGAGGATCATAATCTGAGTGATTTCGATTGGTTAGTCATTGCTATCGAGCCGAATACCGATAAAATAAAGTATCCGGATGCTGATGGAACGCACTCTAGCAATGGAGTGTTAACCATATCGAGGATTATAGGTATTGTGGATGAAACAAGTAATGTTAGATTAACGATTCAAGCTTTAATCAGAGGCTCAAAAGTTGAAGGATTCAATTCTGGTAGGACTAATGAGAAATTAATTGAAGTTGATCGCAACTATGATGTACCAAGTCTTGACTCCAGGCTCTTGAAATATATAGATAGTGCAGACGGATTGTTTCAGAGTATTGATGAATTTATGTTAGAGTACCGGAAAGCATTGGCTACTGCTACCACAGCACAGTCTAAGAATGAAGGAAGAAACACAAACTTGTTATGTTTGAATCCTCTAGCCAATGCTTTATTTTTGCAGCTAGGAGGCTCCAAGGATTTCAGCAAAGCCTATACACGTTTGCAGAAACTATACGGTACACTAAAGTCAAATAAAACTTCAATAGAAAGTAAATCAGGCTTAAGGTTGCTTGATTTGACGTGTGCAATTATTCCCTTCCCGAATCACGATAAGTTGAACTTTTTAAACATTTTTTCTCCCAAAAGGAGATTTAGTGAATTGGGCCGCATGAATGAACGTTTGAAAGAAGTATTTGAAAATTTAAAAGCAGACAGTTGCTATATGAATCATTGGTTCTATAGTGAGGCCTCAAATATTCAAAGAGCAAAGGTGGTTGCGAACCAGTTAAAATCCATAAGACTCGTTTTAGAGGGTATAAGTAACGATAGAAATTCCAAAAATGTCTCCCAAAACAGAAACAAGCTAATACGTCGACCAAATTCGATTCCCCTGGGAGCTCGATCGAACGAGGAGTTTGATGAAGATGGAGACAATGAAAATGATGAAGACGATGAATTAAGGTTAATCGCCAACTTTGTTAACAATAAGTTGCCACATATCTCAACATTGCTGTCAGATACTAAAAGATTAATAGCTAAAGATTTCAAAAGAATCAAAACTTCTCCCCCTGGAAACTCAGACTATCACGTTATTCGTAATTATTTAGAAATTGTTGCTGACATCCCCTGGGATAAGTATGTCTCTAGATTTCGTTCTAACAAAGATATCGATATCGTTCTGGCCAAAAAGCAGCTAGATGATGATCATTATGGCTTAGAAAATGTGAAGAAAAGATTGATTCAGTATTTGGTAGTTTTAAAGTTACTAGGAATGAGCGCAGAGGAAAGAATCGAAGAGAAATCCGAGCTACAGAAAGATGATGCTCAAAAATTGGAGAATAAACCACATGAGGATTCGATAGTTATTCCAGACAATGATGAAACGATAGATTCGAAAGAGGCAGCCCGAAACAAATACAGCACAGCTAAATCGGCCATTAGAGACACTGTTCAAGATAAAGCGTTGATTGTTTCAAAGAATAATAAATCACCCATTATTATGCTTGCGGGACCACCAGGAACAGGAAAAACGTCCTTGGCTAAATCAATTGCGAAATCTTTGGGGCGGAAATATCAGAGGATATCTTTGGGTGGCGTAAAAGATGAATCTGAAATCAGAGGCCATAGAAGAACTTATGTCGGAGCAATGCCTGGTGTGATTGTCCAAGCGTTAAGAAAGTCTGGTTCTATGAATCCAGTTATATTGTTAGATGAAATTGACAAAGTCATTGGAGGTTCTCATATGGCGAATAAATTTAATGGCGATCCTTCTGCAGCTTTATTAGAGGTCTTGGATCCGGAGCAAAATACCAATTTTACGGACCACTATTTGGGTTTTCCTGTTGACTTGTCGCAAGTGATCTTCATATGCACAGCTAATGAACCTCACAATATGTCCAAGCCCCTATTAGATAGATTAGAAATGATCGAGGTGGGTGCGTATGACTACAAAGAGAAGTTGATAATAGGAAGTAGGTACTTGTTGCCTAGACAGATAAAAAGAAATGGGCTACCTTCATTGGATTTAGTTCAAATTAGGGAAAGTGTTATGAAGAAAATCATAATTGATTATACAAGAGAAGCTGGTGTAAGAGGGTTTGAGAGAAAGTTAGGCACAGTCTGCCGATATAAGGCAGTTGAATATGCTCAAGGATTGGAAGAAGCAAAAGCAGATTCATATAATGCAATTGTTGAAGAATATGATCTTCCCAAATATTTAGGTATTCCCTTTCCAAGCATGTCATCTGAAATTATAGAATCACCATTAAAATCCTCGAAGTACGGGGTTGTGAATGGCTTGTCCTATAATTCTGAAGGTTCGGGCTCTGTCTTGGTTTTCGAAAGCGTTGGATTTTCTCACGAGTCTAGTAAGGGCTCTCTCAACATGACCGGGAGACTAGGAGAAGTTCTCATGGAAAGCGCAAAAATTGGACTTACTTTTATTAAACTGATAATTTTCAGAGATCTTTTAAATGTCAGTACCGAGCACGGATGCTTAATTGAAAGATTTAATAACTTGGAGATACATTTGCATGTTCCACTGGGTTCTATATCTAAAGATGGACCTTCGGCAGGTATCACGATGGCGCTCCTGTTTTTGTCTCTTATTCTTGAGCGTCCGGTACCGTATGATATTGCCATGACCGGTGAAATCACTCTTAGGGGATTGGTTTTACCAATTGGTGGTCTCAAGGAAAAGCTTTTGGGTGCTCATTTATCCGGAATCAAGAGAGTTATCGCTCCCAGAGAAAACAGGAAAGACTTAATCGAAGAATACGTAAAGAATATCAATGATGATACTAGACTCAACCAACTTCTCAAAGATAACGAGAATAAGTATGACTATAGGATGAAGGATCCTGAAAGACATATAGAGCAACGCTATGGTATCAAGATGTATTATGCTACTGAGTTTTGGGATGTCATTAAGGTTGTATGGGGCGACGATATGCTTGTTAAAGTCGACCAATCAAGAATGCTTGAGTACCATTTTTAGCTTAGTTCGGGCGTAGTTCGGATTAGTTATTCAACTAAAATCTAATAAATGTCTATTTCGTGCCAATGCAGCTGCCAAAAGCAACCTGAGTTGAAAAAAATTCCTGTGAATGTTCGATACCGCAAAAGAAAGATTCAATGTTTTTTTCATAATAACCCATATATGTTTTATAGACTTGATACGTTTATAATAATAAGGCTTCAATTGAATTGAAGAATAACAGATAATAGTGTTTGTTTTTTTTTTTAGAGCCAACATTCAGATTCGTATTTTTTGTTAGTGCATCTCAGTCCCGCTCTTGAGTTATGTTTAAACGTGTCTGCGCGACTATCCCTGTTGCAAGGGCAACGTAACCATGGATCAGAAATTTGAGAAAAAGTAATGCTTCGATTGAATGTATGAGCGGATATTATTTTTAGAGAGAATCCACTGTTGTTGATAGAGGACAAGAATACAGGCTTGGCAATTTTCTTGAAAGGATTTAATATCTTGAGGAAAAGTATAGTGATTAAACCGGGTATATTGGCGAAGGAAAAGCTACAAATAGTCTTTTTTTCACCTAATAGTTAAAATTACCTGTCCCAGACGTTCGCTTGTTAAAATAGGGACTCACGGATTAGAATTTGTTTAGAGAATTATTTGGGAAGAGACAAAACCTTTGTTACTGAGTAATAGAATTAAAGTCCGAGTGTTTGAACAAGAAGTCGAAGGATGATTTTTCATTTATGGCAGTTAGTGGGCTTACTCCAAGCCTTCTTTGTATATGGAAGCTTGGCAAAACGTAGTCTCTCAGCACAGTCGTTAGTTACATGCATGGATAACTCAAAGATCACACCAAGTTACTTTAATGTTACATTCAACCCCGATGATAGATCTTTGAGGTATTCGATAGACTTGACCACTGAAATCAACACTTATTGCATAGCTGATGTGAATGTGTACGCTTATGGTTTTGAGATAATTCAGAAGACTGTTGATTTATGTGACATAGGATGGAAGCAATTCTGTCCTATTTTCCCGGGTTCCTTACAAATTGACAGTATATCGTATATTAGTCAAAGTTACGTGGATGAGATTCTTGGAGCTGCTTATATTGTACCTGATATAGATGCGGTCGTTAGACTCTATATAAGGGACCGAAAGACTGGTGAGACTTTATCATGTATTCAGTCTAGTTTTTCTAATGGAAAGACAGTCTCCCAAACAGGTGCTAAATGGGCCACGGCAGTAGTAGCTGGTTTGGGTCTTCTTATTGCAGCAGTTATGACTACATTTGGTAATTCAAATGCAGCATCCCATATCTCCGCTAATGCTGTATCTCTCTTTCTCTACTTTCAGTCTGTTGTTGTTGTGTCTATGCAACATGTTCTGAGAGTTCCTCCAATCGCGTCAGCCTGGGCTGAAAACTTGGCATGGTCCATGGGTTTAATTAGAATTACCTTTATGCAAAAGATTTTTCGGTGGTATGTTCAAAGTACTGGTGGAAGTCCCACTACTTATTTAGATGGTACCCAAACAAAACAAATCTTAGTTCAAAGGAGTCTTGGATATTTGGATAATTTTAATCGCTTCGCGAGGAGCAAGGTTCCTGATGTTGTCAAAAGAGGTGTCAATGATTTGACCTCTAACACAAACCTAGTTATTATGAGAGGTATTAAAAGAATGGGCTACAATTCTAATATTGAACCAACAGCGATCGTTGCCACAGGGTATACTTTCTTTGTCTTGTGTGGCTTTCTTCTAGTTGTGATTCTTGTTTTGGTAAAGCAGTCACTAGAACTATTGATACGATTTAAAAAGATCAAACCCGCACGAATGGGTCAATTCAGATTGTCATTCATCCAGATTGTAAAAGGATCTTTATTGAGGTACCTATCGATCGGATTTCCTCAGTTAATAATTTTATCTTTGTGGGAATTCACAGAAAACGATTCTCCGGCACTTATTGTCTTGGCTGTTATATTTTTAATTGTTTCTTTGGCTTTGATTGGTTATTCCATGTTTAGAACTATTTCCTTTGGAAAGCAATCTATTGCGAAATATAATAATCCAGCTGCTATGCTTTACGGAGACACGAAAATTTTAAATAAGTATGGATTTTGTTATACTATGTTTCATGCCGATTTGTATTGGTTTGGGGCGGTACTAGTCACTTACAACTTGATAAAGTCAATCTTTATTGGCTTATGCCAGGGTTCAGGTAAAACATCTGCTTTGGTTATTTTCATATTGGATCTTTTTTACACTGCTTATTTGATTTACCTTGGGCCTTATTTGAACAAGCCAACAAACATTGTTAATTATTTAATGTCTGTTGTCAACACGATCAATTCTTTCTTGTTCCTTTTTTTCTCAGATTTGTTTGGTCAGCCGATGCCTGTATCATCGATTATGGGTTGGGTTTTCTTTGTGCTTAATGCTGCTTTCTCGTTGGTGTTACTTATTTTAATTATTGCTTTGATTACGTTATGTCTCTTGTCAAAGAACCCAGATGCTAGATTTGCACCCGCAAAAGATGATAGAACGTCTTTCCAAAGAATGTCGTCTGTCAAAAGGGCTTCTAGGAATTCTAAGAATCCTAAAGAAAATGAGTTATTGGCCTTAGGATTGGCTGCTCAGGATCACTCAACAAATTGGGAATCTGATATTTATAATTTGAAGGATTATTCGCACTCCTCAAGTCTTAAAAATAGCTCTAGAGATATATTGACACCAAATTTGAATGACGAAAAGTTTGTGGATGATACTGAACATGATTCGAGTGGTGAAGATTCGTCTACCTCAAATGCTAACGGTGCGAAGAAGAATCAAAGTTTAGGTGAAAAGTTAAAGGAAAAAATAACGAGGAAAATATCGATTAAAACAAAAAACAAAAGTACTAAAGCGCCAGAAGGTGATTCAAATACTCATCAAATTAATAGGGTTAGTGATACTCTTATTAATGAAGGAAATGACGCTCTTACCCAACCACCAGTACCTAGGGATGACTCGAGAACTCCTATAAATCAACACAATAGGCATGAATCAGCAATATCCACTGGTGACATTTCAAACTTTTCTGGTGGACCGCCAATTAATACGAAGGATATAATTTAGTTGCGGTAATCCATTCGACTTCAATCAAAATTTCGGATATTTTTTTTTTTGTATATTATTATAGTCGGTACAGTACATTTTATTTGTAATAAACTTTGGATCCTATTGAATTCCACATAGAAATTCCAGATGATGTTAAGATAGCCATCTTCAGCCGATTAGAGTATCCCAGATCTCTTGTAACTTGTCTAGATGGATTAGTGCTTGTCTATCATTACTTGTCAGTGATAAAAATAGGTTAGTTTTCTGATCCAACGTGAGGTTCGATAACTTATTGCGAAAATAGTCATTTTCTGTTAACAATGGACTTTCCAGAGCGTGCAGTCGACTAGTTCGGAAGGAGGAACTTATTATTCTCTCCATATTCACTGGTTTGAGAAACTTATTTAAATAGTCAGCGGACAATGCGACAGCTCTCGATATTAAATGCAAATCTAGCTCAGAATAGTTGTATTCCTCATTTACATGAATGTCTGAGGCCCATGTATTCATAAACATATCAGGAGTATCACTAGCGGCAAACCTTAGGTTAAGAGGAGTAACTGTAGATAAATAGGGGATTGTCTGTATGACTGAGGGGCTCAACGTGAGAAATGGAGTATGAAACCATTGTTTTGTGCTGTCCTCTGCAATCAATGGCAGTAATGGTTTCGCAATTGAGCTGTCACAACTGAAATCAAAAGTTTTAAGGAAGTCAGAGGTTTTAAACTTCAGAAATATTTCTTTCTTTTTCGTTGAGGGAATGGGACATTCGAATAAGCCTCCCACAAACGTTTGAGGCATGTAAAACGAAATATCTCTTCTCGCATACTTCTTACGTCTTGCCATTTTGTAGCACACTAAGTTTGCTGCTTCCCATTCCATTGATACTCGAGGGCCCGCCTGCGCAATTTCATCCAAATAGCTAGCTGTTTCCTTTCCTGTGTATTCTAAGAATCGTCCTTCTGTTGATTTCTCTAGTCCCTTGTCTAGCTCTCCTTTTATTGCTTTGTCTACCTTCTTTCTAATACTATTCATCTTATCCCTCCAATAAGGCTTTTGAGATTTCTGACTTTCATCTTTAAGAATCTCTTTTTCAAGAGTTTTGTTTCTCACAACAGGCCCCAAAAGTGTATCTTGAGATTTTTTAACAGATTGAGATCCTGGCTTAAGCAAACAAAAAGGACGGTTCCAGTCTATAAAGTCGCTAGAGTTGGTACGAAGTGATTTTGCATAGTCAGATTTCCCGTGATCGCAGTGTGTCATAGTAACAAAATGCATTGAGTGGGGAACAATTCCGTTAAGCTTATACTGGCGACTAATCTTAAAGCCAGTGAACGGTAGCATAGTTCTTCTTCTTTCGCCACAAATCTTAGGCTCGCTAAATGTCCAAGTCGCAGAGACCAAATACACAAATATAAAAATCGAAGATAGTCTGGTCAGTAACATAGAGTTCAAATAAGTTTCTTCGTCTTCTGGAGAAATTTTCTTTGGTCTCTGGAACCATTTCGTTTGTTTTGCGGTAATTCTAATCTTATATGTATTGATCACGTGTGTGATGATTCGTGAGACGGCCAAATTTTTTTTTTTTTTTTGGTAGTAGCGCATCATGAGAGATCGATGAGGTAGATGGATTGTTTTCTATCGACACTTTATTGAAGTCTGTTATAAATATAGCATACAATTTGTAAATTAAGAGCTTGCTAGAATATACTACATTATAGGTAATGAGTGAGCAGCAAGGCAATAAGCCTCATCGAGGAGGGCCTCAAAAGAATACTGCAAAGAAGAAACTACATCAAAATGGACAAAATAAGAAGGCATTTGCCGTTAATGCTCCGAGAAAAATGGAGAGGATGGCAAGACGCTCTCATGATGTTAATGAAAAGAGATTGCATGTACCAATGGTGGATAGGACGCCAGATGATGACCCTCCACCAGTAATTGTTGCTGTAGTTGGTCCACCAGGAACTGGTAAGACAACTTTAGTTAAATCTTTAGTCAGACGGTTGACGAAACATACATTAACCGAAATTAAAGGACCAATTACTGTTGTGAGTGGAAAAAGAAGACGATTAACTTTCATTGAAGTGAATAATGATTTGAACTCCATGGTTGATGCTGCAAAAATTGCGGACTTGGTATTATTGCTAATTGATGGCAATTTTGGCTTAGAAATGGAAACTATGGAGTTCTTGAATATTGCACAGCATCATGGTATGCCTCGAGTGTTAGGCGTGGTGACCCATTTAGATTTATTTAAATCTCAATCGACATTGAGAACGTCTAAAAAGAGGTTGAAGCATCGTTTTTGGACAGAAGTTTATCAAGGAGCAAAGTTATTCTACTTATCGGGAGTGATAAATGGGCGTTATCCAGATAGAGAAATATTGAATTTAGGGAGGTTCATTTCTGTTATGAAATTTCGACCCTTGAAATGGCGAAATGAGCATCCTTACATGTTGGCTGATAGGGTCACAGATTTAACGCATCCAGAAGTCATTGAAAACAATCCCAAATGCGATAGAAAAGTTGCCATATACGGTTATATACATGGGACTCCATTGCCATCTTCAAATGCACATATTCATTTGGCAGGTGTCGGCGATTATCATGTTCATTCCGTCGAGAAGTTACCTGATCCTTGCCCTACTCCTTATTTTGAACAGAAACTAGAGGAGATAGAAAGAGAGAAGGCGAAAGAAGCTTCTGCAAATGGTGAAAGTGTGGCTAGAACGACTCGTAGAAGAAAAAGATTAGAAGATAAGCAAAAAATTATATATGCTCCTATGTCTGACGTTGGGGGTGTGTTCGTAGACAAAGATGCAGTGTTCATTGATTTAGGCGCCAAGGAATCTTTTGTGGAAGGTGATGAGCTTGGTGAAGGTGAAAAGATAGTAACAGAATTGCAAGATATAAAAAAGACTATGGCCGAGAGTTTCGAACAGGCCCCCGGCTTGCAGTTATTTTCAGGATCCAAAATGTTGAAAGAAGACGAAAAAGCAATAACTAATTCAGATGAAGAATCGCTTTTGGAATCTCAGGATGATAAACAATCATTATCTGATTCAAATAATACAGGTAGAAAGACATTACGGATTAGAGCAAAGGGCCGACCAGTATTCCAAAATGAGGATTTGGAAGACTATGATCTGGATGTTTCTTCAGATAGCGATAAAGAATCCCTAGTTTCTAAAAAAATAGAAAAAGAATTTGGTCAGAGATACACAGCAGACGACTTAGATTTCCAAGCTGATTCATCATTATCATCTGACGAAAGTGACGGTGATTTCAATGCTATTGCGTCTAAGTTAAATGGGAGCATTCAAAAAAAGTGGAACATAAATAAGCTTGTTTACATGAAAAACATTGACCCTGCTGAAGTGGTAAAAAGATGGAGAAATGAAACTCAGTCTGATGAGCTGGATATAGAAGAAGACGAGGACTTTTTTAAGGTAAAGGAGCTTACAGGTTTGGAAGAAGACGATGATTTCCACTCAAGCTACCCACCTCTTGAAGAACTTAAAGAAAGATTTGATGCCTCGAAACTTGATGAATCTGAAGAAGAATATGACAATGGTTATAATTCAATAAAATCCAGATTTTTAATTGCTCCAAAACTCAATGGCCCTTCTGATAGCAAGCTTGATCTGGATGGTGAGAATGGTGATATGTATGGTGACTTTGAAGATTTAGAAGATAATGAAGTTGATGCCCGAGAAACAAATACGAATGACTCTCGGGATACATTTAGTACTTTTGATCAAGAATCGGAGAATGATAAAGGCGAAGACTCAAGCGAAGACGGAGATGAAGATGATGAGGATGAAGATGAAGATGATAGCATGACTGCTGAGGAAAAGAGAAAACTTAATGCTGCTAAAAAAGCACAGTTGAAGATGCAATTCGACGAAGAGGAAGATCGAGATTTCGGTGCAGACGACCCAGAGGGCGATACCGAGGCTGATACTTGGTACGAGTTTCAAAAAAACAAGATGGCCAAACAGCTTGAAGTAAATAAAGCTGAGTTCGCTAGTATGGATGAGGCTAGTAGAATTCAGATTGAAGGATACAGAGCCGGTTCTTATGTTAAGTTAGTTTTTAATGATATCCCTTACGAATTCATAAAAAATTTCCTGCCAGAGTATCCTATCGTATTAGGGGGCTTATTACCGACGGAATCTAGATTTGGTATAATGAACGTTAGGATGAGACGTCACAGATGGCATAAAAAGATTCTTAAATCTCAAGATCCACTTATTCTATCGCTTGGTTGGAGAAGGTTTCAGACCCTACCAATTTACACAACTTCAGATTCTCGAACAAGAAACAGAATGTTGAAATATACTCCAGAGCACGCATATTGCTTTGCTTCTTTTTACGGTCCCTTGGTAGCGCCAAATACAACTTTTGTGGGTTTTAATATTGTTGACAATCTGCAAACAACAGGTTCATTTAGAATAGCAGCAACCGGGATTGTCGAGGACTTGAATTCATCAGTGGAAATTGTGAAAAAGCTTAAATTAGTTGGACATCCGTACAAAATATTCCGGAATACAGCATTTATTAAAGATATGTTTTCAAACTCTTTGGAAGTAGCTAAATTCGAAGGTGCCTCAGTAAGAACTGTCTCTGGTGTCAGAGGAGAAATTAAACGAGCACTATCTAAACCTGAGGGTCATTTTAGAGCTACGTTCGAGGATAAAATTTTAATGTCAGATATTATATTTTTAAAAACGTGGTATCCTGTCAAAGTTAAGAAGTTTTATAATCCAGTAACATCGTTGCTTTCGGGATCTCCATCTGAATGGAAAGGAATGAGGTTGACGGGAGCTGTTCGTGCCCAAAATGGAATGGAAGCATCCTATGATCCAAATAGTGCCTACACTAAAATTGAACGTTCTGAAAGAAAATTTAATCCTCTTTTCGTTCCAAAATCTGTGAGAGAGACCTTGCCTTATAAATCTCAAATCCACCAGATGAAACCTCAAAAGAAAAAGACTTATATGGCTAAACGTGCTGTTGTCTTGGGAGGAGAGGAAAAGAAGGCGAGAGATCTTATGCAAAAGGTTGCAACTCTCAAAAACGAGAAGGAAACTAAGAGGAAAGAAAAGAAGAACGAGAAATTCAAAGAAAAGCTTAAGGCTATGGCCAAAAAAGACCTGTTGAGGAAAGAAAAAGAAAAAGAACGCAAAAAGGACTATTTTCTGAGACAGGGTAAGAAGAGATCTTTAGCTCCTAGCGACAATAGCGACCGTGCTTTTGGATCTAAGAGACGGTCATAGAATTATATACAGGCTACATATACATCGCGACTTTCGTAAATAGATCAAAAAAATATAAGAGAATATTTTTATTTAGTATGTTGGAAACGCAATTCAACATAGAATAAGGGACAGCTTTTTCAAGATTTAATTTTTCGTCATACTCTGTCGTGTTCTTTACTCTTCAGAATGACTCTCACTGAAGATATTAAAGAGCTGCCATTGAAAAAACCTCAAGAAACGTTCGTTGATGAACCTGAAAGATTAGAAGATGTTAACTTGAATGAATTAATTTTTGACATTAAAAGTGATCTTAAGGATGTCAACAACATTCACATATTTCAAGCGCTAGCTATTTTGTATAAAACTTTAGATGACATTTTAAGGTTACAAAAGGATCCTCGTCTCTTTGAGAAGTTTAGAAGTCAGCAACTTCAAAAATATGACATCGATACTAATGATGTCTCATCTGTACATATAGAAGAATCAGAAAGAGATTTCGGAGTGTATGAGAGCGGTACTAATACTGTTAACGATGATAATGATGGCAGCGATGTAAGCAATTTTTCCACTTTTAAGAGTTCCGATTTGCTGTCGTCTGTGGAAAGCAAGATAGATTCAGAATCTGGGGATTACGACATGATTGGAGAAACAAAATATCCATGTTCTACTGATCTGGCTGGAATCCAGCCTCTAACGGAAGCACCATATATTCCAATAGATTACCTCGTGGCCAATTTTTCGCCAAAAGTTTGTGAAACTATTGCGTCACACTCCAAGGAGACAATACATCAAGAAATACTATTCAGTCAACGAATTAAAGCTAATCAAAATAGTCATCTTTTGAAAATTTTCAATCTTTTAAAAGCCCCTGATTTATCAATAAGAGACTTTTTGATCCGAATTGAAACATTTTCAACGATGTCTGTACTGGTATGCATACATTCAGCGTATCTTCTATTCAAGTTGTGCTTATTGCTCGATGTAGTTAAACTATCGCCTCTTAATATCCACAGGCTAGTGCTAGGACTGATAAGGTGCCTGACGAAGACTCTAGAAGATCTTTATCAGAAACAAGGATCGTTTGCGGCAGTTGGTGGTATATCGAAAAAGGACTTGTTTAGAATTGAAGTCAGCTTCTTATACTTAACTAATTTTCGGTTGACGGCTGATGAGGAAATTCTTGATCAATTTTTAAAACAACACTTTGTAGAATTACGAGAATTTTGTGAAGAATCTTTTGAAAAAAGTTAAGAGAGACGTTTTATATAGAAAGGATTTAAAATTGATGAATAACGATATCATAAATATCTTTGACATATTTCTAGATGTATTTTGCAGTCTCGTAATTTTTTCTACTCAATGCCTCCGACCCGATTAGCATACGAGATACGAGCGCGATCGATAAAAGAAGTTGCACTACATACCACTTAGAAGCACCTCCAGTAGAATATCGACTGTTGATATGATGAGACTAACATCCTTGAAGTTACCCCATAGAAAACTACGATATGTCCCTTTCTCCTCGATACCAGGATGTATCCTTGGTAGATCAATTACATCATATAACGGTCATCTTATCACCCGCCAAATGGATGCTCTTTTAAATACGGCTTGGATACGGCATCATTTATTTATTTTGGGTTATGATCTTGTTAAATTGGAATTGTATCAAAAACTCAGTCATCTTCTTGGTATGGGGGGTGGTGGAATACTCAAAAACATTGTTTTTGAATTGTCTTCCTTTTTAAAAAGAGAGCTCAAACCAGGTGGAAATTCAAGCAAGATAGCACAACAGCTAAAAGAGATGGTAGACTTTAATTACGATGAATTTGAAAGATATGGAAGAGACTACAACATGTTATGCTATAGCAACCGACGAATTTCCGAATTCAAGTGGTTTTTCATTTCAGTAGGATATCATATAATATCACTGTCTACAATAACAGTAGAACAACTTGCTGGTCAAATAATTGATATTTATTTAAAGTCTACCAATAATAGATTGCTTGAACTCATTGAATTTTCACAAGATGAGGATGTTTTAAACAGTTTAAGAGAATATTACGAAAATGTGCCTATTAACTATAGGAAATTATATAACAAGAGCCCTAGACGCATCAACTTGATTGAATCCAAAAACTTCAAACTTGAACTACCGCCGTTACCAAGAATAAAAGATAAAGTTCTTTTAACGAAATCTTTGATGCACCAAGAATTGTATCGGGCTTTATTTTCTTCTGGTCATGGATTTGCTGAGATTATGAGTAAAAAGCGATATTCCTTGGACTATAGATCACACAATTTTATAAAGTATGATTTGTCCTTTCTAGATGGATTAGGAGATTTTTTTTTAGCAAGAGAGTCATCAAATTTGTTGTATCGACTGCGCTATCATCCACTTTTCTTTAAAAGCAACCAATTTGGTAAGAAATCTTATAACGTTTTAAGAACAATATTGACCACAAACACATTATTCTCCAAATTAGCTATTGCTTACAATTTACACGAAGGCCTTGGCGATTCTTTTGTTCAACAAATGCTAAAAAATGACTACGCCCCTAATTTGACCAGCTCTAAGCAGCTGACTATAAATAATAGTGCTAAAATCATAAGATATGAAGAAGAATTTATGGCCGATTATTTTGAATCATATATCGGAGCATTGTTTCTTGAAGATTCCAGTGCTGCTCAGACATTCGTTTGTGAGTTATATGAAAGGATACTTTGTCTGGTGGTAGAAGAAAATGACATCATGACTCAAAATGGAGACTATAAAGCTTGGAGTAGAGATATCATCGGTAGAGTAATTTAAGCTGATGAAGCTTATTTTGGTACATATGCATTTATTAAGAACGTAACTATTTTCCATTGTTAGAATCCTTCAATAGACTATAGAACGCACTCTTTTTTCTGGTTTTTTTCTTCCCATTAAGATCTTTTACACTCAAAAATTTTCGGGAGCCATCAGAAGAGTTTGAGCTTCCTGAACTTGAGTCGCTTTCACTTTCATCACTATCACTAGACGAATCACCATCACTTGACGAATCGTCCATCTTATGTCCAGAAGCGTTTGTGACTTGTGCAAACTTCGAAGATTTCCTTGCACTATCTCTTACGTCTGGCAATCCTCGCTGAGCTAAATCTTGTAATGATGTCAATTTAGGTTTTCGGATATATGTTCCTTCGGCATTGTTTTTTTTTGAGCTCGTTTCATTTTCTAGAGCAACGTTATCTGGTGTGTGATAGCCTTCTGAGCCTTGGGAAGATGACGAATTTGATCTTTTATCTTTAGCATTGCTGTTTTCAGTTCGATTCGCATTCAACGAAGTAGCTTTGCCTGGAGAATCCACTGGCTTCGACTTAACGCTCTTGACCGAAGGTGTCGGGGCAAAAGCTGCTAATCGTGGTCGCTTAATTTCGTTCAAGTCAGAATCAGCAGACTCATCGCTAGACTCTGATGTGGAAGTCACCTCTTCTTGCTTCCTTTTAGAGGTCCTTTTTGTGTTGGTATCCTCTTCAGTTATTAGTGCAGCCTTATTTTCTTTAGCCTTCGATTCCTGGGGTGAAGATGAGCATGCATTTGGAATCTGCGTATATGAGGAGCCTTTCTCCTTTGCATTCGATTCAGAAGGTAATATAACATTACCATTTGTTAGGTTCACTGATGGAACGAAGTCACCAGCTACTGATGCTATTGTTTCTCTGTCCTTATGCAGTCGCAGTTTAACTGTTCCGCATCCTGGTGCTGCTATGGCGTTCAATTTGTCTTCAAATGATTTTAGCTTATCAATTAGATGTTGCAATGTTGTATCATCTGCATTGATATCCTTAGTTACAAAACCTACTTCGCCATTTTTATTATTTATATGGCTAACCTGATCATCACTGACATCTTTTTTGTCATCTACTCCCCATTCACCTCGCTCCAGTAATGAGTTTACATTCTTCGATGAAGATGAATGAGCACCGTTTGATGGAATCTGAAACTGCACTGCAATCGTAGCATTTGAATTATTATCTAATTCATTACCGGGTTTTAGTGCAAAGCGAGATTTTCTCCTACCTCCTGTTGAAGGCATTCCACCATTTACCATATCTATTTCCAAACTCTTTAACAATGACGAAGGCTTTTTATCGTGCGAGGCGTCACTTTTCTTTCTTGACTTAGTATCATAATAGTTTAACCCTTTTCGAAACATTTTAATCACTTCCTCTCTTGAAATTGTATCAACTAGATTTGACGAGTTGCTACGATACTTCTTGTCGTGAATCATATCGGAGGACACATTTTGGATTTCGAGGTCTCTTTGGTCGTCAAAACTTTGGGCAATTTCGGGTACCGTAGCCGCATTAATTGAAGGTTCAACTTCGTTTGCTTTTATGCTAGACATGCTCAGATCATTCGATAAGTCTATATCTGAATTATTATGTATAGATACGTTGTTCTTCGCCCCAGATAGTAAGCGATGAGATATATCATCTTGCTCTAATTTTGCATGAGGTGGCAAGCTAAGCATTCCCGATGTAATTCTTGTCTGTTCCAATCCAGACGAATCCCTCAGTTTAATATTCCTTTTGATAGGCACTGACCAATCACCAGATAACCTGGGCGGTGGAAAGGAAACGACATCATTGGAGCTCTGGATAGTTTCATTATCTCCTCTAATTTTCATACTAATATTTCCCAAGCTATTAATCAGCCGATCACCATTATTTTTTTGAGACCATAATGAAGGATTGACTGACTTTGATGGAATATTAGAGTCAAATTTTTCAAAATACTCTTGAGTTTTTTTACCACTCGAGCATTTTGGATCACTTGTCAAAATAGGAGCTGGCGGAAGAATTGGAGTGCTTTGGGCCAAGTCAACGGACTTGAAGGCAAATGGAGTTTCACTTTCTGGTCCATTACGATGCATATTATTAATTACAACAACTCTTAAAATTTGGCCAGAATTAAATACATCGCCTGCCTCAAAGTCGGGATCAAGATCACATAAATCATTGTCTTGTAGCCTTTCGATACGTAGGTCTTCACCGTCAGGGTATAATTTTTTGTATCTCTTACTTAATTCTATGCTCACCACACTAAGTAACGTCTGCGGATCCGTGATATGCAAAAACTTTCTCGTATATCGAAAATCCAACAGTTCTGTCCTCAGATCTGCGAATGACTCAGGGACTAAGAGAACTTGGAGCTTCAATTTGGACATCTACTTGTTTACCTTTTCAAGTTTAAGAATTGGAATAGCAGGTTTTTTTTGTAAGTAGTTCTTGAAATTTTACGATTTACGTGTCACGTGAAAACCTCAAAAATGTATTAATGAACTATTTAAAGTATGGGTCAGTTTCCAAAATATGGCGTGCCTCCTTCTCTAATTGTTCTCTTATAGCTCCTGAGGCCACTTTTCTTGCGTTTTTGTCTTCATAAGGATCATAAAATAGGGATGATATATCCGGAGCTTTCCACTTTGGCGACCACGATATTATTTCACCATCGACTGTGCCACATAAAAAAGAACTCAGAAACGGACCACAATGAACCATCGATGTTGTTCTTCCTATATTCTTTGAACCTTTTCTACTTAGCCGTGAAACCATCTTTCCATCTATCGTTCGAAATACAAAAATATCACTGTTATCCGAAGGAAAGAGAAGATACTGTAATTCGCTTTCATACTTCGAACTCAAAACAAGAGGAATTGATTGTGTATATTTATTTCTCGTCAAAGGTCCGAAGTTGATAAGCTTGTTTAGTGGGGGCGCTAGTGATAGAACCATATCCCACACTCTCACTTTATCGTCATTCCCAGCTGTAATCAATGAATTGCCTGACTGATCCCATACCAAACCATTTACTGGTCCCAGGTGTGCTTTAACGGACAGCTTAGTCAAATTATCTGTCACAAGATTTTGAGAACTAGTTCTGAGCATGTCAAGACGACACAAACAACTTTTACTTCGCCTAATGTCCCACACTTTTACTTCACCATCAAAGCCGCCGGATGCTAATAAATTAGGATCTCTAGGATGCCATTTTACGCATAGAGCCTTGCCCTTATGACCTCCTAAAGTATGAGCACTAGAAGCAGACCTCAAGTCCAACAACCTTATAAACTGGTGATCACTTGCAACTGCAACAAGTGCGCTCGCATTCATACTATTGGTTTCGTCGCCCCTCATATCAATCGAATATACTCTGTGATCTAGATCAAACGAATGCACAGGAAGCATTTGATTAGTGTCCCATATCTTAACTGTGTGATCAAATGATGAAGAAATAAACATTCCCGTATCAAATGGCCACCATTGAATACACGAAATACCAAAGTTATGTACAGATTTTCGGGGAACAGTTGCTAAATTAACAAAAGTCCGTTTTTGGTTATCATCGCTTAAATCCATATCCTCATGAAGTTCTAATTTATTAGACGTTGTTGCCTCATTTTGTACCAGATTTTTTATATCCCATAACTTAATTGAGGAGTCCGCAGAGGCACTAAGTAGATACTGGAAGTCGTGCTGCTCTAATGACAATCCATTGACTGCCGCATTATAATGACAATTCGATGGAAAGACGCTAGGACCAACATTTTGCCCGAGTATTGTGTAGCATGATTCTGCAACCGTTGTTGCGAATTCGAGAGCCCCTATTTTTCTCGTAGCTCGATCCGATAATAATGATTCCATTCCATAACGATATATTTTAAGTTGAAACTTCCATTAAGCTTTAATTCAATCTTCCCTATCTGATATGCAAAAAGTTATATTTATCTGCATATAGCGCACTCTTTTATTTAAAAATTCTTTTCCTTTAACAAAAAAATCTTCCGCGTCAAATCAGTCATCTTGAAGTTAACAGGGAAGAAAAAACAGTCATGTTGGACATCAATGCCTTTCTTGCTGAAAAAGGCGGTAACCCTAATGAGATAAGGGAATCGCAGAAGAAAAGAGGGGATAAAGTTGAAATAGTGGATGAAGTTATTGAAGACTATAAGAACTGGACTAAAATCAGATTTGAGTTAGATGCTGTTAATAAGCAAGTAAATGCTGTCCAGAAACAAATTGGACAAAAATTTAAAGCTAAAGAAGATGCCAGTGAATTATTGGCTGAGAAAGAAAAGTTGGCGTCTAAGAAGAAGGAATTAGTAGAGGCTGAACAAAAAGCTGACGTTGACTTGAGATATAAAGTTAACCAAGTTGGAAACATTGTTCACAAATCTGTCGTAGTTTCTCAGGATGAGGATAACAATGAGCTTGTACGTACATGGATGCCTGAGGGTGTCAAAGAAGTTGATTCTATCGCAACTGCAACAGGAGAGCCAGCCAAGTTATCTCACCATGAAGTCTTATTGAGATTGGATGGTTATGATCCAGAAAGAGGTGTCAGAATTGTAGGGCATCGTGGTTACTTCCTTAGGAACTACGGAGTTTTCTTGAATCAGGCTTTGATTAACTACGGTTTGAGCTTCTTAGCCTCGAATGATTATACCCCTTTACAGGCTCCTGTTATGATGAACAAGGATATTATGGCTAAAACAGCTCAATTATCTGAGTTTGACGAAGAATTATACAAGGTCATTGACGGTGACGACGAAAAGTATTTGATAGCAACATCAGAACAGCCAATTTCAGCTTATCACGCTGGAGAGTGGTTTGAGTCACCACAGGAACAATTGCCGGTTAGATATGCTGGTTATTCATCATGCTTCCGTAGGGAAGCTGGATCTCATGGAAAAGATGCATGGGGTATTTTCAGAGTTCATGCCTTTGAAAAGATAGAACAATTCGTTTTGACGGAGCCGGATAAATCATGGGAAGAGTTTGACAGAATGATTGGATTATCCGAAAAATTCTATCAATCTTTAGGTTTACCATACAGAGTTGTTGGTATTGTTTCAGGAGAATTGAACAATGCTGCAGCTAAGAAATATGACTTGGAAGCTTGGTTTCCTTATCAGAAGGAATATAAAGAATTGGTGTCCTGCTCAAACTGTACCGATTACCAGTCTCGTAATTTAGAAATTAGATGTGGAATTAAACAACAAAACCAAACCGAAAAGAAGTATGTTCACTGTTTAAACTCGACTTTGTCGGCCACACAAAGAGCGTTGTGTTGTATTTTAGAAAACTATCAAAAGGAAGATGGTTTGGTAGTTCCTGAGGTTTTAAGGAAATACATTCCTGGTGAGCCCACGTTCATCCCATATGCTAAAGAGTTGCCAAAGAATTCAACATCAAATAAGAAAAAGAAGTAATCCTAAACCTTGTTTCTAATTTACTATTTTATAGTCACAAATGTTATAACAATGTATATATCCATTTATATATATATTAGTATACAACCCTATTTGACTATCCGATTTTATTTAGAAAGTAGAAAGGAACCTTAAGCGTCTAAGTTGAAAACAACGATTTAATGAACTGAAAATTGTCATTTAAAATATAATTATTTCAATCTTGAATACTTACAACATAAAAGCTTCACAGACTCTACATACCAGTATTGGTCTTCTCTTCATACTGGACTTTCAAAAGCAAAGAGGAAATAGCAAAATAAAAAAATAAAAAATTCAAATCCAAATTTGCAGCGTATTCATAAAGCTCGTGTAAAGCGAACTTATTTCTTCTCAATACAGTGGCTTGGGGCCATAATTGAACAAATTATGTGAGATGAACATTCAACTATTAACTTAACTAAATGATTCTGGATCTATGAACTTCGACATTAGTCAAAGCTCTAATAGTACACTTATAATTAATATAATAAAGTTTTCTAAATGTTGACTTTATTACATTACGAAAAAATAAAAAAAAATTAACTAAGCTCCATGGTCTAGTTCTTCATGTCTCCTGTGTCACGCCTAGACCTCATGGTCCCATGCACATCAATTGGAGACAATCCTCTGCACAACAGCAGCAAATTATAGCAGCACATGAAGCGCAGAGTGCTCCGCAGCATCCACCTCCGTTATCTCTTGGAGGTTGTTGGACATACATTGGTTGTTGTTGCTGATAGTATCCTTGTGGTGGTCCTTGAGGTGGTCCTTGTTGATAATAGCCTTGATTTGGTGGTCCTTGTTGATAGTAAGCCTGTGAAATCAATTGTTAGTATGAGTTTTATAACTGTAATACAGCCGTTCTGAAGGTTAAAGAACAGAAATAATGTATAGCTTCAAAAAGTATAAAGATAGGTTGTCTTAATACACCTCAATTGACTTCTTTGTCTCCGCTCCTCATATGAGGACGATTTTCCCATTGATCCCAAAGTCATACACCTTCTTCTTGCCTAGAAAACGTTTTTAACGGTTTCGAATACGTACCATTTTACCTTATTTGACTTGAATTGAGCTGGTAGATTTATTTAGTAACTTAAACTGCTTTTAAGTCAAATGATAAGGTAACGATAATATTTGATATGGCAGACACTAAAAAAAATTTTTGAAAAAAGCCAGCAACCTTTGGTTAAATATATGACATGTATGTAGTGTTTGTCCTCGATAAATAAATAGGTGAAATTAGTTGATACCAATGGTCACATGATACATATTGTTGGCCATGTCTGGTCATCGTGTCAAGTGTTAGAGTCTACTGTAATAGGAAACAAGGTTGGCGCAAGGCTCAGGCAACCGTGATCCCGATAATCTGCACACTACGAACGATAACGTGACTATTCGCGTGACTTTATAAAGTGTTCCAAAGTATGAAGGGAGGCAAGCATCAAGACATCGCAGTTGACTTTAACGGCCAAACGAAATGTTATTTAGACTAATGCATAAAGGAGCGCTTTTACGCCTGAGGATTCCAACAAGGCAATTGTGTAATACTTCAAGACTACGACTTCCTAGGTCGAATAGGACACGTATTGCAAGTGAAATCCCGGAAGATGAGGTAAAAACTTATATGAAGCAAAGACTGGCCAATTCAGCAAGCAAAGGCCAAGAGGATTTCTACTATCATGAAAATCCATCTTCCAAATACAGCGAGTTCAAGAACGATCCCTCGTCCAATCGGACTACATTTAGCGTCCCACCAAACAAGAACGGCTTGATTACTCCGGAAGATGGGATATATGACATGTTAAAGGAACCAACCTTAGTTATAGAGAGGCAAATTGAGATGATGAACGTGTTTTTAGGGTTTGAGCAAGCCAACAGGTATAGGATATTGAACTCAATGGGCGAACAGGTTGGATTTATGGAAGAAAAGGATTATGGTTTTATGAAGATGTTGGGTAGGCAATTCTTTCGCTTGCATAGGCCGTTCGAATTAGAAGTATTTAATAACTATGGTGACTTATTGATGGTAATAAAGAGACCATTTTCATTCATTAATTCACATATAAAGTGTTTTTTGCCTGGATACGATAATCAAGGTAACGTGATGTTGGAAGAACTTGGAGAGTCAATTCAAAGCTGGCATTTATGGAGACGAAGATATAACCTCTTTAAGATGGAAGAAGAGGAGCCTGTAGAGTTTGACCAGTTTGGTGCAGTAGATGCCCCATTCTTGTCTTTTGATTTTCCGGTAACAAATAATGAGGGAGATGTAATCGCATCAGTTGATCGAAACTGGGTAGGGTTAGGTAGAGAGCTTTTCACAGACACTGGAGTATATATTGTGAGAATGGATCCAGCAAGTTTCGCTGGATTAGGTGACATGTACCCGTCAGTAGCGGGACCTTTGACGTTGGACCAGAGAGCAATTTTATTGGGAACTGCCGTCAGCATTGACTTTGATTACTTCTCTAGGCATAGTCGTGGTGGAGGTCTTTTCACTTTTGGTGATTATGAATGAATTACTTCCCTCAGTCAGGACTTCTTTGGGTATATATCTAAACCTTTACTCTTACTAAACCTTTTTAATAAATTTTGTTGTTCATTCTTTCTCGCAGAGTCTAATATGTTCTCCCATTTTTCATCATCCATATCTTTACTGATGTTCTTTAGAAGCTCTACAAGGAATCCAACATAATCGTGTCTTCTCAATTCATTCTCTTTCTTCCATGATTCTCTTTTTATCATTTCTCTCTGGAATGAATTATAGTCTCCAATCTCAGAAAAATGCTTTGCTTTATTGTGTGTCATCGCGAGCAAAGAGAACCGTAATTCACCACCATACTTTTCTATTCTTCTGCCAATAACTTGTGGTAGCTTTGTGATAAACTCTTCATCAGAATTACATTCTTCAATCTTTATGGGATATGTCTTAAGACTATCCAACTCGTAAATGAATCCGTTGGTCCTTATGTAGCTAATAAAATGAAACAAACCATCATTCTTGCGGTCATTATTCTGGCTATTTGGTTTATCTTCATCAACGAAGGGAGATGGCGAAGAGAATGAATTGTGAACTTGCCTTATCATTTCACTATTTGAAATTGTCTCACCAGCCATCATTCCGTCAAAACCGGCCACAAACAGTTTGAAGTTCTTGAGCTCTTCACCAATATCTATTTTATCGTCTATATTTAATAATATATTTAATACTCCCTGTGTTCCACATGCGTTTTGAATGGTTTGGTTCGCAAAGAAAATGCCATGATCCTGATAATCAGGATCATATTCGCCATCTAAGGGCGCATTATTATTCTTTGCATAATCATCGTCTACTTTGCTGTACTTGAACAAAAAAATCACTCCTCGAATAGGTTGCACTTGCTTCAACGTATCATAGTCAAAAGAATAAAGCTCATCAAACTGGGTATCTTCAACCTTTAATTTTTCGACTAATTCAGTAAAAACGCCCTGGAGAATTAGTAATGGCCACATGGAAAGGCTATTGTGTACTTACTGCATCGGAATCTATAGTATTCCAACCAATGTCACTCATTTCAATGCTTAATTGGGCAAATCAAAGTATATTTGGGAATGAATTTTATAAGAGTCGCGATATTTATCAATTCCTAGCAGCAAGTCTATGACGAAATGAAGAGGAACCAATTGAGAAAAAAGATTGTTTAGATTATCATAATTGTATTGCATGACTGAAACTCGTGGAGATTATACACCTTACACACAAAGTCGCGATAACTGTCAGCTGAACCATAAATAAGAAATAGCTCCCCGTTGACACCTTTTTGATAAAGTAGTGCGATCGAACAAAAGAATGATAAAAGTCCAGATGTACATTAAAAAAAAAGAACTGCTATCACCCACTTTAAAATCTAAATTCAATAACATATCTTAGCATTATGGCATTGGGGGCCCCTTACGAGCAACTAAGCTTTATTTTTGGTTCCGATTCTACACCTGTAGAGACCAACAGCTTGAATAAAGCATCAACACTCGTGACCTTCCTATTAATTATTCTTGGTAAGTTGAATTATTTCGAAAATGAGTACATGTGATGTCAGACACTTGATTTTGGATATTTCTGTGTGTCTGTTGTGTGAAATTGCTTCATTAGATCAGAGAGCTAATCTTCTCAAAGAATTGTTTACTAACCGTACTAGCCTTTATATTTTTGTCATCAACTTTTTTGGTTGACACGAAAACGCAGTCTGCTTTTAAGTATTTTACTTATGCTTCGCTAGCATCTTTGTCCATTGCCTTCGCAGCATTCAATATTGCAAATTACGTTGGTGTATACGTATAATTGTAAGAAACACTGACTCTTATTAAAGTATACAAGAAATAGGATAGGATTACCTCAAATCAATGCAAAAAGGTACACGGTCTATCAACACGGTTTTTTATAGTTGCACTTGATATTTTGAGTTTCGATCTGTGTATAATCAAAAGGTATTTATGCTTAGACCTATTAAAGTATTTCATATTGTCCATTCCATTGTAGAACGTTTTAGGATACATAATGTCAACTATTATCTCATTTTGAGAAATACATTCATTCAAAGTTAAGAAGAAACAATATCATAGTATTTAAAGGTGCCAACGGTAATATGTTAATATTTTGTACATTGTACAGGTAAGTAACATATTACAGACAATATTAGTTATTCATTAATGAACCATCATCAATGAATACCTATTGTTTCTGATTGGAAGTCAACATTGTAGTCTTCATAACCTTTCAATATTAACTACAGAGCAAGAATTGTGGGTCACAGTCGTCAGAGTTATAAAAACATACAGTGCAATACAAATTAGACCCTTCATGTTTGGCATATCCAACGCCATCAAAGGGTGACGATTCCAGTATGTAGTGTCGTTTGAACTTCAAATTACACGGTAAGCACTACCGAACCAATTAATTCTTTTGACAACGTTAATTATATTCCTCACGTTATTACTTTGGTTGTCGTCTTGGATCTCATTATTGAATTGTTCCAGACTTGTTTGTAAATTACCTCTAGATGCTTGTAGTTGTGTTTCACTAGGCGTTATGCCTTGTTTCAATAAGATTGTGGAATTAACTGGTTTAAATGTCGACCATTGTTAGTTTTTGTATTTATTAATGTCAAATGTGACATTGTTAGCACATATTATTAATGTAAAAAATTTTGCAACTAGTAAAATTACGTAGTATACTTTCATTTTGAATGATAAATGGTTCCGTCCAAATATGTGTCGTTTTCTTTTACTTGTTCCAAAATGCAACTCTTTTCATTATGAGAACCATATTGTAAACAAGATTGTAAATGCGGCTGCTGCGATGCAATATCAAAATCTGATCTAAAACACGTAAGCGCTAACTTACATTAAAATCATCACCATGAATCTGATAATATTGAAGTTGCTTTTATTATGTACATTCATATGTGTGTGTCTCGCTAATGGGGGCCGTCCCATGGCAGATGAATACATGAAAGATGAGAATATTTATGAGTTGAACCCGTCAAATTTTGACAAAGTAATACATAAATCGAACTATACATCGATAGTGAAGTTTTATGCCCCGTGGTGTGGGTATTGTCAAAAGATAAAGCCAGTTTATCGCAAATTAGGAAAGTATTTACATGAAGATGGCCAATATGCTGTAAATGTTGCTGCTGTGAACTGTGATAACCCGTCTAACAGAGCACTTTGTTCGGAATATAGAATTAGTGGGTTTCCCACTATAATGGTCTTCAGGCCTCCAAAGTACTCAGGTAAAAAATCGAAGACAAATCAAAAGCATGTAGCGGAAACGTATAATGGAGAAAGAAGCTTAAAGGCTATAACATCGCATGTTGCTTCGAGAGTCAAAAACTACGTGAAGTCATTTCCAAATTTGAAAAGCGAGCGATTCAAGACATGGTTGAAGTCTGATGAGGACATTAGTAAGGTGGTCTTAATTGCGAAATCGCAGTCGGTTAGCCTTTTGTATAAGACATTGGCAATAGATTTCCTTGGCTCAATGAAATTTGGAATGATATCTGGTGTGACTTCTTCAGATATGATGAATGTAGAAGGCAAAGATGTTGAAATAAAGGAGGAAGATTTGCCACAGTTGTTCGTTTACCAGTCTGGAACCTTTATTAGATACGAAAAACCGGATAAATTGAACAAAGCGCATATAACTGAGTGGCTTATTAAAGTAACAGGCAACCAACCTCAAGAGGGCACCTTATCAAAGAAAGATAAAAAGTTTTACTCCAAATATAGAAAAGACAAAAGAGGAAAGAAAACTTCGCCACACGATGAGCTATAATAACTATCTCTATGTATATTAAAAAAGTTTCATGCCTTTCCGATTGAATCTATAATATCCCCAAGCTTATCCAAATCATCGTCACTTTTATTCTCTTTGCTCTCTTTAGTCATGTTTTGTATCCAATTGCTTACATTTTCGACATATATCTTCGAATTGGGAACAAAGTGACCACCTGGATGCTTCAAAAGATCTGAGGTGCTCTTCATGGCATTATATAGCGGAAGGACTCTATTTTCATCGACAACGGTATCAAGCTCTCCATAAACATGCAATACGTGAGGAGCCGACTCGCTTTCTGTAGGATAAAACTTCAAATTTCCCAGAGCTTCATATGAGTCAATCTTGAATCCAGAATACAAAATTGCAAATTGTAATGGATTCGTATCGAAGATCTTGTCGAATTTCAGGCAAATAATACCTCCGAGAGCTGCACCTTGTGAAAATCCGACAATACCGACAATTGGTAAGTTTTTCTCTTCTTCAGACTCCTCTTGGGCCAAGTCAGGATCAGATATTATAGTATTATTCAATATATATTCTTTGATAGTATCTATGGCAAGGCTCAAATCTAGTGGATCTTTTACAAAATTTGACCTCAACCACCAGGCCCTATGATCAGTGTCAGACTCTTCCGGTCCTATATTTGATTCGAATTTCTCCAAGGAATCATTCGAAGGAATTGCGGCAGGTGATATCTTAATCGGTCCGTTGAGGTAGATTGATTTGTACCCTAACTTCGCTAATCGTTTTCTTAATCCAGAAGTCTTTGCATAGAAGATTGAAGATGACTGCGTGAATCCATGTAGAAATAGAATTTTACCTTTGTACATGTCTCCTTTATCATATATCGTTAATCTAAGATTTTTTAATTTAAAAAGTAAGATACAGTAAAAATTAAAAAGCGAGAAGAATTATTGGCCGAGTACTTGTGAAAACTTTATTACGATAACCATCAAGGGCACAGGAAATCTCTATAAAACTCTTTCTAAATCTAAAATGTTTCTAATTATCTTGATCTTTTTCCCTGAATTGTCTCCAGATTCGTAGAAATCCTTGAAATCTTCACTACTCTTGAGCTTTTCAAACTCCTCGTTTATTTCAACGTAGTGAATAACGTTACCAAAACCCAACTTGAAAGCTGCCTTAACATTCAATTCACTGTCATCCACAAAATACTGTTTTGACATGGCCTCTTTGTTTGATATGTCGATATTTGTAAGGTTCAAAAAGTTCTGAAAATATGGATACATAGGTTTGCAAATAATAGGAAATTTAGAGTAATCACAAAACGTGAGACCGTCGAAAAGATCTCCTATACCTAGCAATGAAATTACCCTTAACGCATGATTGGAATACGCATTAGTAACGAGCCAAAAATAGTCAAAATCTCTTCTAATTCTCACCAACATATCCCTCAATTTTTCATTGTATCCTAATACCGAAGGTAAATTCAAAGAATCATCTACTTGGGCATTATATTCAATAGCATCCACTTTGTGGACTCTCACTAAGCCCTCAATGGCCAACCCATAGGTCTTGTAGTAATTCATATGCAATTCATGAGCTTCTTCGTCATTCAACTTTAAATTATGCTTGAAATAATCATGGATTTTGACTTGCATCATTTCGTGTATTCCAGTTGTTCTCTCATACAAGCAGTTATCTATATCAAAGTAAAAGATCTTGCTGTTTCGGATACTCGGCGGCATCGGACCAAACCCAAACTTCAAATAGACCTCTGTTCCTGGATTACTATGCTTTATCTCAGGATTTCTATATGTAATACTTGTGTCGGAAACATTATCGTCCGTAGTCATCTTTGATTACTTGAATCGCGTAAACCAAAGAAAGATAGTAATTATCATTTAACAAATATATCACATATACATAGCACGTGCTTATATTCATATATATGTATGCAGGCTGCTTAAAGTATCCAAGTCCGTAAATGGCATTAAATCAGAATGCAACCTCTCGCATAAAGATGAGACAACATTATAGCTTGCAGTAGCATATTTAACTAGGTCTTCTTTATAATAGTTTTTATCTTCTGAGATTTCAGAGTGATCTATTAATTTTAGTTGCGAATAGAAATCTGATTGCAACTTGGAAATGATTGCAATGCGACGGTGCAAGTCCTTGTAATTTCCTCTTTTCAATTCGCTTAGTGATTGTCCTATATCTGTTTTAAGCTGTTTATAAGGTAGCTTCACTAATAGGTCGAGTGTCATTACCTTGTAATAGCTCAAAAAAACATGTTCCAGATGTACATAAGGATCTTGAATCCTGTCGCTTATCAACTTCTTTCTGATCTCTTTGCAAAGAGCATCAATATTCGATGTGCTAAGTGTCAACGTGTTTGGGTTACTCTTTATTGTGGATGCCAGTCCTGAAATAAATAAAGCTTGAAGATCTCTTGCAACTTTCAAAACAAAGTGGTCATTACAACAGTCATCTATCAACTTCAAAAAGTTGAAATGTAATTCAAAATCATATTTTTTGGAACGACCTAGTGAATGCGGTAGAGTGGTGATAAAATACTCAGAGGAAGCTTGATGGATTTCATTGGCAATTGCTTGGATTTGAAATGCTTCACTCTCTCCTAGCTTCTTGACTCGCCATTCGACAATGGATTCGAGAACAACTTGAGTGAAGTTCTTTAGCCCTTCATATACTTTCTTATTTAAGTTGAAATCAGAAGATGTCAAAAGAAAAGCCTTCACTATAGTTTTAAATTGATCTTCCGTAAAATTCAGATTCAACATAATCTTAAATATTATCGTTAATTTTAAAATCTGAGACTCAAGAACATCATTAATGCAAAAAATCTTGAGAGGCAATTCATTACCCTCTTTAATGATATGGACATCAGCCCCAACAGATTTAAGGTAATGTAAAAATTTCTCAAAAGGGAGATCGACGCAAATTTGTGACGACTGCAAAACACCTAAGACATGCCCCAATACAATCATATCATTCGAGTGGACTAAAATATCATCAATAACATTCATCAATTTATGTCCAGGCACTTCTTGCAAAATTTCAGGATCTTGATCTATCAATATATTATCTATTTCACCTGAATGGAACTCGGCCCTTTCTGAACTCCTTGGGTTGGTATAAAGGAAAAAATGACGAGTGACAGAGTTTTGTCCTTTCTGTTTTATCTGACCGTATATATTCTCTACAATATCTACCCCAGGTGCTTCATCAATTGAGAATGTTATCCGATCACCATTGTCATTTAATTCTTCTAAGATGGCCTGCTTTTCTGATCGTACTCTTAGATTCTCCTCAAGTGTTTGTCGGGAATCTTTTCTGATCTCTTCTTTAATCAATTTGTCATTCTTAGCTAAGCTTTCGTTTTTCTTCGCATCTGTTAAAAATACACTAGGTATATTCACATTGAAATCGTCTTCTTCTCTCAAAGTGGTCGTTGAGCGAGGTATTGAGCGTTCATGGAAGTTAGAAGGATCCTTGTTTCCCGAATGCAATTTCCCTGACTCCTCAAGTTCACCTCGAATTATTGAAATGATTGAGAACTCGTCATCGCTACTCGAGGGATCTGACATGCCCTGTGCCTCTTAAACAACCTTGCACTGGATTTCGATAAAATATATGTCTACGTCACATGACCATATCAGTCTACATCGCTATATATGGCTCTAACAAAGGTAGCAGATAGGTTCATTCCAAGCCCAGCCCTATGTTTTACAGCCACTTGATTTATTGAAGTTTTCAGCGGGTATTGAAAAGTCAAAGTTGAAAAGTCAAAAAGTTTAAAAAGGTGGTTGTACGGCTCAAATTATGTACGGCTCAGATATTAGAAACCGCTTTTTTTCTACGGGCTGAAAATAAATATGTGCTCAGTTTATATGATATTATTAATCATCAGTAGATAAATTTTAAAATAAACTGAATCTATTATGCCTTATGAGAAATTGAACCTAGAACCTTTCTTCAAGAAAGTTGATGAATTGAAGCCGCAATTCATTGATAGATTATCAAAAGCAGTATCAATTCCTTCGGTATCTTCAGATGAAGAGTTGAGGCCAAAGGTCGTCGAAATGGCACACTTCCTAGTGAAAGAGCTCGAGCAATTGGACTTTGAAGACATTCAATTGAAGGAATTGGGGATTCAGCCGCCACCAGTTTCGGATCCTAACTTGCACTTGCCTCCAATCGTATTGGGAAGGTTGGGAGATGATCCCAAAAAGAAGACTGTATTGATATATGGTCACTATGACGTTCAACCTGCTTTAAAGGAAGACGGATGGGATACAGAGCCATTCAAACTACACTATGACAAGGTAAAAGACATTCTTTATGGAAGAGGGTCGACTGACGACAAGGGCCCTGTAATTGGATGGTTGAATGTAATTGAGGCGCATAAGAAACTTAATTGGGAGATGCCAGTCAATTTAGTTGTATGTTTTGAGGGAATGGAAGAGAGTGGCTCTGTCGGGCTAGATGGGTTAATTGCTAGAGAGGCTGACAAGTATTTTGCAAAGGTAGATACCGTTTGTATTTCTGATAACTACTGGTTAGGTACCACAAAGCCAGTTTTGACGTATGGCTTGAGAGGAGTTAGCTATTACCAGATCACAGTAAATGGACCTGGCGCTGACTTACATTCTGGTATGTTTGGTGGTATTATCGCAGAACCCATGACTGATTTGATCAAAGTCTTATCTCAACTTGTTGACAGTTCAGGTAAGATCTTGATACCCGGAGTTCAAGAGATGGTAGCAAAGGTTACCGAAAAGGAGGATGCTTTGTATGATGATATTGATTTTTCCGTTAGTGAATTGAATGAAGCTTCAGGTTCTAAAACTGCATTATATCAGAACAAAAAAGATATTTTGAAACATAGGTGGAGATTTCCTTCTCTCTCTTTACATGGTATTGAAGGGGCTTTCTCTGGTGCCGGAGGAAAGACTGTAATCCCAGCAAAAGTAAATGGCAAATTCTCAATTAGGACTGTTCCAGATATGGATCCTCGCAAGTTAGATGAACTTGTTTATGATTACGTTAATAAGCTCTTCAAAGACCTCAATTCGCCTAACACGATGAAGGTGGAATTGCAACATGATGGTAATTACTGGGTTTCTGATCCATTTAATGAATCATTTTCAGCTGCTGCAAAAGCTACGAAGGACGTGTGGAATATTGAGCCTGATTTTACTAGAGAAGGTGGTTCCATTCCCATTACCCTTACTTTTGAGCAAGAACTTAAAACGAATGTTCTTCTCTTGCCCATGGGTAGAGGTGATGATGGAGCCCACTCAATTAATGAAAAGTTGGATGTCAGTAACTACATTAATGGCTGTAAAACTTTGGGAGGGTATTTACACTACTATGGTAAAACTTAAGTTTGGCCTTCAACCCTAATACTATTTTCTGTTTTACAATAGTAGTATTTAGCTTTAAAGTTATTAATATCGAGAAATATATACATCACTGCCACGACTGTATATAGCTGGCCTGAAAATTTTGTATCGAGAAGTGAGTGAAGCCTAAAAGTTCATAAAACTCAGAAGGAATAAATTTACTCGATCTTATTTGAATTTTGAAGATTCGTTGAATCTAATATATATTTTCCATTGTTGTTTTTGTATTGATAGATTTATAATAGCTTTATTTATGAATTGATAATTTAGCATTTGCATCCTCCCATGTCAGAAAACTTGAAAAGAGCAGAATCGCTCTTCAATAGAATAATGAACCAGAATACCGGGAATATTGCGCCTAAAAGCAACAAAAATGGTCCAGTTATTGGTAGTTCAGAAGTAACGACTGGATCAACTCGGTTTACAAGTCACCAAGGGAATAACCACAATCATTCTCATGGGCCTGGCAATAGTGCCAACCGACATCATCAACATCATCATCACTCGCATAATAATCATGGTCATTTCAAGCCATATAAGCAGCAGAGTAGAAATCAAAATAATGGGCCGAATGTTGACCTACCAAGGACCGATCCTATTAAGGTAGCTCTGGAAGTACTCAAGAGTATTCCAGAAGAGCATCACGTCTTACCATACTGTTGGACAATGTGGCACCACTCGCGCCTTAGAAGTAAGAAAGATGAATCAGAAGAGACAAACAATGATGATTCTGGTCAACAGGCGACGCTTGCGGCCCCAGTTGACTCTTATTTGCAAACAACGCAAAAAATTGATCTTCCCGCTATTAATAACTCTGAGGAGTCAACGGTGAATATAGGCTCCATAGAGCAGCTATGGGTTGGACTCAGTAGTATTAGGAGATCTCATGATCTCCCTATTGGCACGGAGTTACTTTTCTTTAAAAGCGGCATCAATCCTGTTTGGGAAGATCCTATCAATGCGAAAGGCGGTCGCTGGATCTTTAGATTCAATCGCAGATCTGGGAATGGAAGCAATGAAGTAAGCGAATCGATGGCTAAAGTCAGAAGACGTACTACTCTTATTTGGGAAAGGTTGGTGGTTAAGACGTTGTCGGGTTCAATTTTCCCTACATCCAACTACTCAGAAGAGGTTCAAAAGCAACTTCTTAATGATATCAGTGGTCTCGTGTTGAGTATTCGAAAAGATGATGATATAATCAGCATTTGGAATTCTAACCTCAACTTCTCAAAGAGAAATAGTGATTCCAAGAAGTTAACACCTTTTCAAGCAAGGAGAGTTATTTGTGATGCGATTCTTCGCATAATTAGAGAGTGCGACTTGATTGGAGATGGTTCTGACTGTGTAACCACTACTGATACTGGGTCTAATGAAAGAGTTTACGGGGTTTCATTTGAATACAGGCTACACTCAGATAATGCGATAACTCACTCTTCATCAGAAAAACACGTAGGTCGTCGTCATAGGGCCCTTACACAGCAATAAAAATGTGTCTGTATCTTGTAAATCCTGAATGAAACTCATAGTCTTTCCCATGTAACTATTTTTTTACCTATACCATAGAATCAGTGACTTAAATGTTCACGTGATATTTAAAATTTTTTAATTTTTTTTCTTTTTGCTTTCTCGCCTGTAATTAAACAAAGAACCAGATGATGTTAAATACGAGCATCGAATTCAGTCTTTTTCAACATTGAAGTAAAGCAAACATTATCTTTAAAACAAATCCAGCTCTTTTTAATTGGTATATTTGATCTGCCTGGTTTTTTCAAGTTTTTATTTGCTCGTTTTTAGCCTTCCAAGAATTGAATTGAGTTTGAAAGTCAAGTGGAGCTGAAAAGCTTGAAGTGGAAAAGAATTTATGGCATCGACTAGAAAAACATTTGAGGATGCACCATCCGTAATGGAATTGTTTGATTCTGCCCGGAGGCTTCTACTATTACGACCTAGAGTAGAAAACAGAAAATTAAGAAAGGATAACTGGAACGCACAGAAAAGTAAATTTGAAAAAGAAGAACAAGTCACAATTAAACAGCAGTCTGTAACAAAAGATGGGGATGTTTTGGATTTACTTTCTCCCCTTTCAGTCGATGAGGTGAAAAATAGTCCTCCTTATCAGAGGGTTGTACAGAAGGTTGAAAGAGCTCCTGCCATTGTAACACCGTCAAGTATGAGCGACGGTTCTCCGCCAGGAACGGGATCTGAAACAAAGCAAACTGTCGACTCAGGAAATCGTTTAATAAAAAAGGGTCCATCCACTACTATTTCATTTGTTCAAGCATCTGACTTCAAAAATCAAATTCAGAGGTCAAATTTGACTACCTCTTTAACCCAACAAAAGATTGAAAATTCTGTTGATAAGGTAAACGAGTGCTACAATTGTCATACTCATAAAACGCCATTATGGAGAAAAGATCCCCGAGGCAATACACTTTGTAATGCTTGTGGATTATTCTTCAAATTGCATGGTACCACCAGACCATTAAGTCTAAAGACGGATGTTATAAAAAAGCGAAATTCGAGAAGATCGTCTAGTGTAAAGCAGGCACCTGGCTTGACGTCAAGGGGGTCGGAAACCTCCTTGAATAGACATAGCTTTGGCGAGAACAGTAGCTATCCTTCAGGGATTCCAATTAATAATTTAAACTCAGCTTATAATGGACTGCTATCGAGTCATCCGAACACGCCTAGTGGAAGTGCTCCAAGACAGAAAAATGTTTTGATCTTACCAAAGCTTTCACTGGCCCCAGGAATGACGAGTAATAACCCATCAACTAACATGAAGACAATTTCAATTCCAAACAGTCCATGCTCTCCAGTGGTCGGATCTAATACCATTAATCAACAATTCAAAAGGAAAAAGTCTGAGGTCAATATGCAGAATATGGACTACTCAGAATCATATGGCAAAAGAATACCCATTTCTGCTACCAATATTAAGAGAGGTTCTTCTGCTGCTTCCACATCCTTTCAATCAGGATCTCGCAAGGCATCTTTCTTATCCTTTTCGCAGAACAGGAGGAACTCTGCAATGCTAAGCAATGGTGCGACTCCACCAGCTAGTAGTTGGTCTCTCACGCCATCGAATATTAACATGTGGAACCAAAAATCTGTTCAAAACTCATATTTCGAAAGTGCTAATAAGAATAACTTTAACAGTGCCATTAATAACATGGTAGGAACGCCTGGATCAGTACTTTCCCAGTCTTCCTTCACAAGCAGTCAAACAAGTAACAGACAATCATTTTCATCTCCGTCACGAGAGCTTAATAACTTCACTTCTTATAATACCCCTTCAGAAAATAATGACAATCTTTTCAACGAAAATTTACCTTCCAACGGAATAAATAATGACATTGAAGCAAATGACTTCTTCGAAAAGTATCCCACTACAAAAAACCAAGCACTAGAGACAGTGGGAGGTAAATACGAAATTAAACCGATGACAGCAAAATCATCTCTCACGGATGGTTTGAAAAAGCAAAATAATAACGACATGAAAGAATTAGATTGGTTGAAGTTCGAAACTTAATGATCCAATCTAATTAATTTAGATATACGAATGATTTATAGTTTTTAGGGTTTAGTTAAACCGTATATAATTAAAAACATGCAACACAGAAAACCGTTACCTTCGATAAGAGCTGTCTTGGATTTGTCCAGACAGTCCTGCATCTCCACTTTTTTTTTAAATTTTTTTTTTTTTTCGATCGTACCGAAAATTTTTCGATGCAGAACCATACGACGAACTTTTCAAAAGACAGTGCCACATGTCAACTAAAACTTCTTTTTAATATCAAGTTTAGAATTGCTTAATTTGAAATAACTAAAGAATATTCTTAACAATGTCTGCCCCAGCTCACAATTTTAAGGTCGCCGATATCTCGTTGGCTGCTTTCGGTAGAAAAGATATCGAATTATCTGAAAATGAGATGCCTGGTTTAATGTATATCAGAAAAAAGTATGGTCCAACACAACCATTAAAAGGTGCTAGAATTGCAGGATGTTTGCACATGACTATCCAAACTGCTGTTTTGATCGAAACTTTAGTTGCTTTAGGTGCTGAAGTTACATGGTCTTCATGTAACATTTTCTCCACTCAAGATCACGCTGCTGCTGCCATTGCTGCTTCGGGTGTTCCTGTTTTTGCTTGGAAGGGAGAAACTGATGAAGAATACGAATGGTGTATTGAGCAGCAGTTATTTGCTTTCAAGGATGGTAAGCAATTAAACTTGATATTAGATGATGGTGGTGATTTGACCACCTTGGTTCATCAAAAGCATCCAGAAATGTTGAAAGGTTGTTACGGTTTATCTGAGGAGACCACTACTGGTGTCCATCACTTATACAAAATGTTGAAGGAGGGTACTTTGAAGGTTCCTGCTATCAATGTCAATGACTCCGTTACCAAATCTAAGTTCGATAACTTGTATGGATGTCGTGAATCCTTAGTTGATGGTATCAAAAGAGCGACAGATGTTATGATCGCTGGTAAAGTGGCTGTTGTTGCTGGCTTCGGTGACGTTGGTAAGGGTTGCGCAATGGCTTTACACGGAATGGGTGCAAGAGTTATCGTAACAGAGATTGACCCCATCAATGCTTTACAAGCTGCTGTTTCTGGTTATCAAGTTGCCCCAATGGAAGAGGTTGCATCAATTGGTCAGATTTTTGTCACCACCACCGGCTGTCGTGATATTATCACTGGTAAGCACTTTGAGCAAATGCCAGAAGATGCTATTGTATGTAACATCGGACACTTTGATATTGAAATCGATGTTGCTTGGTTAAAAGCTAATGCTAAATCAGTAGTTAACATTAAACCTCAAGTTGACAGATTCTTGATGAAAAATGGTCGTCACATTATATTGTTAGCCGAAGGTAGATTGGTCAACTTAGGTTGCGCAACTGGGCACTCTTCTTTTGTCATGTCATGCTCCTTCTCAAACCAGGTTTTGGCTCAAATTGCCTTGTTCAAGGTTAATGACGAGAAATTCAGATCCCAATTCCCAGAGTTTGTTAAGACCGGAAAGTTCGATGTTGGCGTCCACTTGTTACCAAAGATCTTGGATGAGACCGTCGCTAGGTGTCATTTAGACCACTTGGGTGCAAGATTGTCAGAGTTATCTACCGTTCAAGCTGAATACTTAGGTATTCCAAAAGAAGGTCCTTTCAAGGCTGATATCTACAGATATTAAATGGGTCTACAAACTTGTGATCCTTTTCTTTTAAATTTTGGTTTGATTTTGATTTGGTTTTATTTGCATCAACTGCATTATTGATTTTTATATAATGGGTTTAGAAACTTTTTTTCTTTACTACTAGAAGGTAGATTTTCACAATATTTATCTAATTTTAATAAATGGTTCCTCAACGGATTAAAAACAAAAAGATGTATTTATATAAAGTTCACGTGACCATTTACTTTAACAATTTTGAAATCTATCGTTGCTTTCATCGCTCTGCAAATGCAATATAAAGAAGTATAATAGACTCATGTTTATAAAAGCCAATAATATTTCAAGACTAGTACCTAGAACATCCTTATGTTCTCTCAGATTTTATACCAAATATCCCACCAATGACCAAATTTTCGTCCACAAGACAGGAAATAATTACAAATATTCCTTGTCACCTGAACCGAGTTCACTTCCAATAGGTTATGGTCCTGCTCCTTCCGACGTCCCCGCTGAAAACTTCAAGCCAAACGATACTTTCTTGCGACAACTCCAGAGAAGAATAGGCTCTGACATACAAAATGATTTTTCTTTCATACTTGAGGCCGGAGCGAATGCAGGCGCTTTCATGCCGATTTATGATTATAGAGAGGTTCCTCGGTATGGTAGGATTCCTGAAGTTGACAACATATTTGGATATGTTCAAGTAAATCAAGAAGGCACTATAGTCCCTGGAACGTACGAAGAAAATAGTTTTTACAGATTATGCAACGGTTCGGGCCCCATAAGACTTAGCGATTACCTTTACGACAAACTTAGATCTGATTGTGAAGCTAAAGCGAACATTAAGGATCAGTCGTGAGCGCAGAAAAGAGCAAAATCAAAGCTATCTTTAATTCGCATGTCCACATAATATACGTGGAGGATAAGAAAAAGCCAAAGACACACGCGTGCCCAGACAGCGTCAGACAAATTATCTATCTTTGTCTTTCTGTGGTTTCGAATTCCTTCTTGGCTTCTTAGAGCATGATATCATGGCAGATCGTCTTTGTTGGGACAACGCTTGCTTATGTAAGCTATGCATGCTTGCTAGCGGCTGACTCTGGTCTATCTTTTACAACTAACTGTAAACGGAGGGGGGGTGAAGAAATTATCTATATAAAAAGCTAGGATCATGTAAGTGATAAATGGCAGTAAAACTATATAGTAAAGTAAATCATAAACGATATTAAAGTTTTTCAACATGAAAGCACGGTTTCCCAAACTGATTTATTTCTTTCTTGCCCTTGGCATTCGTCTGTTGCAGCTTTTATTCACTATCATTATCTTGGGTATATCTGCTGCTGTTATCGATGATCTTGGTGACTATGACAGAGCTGCACTTTGTCTTGCGACCTCAGTCATGAGCTTTGTTTACCTAGTTTTCCTATTGATTCCTTTCGTCTGTTTTGCTCCACCGCTAGCAATACTTTTATGTGACTCGTTGTTTTTTATCTTATACTTAGCATCATTCGCAGCTCTTGCTGATCTGTTTCAAAATGTTTCATGCTCAGCAACTTACATCTATGCGTATTCGAGCTTCAGGTACTCTGGTAATTGGTGCAGGTTATCTAAAGCTCTAATTGGGCTTTGCGTTATCAACTGGGTTTTATTTATCATATCATTGACATTACTCAGTGTTTACACGATATACCCATTAGCTAGTACTACATCTAGAGGGCTTTTTACTGCCGGAGATTTTGCTATGGGTGGCATAATGACAAACAAACATTACGCAACGGAAAACCCTGATTTAGAAGAGAATCCTGCCCCAGTTGAACTGGAGCAGAAGCTGATTGATGGTAATACGGAGGGTGCCATATCAGATTATACACATCCATCTGATGAGGGACATATTCCTGTATCGCATGATTTAGGTGCTGAAGCGGCACCAGAGACTAGGCTTTAAGCTCTTGTTTCAGCCGCGTTTGATCCCTCGATTTGCAGTAATCTTTTTCGCCAGGCTACGACCAAATGTGTTTTACCGTATTTTAAATTGTGTTCAAGTTTCTACTCATGACCTAATCAAGTAGCCAATGACTAGGTAGTCTTTAATTGAAAACCTCTAGCTAGTATATATTCATCTATCATCTTACACAATAACACTATTTTACAACAAATCTCCATTTATCCCAAATGCATGTGTCTCGTAAGTTCACCTCTCTGCGTATACTTTATTATTTTCACGAATTGAGGTATATCGCGCAGTCACTCAAATTCACCCCCAATTACGCTTTTCGGTTGCCAACTCCAAGGGGGTACCTTTTGCGAGTACATTCGACTGTTTATTTTCACATACGAAACATAAAACCGTGACTTAACTCAGATCGTTTTATATACGTAAATACTATTTTGACTAGAAGGTGTAAGCTATACAATGTTGTTCTCTTTCACTCTAAGAGTGATATTTTTGTAGACTATAGACATCAAAAGTATCTAAATTTAAACATTTGCTTTAGGATGCTCTAAAACGTTTATGTCTGATATATTTGGTGTTTACATTAGTCATGCAAAGGACGGTCCTGAAGTCAAAAAAAGAAAATTCATCTAAACCCACTCATTGCATCAAACAATCGCTGCGTAATACGTGCGAAGAGATATTATCTCTGCCTGCATTTATATTAGCTTGAGCTGAAATTTATCTTGGCATTCACCTTTTCCTATCATGACTGGTACCTGTTGATATTTTCCTGGACCATGAGAAGCTTCTTTGTTAAAGCACCATGAGTCAACACCGCCATATCCAATGACTCCAGATGACTTCTCATATTGAAATTGAAACTTTGACGGTTGGATGGCACGATTACACTGTAATTGCCCCTCGGGTGATATGCCGCAAAACCCTTTTGATGACTTCAAATTGTAGCCACCAAACTGCAGTTTAAATATTTGAAAAGTTGCACATGTTCCGTATTGGTACCATTCACCGTTGCTGATAAGGCAACCATTATGATTCGAAATTTTTATGTATCCCTTGCCCGGAGAAGAAGGAGGAGGATTTGGAGTTGTTGGTGGTGGTTTCCACCCGGACTTAGGCAAAAACTTAATGCCCTCCTCAGGGCAATTCGATGTCAACAAAGATGAAATGGGTAAGAACTGTTGCTGTTTTATAGATCCATGTAGGTAGTGATAGTACCATATCTCTTGAAGTGCCCTATATTTGTTGCACTTAAAATAGACATTATGTCCCCCAAAACCTTTAGAAAGAGCATCTGCTATTTGTCTTTTGGTGTATGTTTCTGTTGTCGAAGGGACGATTCCATCAGCTTCTAAAAGCTTAAACGTTGGAAGACTTTCATAAAGTTTCATAGAAATGTTGAAATAGTCTACAACATTTTTATTTGCAATAAAACTTCTATAACAAGTAGGATACAAAGTTTTAACGCAAGTTCCATGTTTATTAAACTCATGCACCCATAGCGAGTCATCATCACCGTTAAAGTTTTTCCAGTGTTTTTTCATCTTCTCGTATAATACTTTATCGCCGAATTGATTAAGAACAATATCGCCAGCTTTGTCGATGTTCATGGTATCATCGCAGAACTGCTCATATGAGCCGTCACAATTGTCGGGCCACAAGCCATGGAGAGTGAACGTGTCATTGTCACCAATAGGGGGATAGTAGTCCCAGAATTGAGTCTGCAAAAAGATACCACCTGGTGATTCAAAACAACATTTGTTTTCTATTGGTGTTGAGTTTGAGCACGTTATCGGTAAGTCAATAGGACACGCTCCATCAATTCCTGGAACTTCAAAAATTGCTTGATTTCTACCAATATAGGAAGCTAGTACATTTGGAAGAAGAGGAAGAATAGCTGCTCCCACTAGAACTTTTATCATCTTTTAGTTACAAAGTTACAAAAAGGCTTCATTTCATTAATGTTTGTTATCGCAATCTTTAAATACACGATAAGTTCGTGATCACGTTATCAGAACTAATTCAAGTCAAGTCAAGTCAAGTCTTAACTACCATGGAATATATTACTGTCTATAAAAATAATGAGATGAACATTGGAATACTTCGTGCTATCTGATAAACTATCCATTCCAAAACGTAATAGTATTCTTATGGTATCAACCTATCATACTTCTTTTTCGTCCTCTTAGTCTCACATCATGTAATCTATTCAATGTCTCGTTCAATTTCTTCACACCAAATTTCTGATATTTCTTGTCTTTATGTATAGATTCATATCCTTCCAAAAGCCATGCGTTATATTCACTAGCAAATCTGGAATGTGTGCTTAAAATAGCTCTTTCAAGAACATAAAGATCCACAGCCTTATCTTCAGGAAGACCCGAGTATGACGATAAGCCAAAATCGATTAAACACGGTTCAGTTCTTGTCAACATTATATTAGATGAGGTAAGATCACCATGAATCATATCATTTAAATGCAACTTTCCTATTAATTTTCCAACCTCTTTGCAAGTTGTCTCAGCTTCTAAGCCAATACATTTCTCTGAATCAAAGTTCTGTTCTAGATACCACAACCAATTTTTAAAAGAACTTGGTTCGCTATTCTCTAGTGCATGTCCTAAATACTCCATCCATATCAATCCATGTACAAAGTCAACCAGAATGAGAGAGGGTGATCCAATGTTCAATTTAGTGAGTTTATGCATGAACCTAACTTCTCCGATAGTTCTGTTTTTAGTTATAGCAGCATCGATTTTAGGATGTCTATATTCTTTGGGGGGACGATATTTAATAACAAACTTTCTCTTATTACTCAAGTAAGGTTCAGAAATATATGGATGTACATTAGTTTCGAATACTAGAGCTTCTGCTCCTTGAGAAATCAAAGTTAATGGAATATGAGGTAAAATTAGCTCTACTTGATTAACTAGTTGGCTCGACATCACCCTGTGCTTTCCAACTGGTGAATAATATTGTCTGGAAGTAATGAGAAATAATCATATATTTCGCATGCTCAAATTTTATAAGAACTACTCTTTCTCTGGCCCTTCGTATTTTTTGACTTTTCTTAATTAGTGAATGTAAATTGAAATGGGACAACTGGATCTAGTATATATAATCCCTCCGTATCTACTAAGCACATGTTTAGGCTCAAGCTTACAAAGAGAAGTTGCGTCGAAGGATTCTAGAATGGGCTTATTAAATGTTATACCAACGGATTCGCCCTTTCATTACAAGAAACAAGACATGAAGCCTCCTACTAACAGGTTCTCAAATGATCCTATATTGAATGATATAATAAAAGAAAAAGTTCTCTATAAGCTTAGTATCATTGGAGCTTTAGGTAGTAATCCAATGGAGATTGCTGCTAATGACGATGAATACGTATTCAAAATGTGTGGAATATTTAAACATAGATTAATTGAGAATTCACAAGGACCTCTGTTGGGTGATACCAGTAAAGACTCCAAGAATGGTCTGGAACAGGCTTACCCCTCGATATATAATTCAGACAGAATTGGTGAGGTTTCTTTTAGCAACTTGCCTTCGAGTAAACTTGTTCCCAATGCATATAAACAATATTTGGATTATACTTTAAAAGATCTTCTACTGCACTCGAACTATGATGATGAAATTTATAATAGCTATGGAATCCCCCAAAGCTACATTCGCTTTAGCGATAATTCCTTTTTTCATTATCCGCTCCCCATTTCCTGGGTGCCTTTAATTCAAAATAAGCGTTTGAGCTATTTGAAGAAATATCTTGATTTTAAAATTGAAAATGATACTGGTTTTTCTGAGATCAAGCTATCCACTAGAATAGAGAAAGAATCATCTGATATTGACGAACAACTCAATAAAAACCAATACCTTAATTTCATTTGCGACAAGCTGGTAACCCCATCTTCTGGAATTTACTATTACGAGATTGAGGTTTCCCAGGAAACTGTGGACAGACTAAATATTAATCCCATTTTGCAAATGAATGATTTGTCCACTTCTTCAACCACTACTCCGAGCATTGCTACGGGTTTTGCTAGAAGACATGTATGTGTTCCGTCCCCTCACTCTTCAGTATCATCACCAAACTATAACCTATCAGGTAGCAAGGTAGATCTTGAGTCAATTAAAAAGGAGATCCTTTTTAATCAAGATGATCAAGCGGAGGGCATTCTAAATAATGACATTGAAAATTCTTTGAGTTTAAAACCTGGTGAAATGCCGGGAAGTTTTGCAATAAATTTAGAAGATCTGAATTTCTATAATTCGGTGAAAGCATCAGAAGCTATGCAAAGAGATTCGATTCTAAATATGAATAGAAGATTATCGTCCTTAAATCGGACTAATATGGATGAGTCGGCTTCTGGCAAAATTGATATTGGGGTATCATTTAGAACTTATACTACTCTTAACGAAACGAGGAAGATACAGAAGACGGATATCATTGGTTGTGGTATAAACTATGTTGATAAATCTCTTTTCTTCACAATCAATGGAGTCTTGATCAAAATTATTAATCAGGAGGAACTCTCTTCAAATAATTCCATAGCAGATAATTTGTTTTCAGAAGACGGAAAAATTTCCGTATATCCTATTATTGGTCTTAAGCTCAACGAGCTTAAGGATATTAAATCGGAGGATCCAGCTTCTCTTGTTATTACTACAAATTTCGGTTTTAAAGAGTTTCAATTCAATATTTGCAACTATGTTAGAAATTTTAGAGTGGAAAATCAAAACTTTTTGTTACTGCTTGAACAAAGCAATAAATCATCTTCTGAGTCTCAGTTAGAACGATCTTTGAAAAATATAGACAGTGACTCCAATTTGTTGAACAAGATGATCGAAGGATATCTTAACCATGAAGGATACGTAGAAACGTTTAAAGCTTTCAATTCGGATTTAAAGAAACTTTCCAAAAATATTGGAAACGAAGAGTATCAGGATAATGAACTGTCTTTGTTAAAGAAATATCAAGCGTTGAATAGACAGGTCATAAAAAACTATATCACAAAAAACCAATTTGACTTGGCTCTAAAGTTTCTATCGTTGAACTTTCAATCGTTGCTCAGCGATGAAGAGGGCCGGGATCTTGTTTTTGAGATACAAATATTAAAATACTTATTTCTATTGAAAGAATATGTTGAAAGCAGATTAAATTCTCATCTGCAAAATACTGACGAGCTATTTGTAAGTGCAACGGATTATGGACATGAATTGCAAAAAGAGTATTCGACATGCGAGGCTAAAATCGATCGAATAAATCAATTATCTTCGCTTATTCTAGTAAATGATATTGAAACTTTGCATAGTTTGCCCAAGGAATGTCATTTACTCAAGGGTTATTCTCATAGTGTGAATGGTTTAGCTTCTAAGATTAATAAAAAGATACTAAAAAGCCTAGGATTCAGTGAGATCTCAAATTTAGAAACAATATTCAATAACGTGAATCAAAATATCAATTTACTAAGTTTGAAGTATCACGACGACAAATTTGTACTAACAAACTTCGAAAGAGATCACATGGACCTTTAATCAACCTGATTTGAGTTTCTTACGCCTTGGTTCCTCCTTTGCCTCTTTGAAGTCCTCGAATTTTAATAACACATCATTGGATGCTTCGAAAGGAAGTTTTATATCAATCAATTTATCAATCCTAAAAGTGTCATACGTCTTAATGGCCCAGCCACCTTTCTCTAGCAAATTCATACTTAAATTGCTATGTCTATTCATAATATCAAAATATAGAGGGAGCAATTCTTGTGTGTATTCTTTCATGTTATACTTAATTTTTGTGTCTGGTCTATTTGGCTCAATGATATAGTATATGAAACTTTCGTCACTAAAGAATGGGGGAGCGAATTCTTTACTTATGTGAGTACATAGAGACAATATTAAACTGGCTGTTGCAGGACCAACACCACGTAATTCACATAGCTTTTTAAAAGATGCCTTTATCATGGTGATGTAATCATTTTTATTCTTCTCATTGTGCCAGAAGTCTCTGCTCTTGGTGTCTTTTACGAAGTTCAAGAATATTTCATAGCCTTCTTCAGTAATTTGTTCAACTCTATCATTTGATTTGATTAATTTTGGTAGCATTGGTCTGTATACCCCTTTTGCTAGCTTCCAATCCATAAGTAAAATCAATTCGTCTTTATTTAACCACACTTTGTTTGTCTCTTTATACCTATCTGCAAGTGTAGCAGGTAGAACATCTGACCTCCAGTTATCAAGATCAAGTAAGCTGAATTTGTCATGATTGTACTTTTTAGTGGACTGCTTAGAAAGCTCCTCGGTAATGACTCTATATAATGATTCGCTAGCTTCAACTACACAGTCAATTGCAGTCATATCGGTAGAAGTCAGCGAACTTCAGATCTCAATTATGTTGATAAGTTAGTTTCCAATTTCGGCTCGCTTATAATATTAAAAAATTAAATGGCTCCTATATAATGCTAAAAAAAAATTCTATACAATTGGATGACTAGGTGTTGATAACGCTTTTTGGATTCGTTTTTGCAGACATCTTTCGATAATTGAACCTTCGATTTGGGGTAAAGCTCATAGGCATTGTTAAATCCATCATTATGTTTTGAACTAAAGAGAACGTCTGCGAGCTCAACCAATATAATACAAGTGCGACCGGTGCATGAAGAGAAATTGCCATAAGAAAGACAACAGACATACGTGATATGGTCGCAATAGACTCCGACATGTTCGTCCTAAGCAGTGTATTCTGTGTCCTTCTCAAGATCGATAATGTTTTAAAAGTCCATTCAACATTACATAAAGATATCAAGCCAATCATTAATGGAAATAAATGAAAACTATCAGGAATTGTAAGGTCCGTGAACCATAGTAATCCTTCGGTATAAAGGCTCTCATCGAGCGGCCGATTATCAAATGTGTTCCATGTTGACCAACCGCTTAAATCTCTAAAAGTCCAAGACATAGCAATCCATAACGGAACCTGGCAAGCTGGAAGGATGATATTTTTCCACAACTGTACACCATTTTCCTTGAAAAGTTTTTTTTGTCTCTTCCTTGTTTCTTTAGCAGATAATAACAAAATTTGTTCATAAGTCATAGAAGAAAGAGGCAGTTGAGGAACATAGCTGTCGCCATTCTCCGAGTTTCTGGTCTCATCTGCGTTTTGTCCAACCAATTGCTTCTGTTTTGCAGACTGCACTTTCTTTGCAAGGTTTAGCTTTAAGACAGGATTCGTAGCACTCACCACAGGGCGCAACATAGCTTGTTTCTGTATTCTCTTCCTTTGCATAATAGCCAAAGGCAACGTCCATATTGATCTTAATGCAAAAGTGGTCAAGGGTATAAGAGCCCACCACGGTATGTGTGAATATTCATGAATAAACTGTAGAGATTCAGTCATCGAAATGATGACAGGCTGAGGAGAGAGCGATATATTCCTCTTCAGAAGAGGGCTCCAGGGTTTTGAGATCCCCAAGTGGCCTTTGGGAGTCCTTAACAATCGAAAGTGAAGCATTTTCTTCTTGTTATAAACGTCTCCTTACCGTAGTCTCTTCTAACCTAAATTCTTAATTTTTATACCTTAGGTCAGGTGATGATTGAACAAAAATATGAAAAATCAATTGAAACTAGAAAAGGACAGAGGCTTCATATCCAAGTGTGATGTCAACAAGAACTGAAAGAGCATGTATGCTCTGTGGCATAATCCAGCCTTATAGAAAATTCGTTGATCTTGGGTGTCCAAATTGTGAGAGTGTTTTACATTTTCAAGATAATGAAGAAGGACAAGTTCAAGATTGTACATCGCCATCTTTTGAAGGATTGGTAGCTCTAGGTACTGATAATAAGAAATCGTGGGTTGCCAGATGGCTCAGAATTGACTCGTTTGTTCCCGGTCTTTATGCTGTGAAGATAAATGGAAAGTTACCCCCGCATATTGTTAGTGAGTTGGCTGACCAGAACGTAGGATATAGGCCAAGAGACGGAAGTGCTGAAGACTGAGGTAAATTGAAAAGCAAACCGATTACTAAAAAGCAGTCAATTGTATTATAATTCATGAGAAACAATTCCACATATCTACGAAATAACCTAAATTTTAACTGTTATAATATACATACTCTATTTAAAAGTGTTATTCATGTAGTATTGCACTAAATTGGCAAGCTAAAAGAGGATCTGAACATATTGGCAGTGTAGATCATCTTATCCATGGTTGATGTTTTATCCCACTTATCCCTATCGTCCCAAATGATTTCGATTAGCTTTGCCATCACAATTTCTAATTTTTCAATATTGTAATTCTCTGTTATTTCCAATAGTGTATTTTCGAAAAACTCATCAGTCTTGTCACTTAATATTAACTCCTTGGATTCAACTGCTTTTAGTGGCTCTTCGTCTTCGGCTTCAGATTCGGTGTCGGATTCGCGTTCCTCATCCAGCTCCTTTTTATCATCAAGCTTTACATTGCTGGATGCGACAGTACCATTAGTCTCTTCTGTTTTTTTACCATTTGCTACATCAGATTCCAATAACAGCGGAGTCTGAGTAAATTCATTTACCAAAGTACTATTATCGCTACCTTTGCTCAGCAAAGCACCATTATTCATGACCTGAATGTCCGCCGTACCATTCATATTTGTTCCTTCCAGAAAGTTTCCTGTTCCTCCTTCATGCACAATAATATTTTGCACTTGATTTGCTTTTAAGTTTTCAGCCAACTGCTTGCGCTCCTCAAGAAGCACTTTTTGTTTTTCTATTTCTCTCATTCTTAATTTTTTGCAAGCTTGAATGAACTCAGGTGTACTGAATTCATCTACACCAAACTGCGCATTGGTAAACATTTCATTGGCCTTGAGTATCCTCTCTCGATCACCAAACGTGATAGAGTCCTTTACGATCAACTTTATGTCCTTCAAGAATTGTTTCGGCTCACTATAATATCCATTCCAAAGTCTCTCTTCAATAATGTCCAAGTCCATGTTATAGTAAAATTTACCTGATGCAATCTCTTTGATCATGTTCTCATGCCCAGCATCATGAGACCTTTCATATAAAACCTCATAGTTATTTAAAGGGTTATCAATTACGGTCGGATCGAATAAATGATACAAAAAAGTATCGTCAATAAGAGGTTTTTTAAAGCGCTTATATCGATTCTTGAAAAGGTCCATTAAACCAGCTAGCTTAATCTTAAGAACATTCTTTAATTTTGTGTCTTCATAATCCTGTTGTTTGAGACGTCTTTTAAGCAGCAAACTCTGAGGCTCATTGACCTCATCAACCAAAACTTTAAGCTTTTTGAGTTTGCGCTTGGGGCGATTTTTAAGATCATTAACGAATTCAAATGGTTTCATTAGAAGGGCTTTTTTCATCGTCTCGAAATACTCTTTTCGCTGGCTCCTTGAAGGATTTCTTAAGCCAACGTTGTTGGAATAATTGTTAAAGCCAAAGATTAACTTTACTTCTGGGTCAATATCCTCTATATTTGTTTCAGATATACCAAGTAACAAAATTTTTTCATTGCTTCTGAGGTTTCTAAGTAATCCAGTCAAAGTAGCCTTAGCAGAGGAGGGGACAACCTGGAACCAAATATCAATGTTAGGGATAAATATAACGGAAGGTTGATGCCGTCTTGCTTCAATGAAAGTCTGAACAATGCACAGCTCTGGCGACTTAGTTGGATCGCCAAATATGTTTCCCATATCTAATGATTGAAGTTGAAATCCCTCTAAATAATTAAGGATGGCAGATGTAATGTATTGCTGACCGTTACCTTGGCCACCACAAATTAGTAAATGTGGCTTAAATACTCTTGAATTTTCAAGGTTCTTCAAAAGTTGCTGTTTCCCAAAACCACCATCACTGTCATTAATTGTAGGATCTAAGTAATGCGCTTCTTGAAGAGTAGTTAACTTTTTTTTCTTACTACCTGCGTCAGGTAACAAGTCGTCAAGCTTCTTGATTATTTCACTCATAAGTGGTTGTAATAAAGGTTTCAAGTTATCAGGCAACGGCGAGGAACCTGAGGAGCTAGATCTAGCGCTTGATGGTACAATTTTATCAAGTGCATTCATAAAATCTTTTGCAACTACTTTCACCTTCGTGGGATCAACTTTGAGTTTGTCACTAGTTCCATAAATTTGTGGATATTTGCGCTGTATGCTGTTAAGCGCTGCCTCCGTACATAATGCTCTCAAGTCTGCCCCTCCATATCCTTTAGTCAATTCTGCCACTTTCTTAAGAAACTCTTCTGGTAAAGGTGGATGCCACTTTCTTGTGTGAATTTCCAAAATCTTCGCCCTCGCAGACATGTCAGGCAAGGGAAAATAAAATTCACGATCGAACCTTCCTGGGCGTCTTAAAGCTGGGTCAACAGAGTCTGGTCTATTAGTGGCGCCAATTACAATTACTTGTCCTCTGTTGTCCATACCGTCCATCAAGGCCAATAATGTGGAAACAATACTCGCATGGATTTGTTCTTGCTTCGAAGACCTCACAGGTGCTAACCCATCAATTTCGTCAAAAAATATGATGGATGGCTGTTGATTTTTTGCTTCTTCAAATAATAATCTAAGTTGTCGCTCTGCCTCCCCTACCCATTTACTTAGACAGTCTGCACCTTTTCTCATAAAAAAAGTAATTTTTCTCGTAGACGAAGAACAGCTAGCTGCCAATGCTCTAGCCATCAAGGTCTTACCTGTACCCGGAGGACCATGAAATAAAACCCCCCTAGGCGGTGTAATGGCGAAGTTCTGGTAGAGCTCAGGATATAACAATGGAAGAGCAACCATTTCCTTGAGTTGATTGATATAGTTGTCCAAGCCACCAACAACAGAAAAATCAATATTCATATCAACACCCAATGGATCTGAATCACTAAGACTGTTTTTCTTCTTTTCTTTCTGGTCAATCAATGCACCAGGAGCTGCTTTTGAAGGAATTAAAAAATTCTTTGAGGTCTTTATCGATGCCTCTCCGTTTACTGGTGCAATTTCGTCTTCAGAAGAGTCTGAATCGCTGTCATTTTGGCCAATAGCAGTTAGACTGTTCGTGTTAGTCATTCCAGGTAATGACATTCCTCCAGGTGGGATATTCGTACCAAATAAAGATATAACGTCACTTCCTCCAAATGGACCCGCAGTCGGAAACAATAGCTTTCTGTATTCATTCTTATTAATATTTGGTCGTCTGCCCCTCGACCTGCTGCCTGGAACGATAGGACTATTTCCAATTTGCATGTCATTTGAAATGGGAGGAGGTATAGTATAATCAATTTTGTTACCTCTTTCCCTTAGTTTATGCTTGACTGGTGTCTGACTTGGAGATGAATCATACAAATCTTCAATCTCTTTTTGTATGCTATCCACATCATCTTCGGAGTTTTTCAACTCATGGTTATTTTCTTGCTCACTATAGACTTTCGACCTAGTCATCCTTGTTCTTCTAGGCTCAACAGAAACTGATCTACTTCTCCTTCTTTTTTTTCTCTTTGGAGGTGCGTCCCCATAGCCAAAATCTTCAGAGTTGTTTTCATCATCAGAAGCTACAAAGTTCCTTTCCTTCAACTTTTCTACAAACTCGTCTTCATCAGAAATGTCACTGTCTTCGTGAAAATCAGAATCATCTGAAACAACTGCCGCATGTTTGCTCCTTCGTGACCGTCTTGCTCTAGATCTTGAAATTTGGTTTTCTTCATCGTCATCTTCCATGTAATCCTCTTCCTTATCATCATCAAGTTCTGCTGCATCTGGTTCCTCGTCTTCAGATTCATCAGAATCTGCCTTTCCTTCTTCAGGTTCCTCTGCTTTTACATCGTTCTTCTCAAAGTTGTATTTAATACCAGATGATTGAGGCAGCTTCAGAGTCTCACTCGGATTGGCGCTAGCCTCGTTATCGCTTATTTCTTCGGGAGAATTGCCTTCTGTGTACTTGGGCCTGTTTCTAGTTCTTTTTGCCAATTTTGGACTCTCTTCTTCATCATCGCTTCTCGAGGCAGCATCACTTTCCAGCTCAATCAAGTGGCTGTGACGTACTCGTGAACCAGCCATGTTCTGATACCTTTCCGGTCTATATTTAAGTGTAACAGAAAAGATTTCGGCGTCTATACTTGTGTGTTAGACGGTAGTGACACTTCCGTAGATAAAGTTTAGTACGGACAAAGAAAACAGTGTCCTCTTGTTTGTATCTTCTTTTTTTTTTGATACAGGATCCTCTAATGATCCCCGATCAACTAAAATATAATGCAAATTTCCTTCCTCACCTTTAAAGCAAGCTAATATGAGTTGCTTTGGAGCTAATAATTTTGTCTTTGATACATTCACTAATAACTTTCGTGTTTTGAGTGCTTAACTATGAGTGTTGCCTACAAAAATAGGTCGTGTGGGCTACAAACCTCTAGACAATTTTCAAATACATCAAACAAGACAAGGGATAGAAGTCTTCAAACACACCACTTAAAATAGCATAATGTCTACGAGAGAAAGGTTTATTTCTTGTTCGAATTCACAAATCCACTGGAACATCTGGAAGCTATTTCGTGTTTAATTATAGCAAAAAAAAAAAAAATTTATGGAGGAATATTGAAATGGTTACACACAAAGCCATGCTGCTAACTCACTTTATCAGACGAAGTAATTTGCAGCCATTTCAGTATTGTCATTTCGTAATGGAAGTCGTTCGTCAATGCCACGGCATGGACTCCGATTCTGAAATAGACGTTCATATGAGTGCGAAGACAAAAAGAGTAAAGAAGTGAGGGCAATATACAGGACATAACTTAACTCGCATTTTTAACCTGCTACCACTATGGTCGATAGAAGAAAATCAAAGCGAGCTAGTCTTAACACTTTCCAAAAGTAGAAGCATATATGTGAGAATAATGGAGCTCTTCTCTCCTTTAAATTATCTTAATTAAGTATTAACTTTTTTTTTTTGTTTTTTCCATGTTTTTTACTAAGTGACTGGAATATCTGCAAAAACCTTGAAAATCTCTTTTGTGCGGTAACCCTTTGATAGTAGAGGATATAATCATCTACAGTACGCATCAACTCAACGACGGAGAAATTATGTCCATTAACTAATAGCTATTTACAGTTCTTTCTAATTTTGTAATATTTATTCTTTTTTGGATCTTATGGGAATGCGTTCGATAGGTATTTTATGGTTCTTCGAATTTGCATTATCTCCATAACTGAGATCCTGACCAATTTTACAAAAATCAGCATTTCTATGAGAGTCAGCAACCGATAAACGATCTAGAATACTGGTGGAAAGACTGGGAATGATGGGGTTTATTAGAATTGAACATATGCGGCAACCCTCTGAAGCTAGAAACACAAAGTAATTTTGAAGAAGGTAGTAATTCTTCTTATTATCTTCTCCTAAATCAGAGCCCTTTAAAAATTTCGAATAAGCCCATGGTTCTCCCAGTTGAAAAATCTGGTTGGCTTGTTCAACGACTTGCCACCATTCTTGAATACCTTTCATGAGATCGAATTTCATAACTTTTGAATTCATTCTATCAAACAAGTTGTTCAAAGAGTGAGTGTATGTTTCAACTTGATTTATCAAGTCTTTTGAATTGACATGACTAAGATTACTTTCGTGCAAGATTTGGTCAATATTATTATACATTCCTTCTTTATAAAGTTCAACACTCTTTTTTATGTTAAAGGATTTTCCACCACACCTTGTCATAAGATTGGCATACTTGCCAATTAAAGTCTCTCTCGTATAATAAAAATTTTGCTCATTGAAGTTGCAGTCTGTCTCAATGTTGGAATACTCGGCCAAAAAAAACCTCAACGAGTCTTGACCATAGTATTCAAACGTTTCAATAGGGTCAACTACATTACCTAAACTTTTACTCATTTTGAATGAGTCCGATAACCAATGGGAATGTACAATAACCTGCTTAGGAAGCTCTATGCCAGCCGCAATAAGGAAAATAGGCCAGTATATACAATGAAACCTCAATATGTCCTTGCCGATGACGTGAGTAGCTGGCCAAATAGCATCATCTGGTGTAACTAGGACACCAGTTCCATTTGGATGGAACTTTCCTGGGAAACCAGCAGCTGTGATATAATTAATCAACGCATCAAACCAAACATATATCTTTTGAGACGGATCGCCAGGAACGTCTATTCCCCATGTTAATCTCGAGGAAGGACGTGAAACAGATAAATCTGGAAGGCTAGTAGTTTTAAGTTCGGCTAAAAGCTCTCTATACTTAGATTTTGGTTCAATAAAGCCCGGATTACTTTCTAAAAAACTAATCAACTTATCCTGAAATTGTGATAACTTGAAACGATAGTTGATTTCTTCCAGCTTTATGACTTCATTTCGTGTTTCCTTCGAAATCATTTTATGGCGACCTTCAGAGTCTATCACTCTTTCAATTTGTGTCTCTGGGTAAAACGTCTCATCACTAATGGAATACCAACCACTGTGTTTACCTTCATATATCAACCCTTTCGCTGACATAATTCTCCAAAATTCTTGCACAGTTTCAACATGATCTTGATCTGTTGTTCTAATAAATCTATCATACTTTAAGTCTAACTTTTCAGCCAACGTTATGAAGTTCCTCGAGACAGTATCAACGAGCTCCTTTGGATGCAAACCTTGACTTTCGGCTGCCGCTTGAATCTTAAGACCATGTTCATCAGTTCCTGTAAGGAAATAGGAACTTCTACCCGGATTCAACTTTTCCCACCTATTTCTAGTATCGCACAATAGCATACTATACAAGTGCCCCAAATGAGGCTTTCCATTTACGTAAAAGATAGGAGATGTGACGTAGAAAGGCTTGGTCGAAGCATTCCGTAGCAAATGTAAGTGGGAAGACCTAATAGCCCGAAGCAGTCCATATTTAATCATGTTCGTTCTGCTGGTACGAAAGCATTCGCAATTATTAAGTGTCAATACCCGAGCGCATTTTTACACTAAAGAAGTAGTGTGGTGATGAGCTACGATCTTGTACCATTCCAAGGTGAAATTAATATACAATTCCTTGTTCTATTTAAAACTATAAATCAGGCTTCTCCATGAAGATTGCCATCAATGCAAAGACACTGTAGAACAATCCCAATGGGTAGGCAATCAAAAGTCTAACATTATGCAATTTCAAAACGATAACAAAGAATCCAGAAGCAGAATAGGTACACCAAAATACTGCAATGGCACTTAATATGTAACCGATAGTGTTGTCCAAAGAGGTGAGAACACCAACGACACTTAGTAAAACTAAAGGTAATAAACAATATCCAATTACTGAAGCAGATCTGATAATATCAATCTGAATATCATTACTCATGAACTTGAATAAATAATGGAGACTGACAACGCCGAACAAGCCAACACCATATATATAGCCAAATTGTACTTTCCCTGCCAATAGTAATAGAGTTCCAAAAAGTAAAACAAACAAAATTGGGCCAGCGAGATCAGAGTCTGCCATTATATCGGAGGTAATGTTCTTATTAAAAGGATTGAGAACTGCTTGAGTTTTTGCTTTAATGTGTTGGAAGTTTATACCCAATTCTTCGAGAAGGGGTGGCTCTCCTGGATAGCCCGAAGTACCAAATGCAGCTAATAAACCATGGGACAACTGGCCTGCCATGGGTCCACTTATATCGATGTTAGATCCAAATCCTGTATCCATCGCCCCCAAAGACGACGTAGGTCCCATATTTCCTCCAGCTTGAGGCAGCTGTGCATAACTACTAGAATAGCTGGGTTGGTAGAATTGTAAATTTTGAGGATTGTTGACCTGTTGCTGGTAATATGCCATGACCTGTCTCTTTTGTTCTTCCGATGTTTTTATATGATTGGATAACAAAAGTTTCACAGTCTATTAATCAAGAGCCTTTATTAAAAATATAGACTAAGCAGATCTTGTTTGAATGATTCTTCAATCTTATGTTCTGATATCTTGACAAAACTATATTTCATCTTTAATATTCATTGGAACATACGAAAACGCGGTCGTGCGACCCGTAGTCTGTAGGGCTTTAATTCTACAGTAAAGAAGAGACTAACCTAGGCCCATTTAAGGATTGCTTCGCTCATACCGATATCCAATGCAGTCAACGATATACCAGCTCAAGGGTCCACTATCCTCAATTATGCTTCCTTTGGGATTAAAGTTTGTACCATCAAGTACAAATCAATAGTCTTTTTTGTGAAACAGTTACAGTGGCCGAGTGGTTAAGGCGACGCCCTGCTATTGCTTTAGCGGTTTAGGCGTTGGGTTCTGCCTGCGCAGGTTCGAATCCTGTCTGTGACGTTATTTTTTTTTTTTTCATTGAATCTATGTTTATGAGAAGCTTGCCTTGATTCACGTTATCTGAGAAACAGTATCGCGGCGATACATTTACTCAACGACTTGGGTGTACAAGGGAAGCAAATCTTTTCTTAGCTATAATGTCTCAATCTTTAATTCTATTTCGAGGTTCTGGTAAGATTGAATATCAGTATAATAATAAAGTGGGTCCCTTTAATGAGTTTATTTCTCATATGGTCAATGGGACAGATATCGAGTTAGAACCAGACTTTCATACACAAAGTATCAACCAGAAGCGCTTCTATTCATTCAGCAAAGAGCATGTATATGCTGCAATATATTTTGACCTCGTTACTACCATTGATCGTGAGAAAATCAAGCACACCTTAGCGGGGATGATAAAGATTTTTAACAAAATAAGTAATGAAGAATATTCAAAAGAGGAAATGCAACAGAAGTTGAAGAAATTGCTTGATTTCCAGTTCTTACAATTAATGAAGTTCAAAACAAGGGAGCAGCAATTGCCTACCAAGGAATCCCTGGAATCGTCGACAGAAGCAAGCGGCACGACACATGTGACGGGCAAAGCTAATCCTAAACTGTCAAAAAAGATGAGGAAATGGGATAGCTCTGGTATAGTAGAAGTCGAGAGCTCGAAAGTCTTAGATTACTCTGAGCAAAATGAGGAACAAGAGGATGTGTCTCATGGTACTCAAAACTTAGCTAATAACTCCGCATTCGTTCACGAAAATGAATTGGTTTTAGTTTCAGAACTCAACGAATTACTTGATAATGGCAGTGATTCAGACTCACAGGAGCCTTCAGAAGAACTAGATTCAAAGGCAAAGGGATTTTTCAGCAAGTTTTCGCAATATTTTGGTAGTTCGGTTAACCTCGATGACGTATCTAAGAAGTTTAATGAACAATTGATTTCTAAGAACATTGCTCCACCAACTGCCGAGACCATCATTACAAGGATTGAAAGAAAACTAGAGAACAAGAAAGGTGTCAATATGAATATATATAGGCAAGCCTTGTTCGAAGAATTAACAAAAATATTGACACCTAACGTCTCAACTGATCTACTTTACGATATAAAGCGAAGTCACACAACTTCTCGACCTTATGTTATTTCTATCGTAGGTGTTAATGGCGTTGGAAAGTCTACGAATTTAGCCAAATTGGCTTATTGGTTCCTCCAAAATAATTTAAGCGTCTTGATCTGTGCATGTGATACGTTCAGATCAGGAGCTGTGGAACAGCTAAAAGTTCATGTAAACAACTTGAAGAAGCTTAATAACTCATCCAATTCTAAAATTGACATCTTTGAAAAAGGATACGGGGGTGGGGACCATGTTGTTGCTACAGCAAAACTGGCAATACAGCTTGCGTCGGCGGAAAACTATGATGTTGTATTGATAGATACTGCCGGTAGAACTCATTCAAATGCTAAACTTATGGCACCACTCAAAAAATTCGGTGATGCCGCTAATCCTGACAAAATCATTATGGTAGGAGAAGCACTCGTTGGGACAGACTCAGTCGAGCAAGCAATTAATTTTAACAATGCATTCGGAAACAAGCGTAATTTGGATTTCTTTATAATTTCCAAGGTCGACACTGTTGGAGATTTAGTCGGTTCAATGATAAATATGGTTATGGCGACAAAAGTTCCTGTTTTGTTTGTTGGAACAGGTCAGACATATACCGACATCAAGAGACTAAGCGTAAATAAGGTCGTAGATTTATTAATGAAATAAGTATTTCATTTCAGTATATTTTTCAATTTTAGTGTAACAGCGTTCGCTTTGCCAAATATGGCTGTGCGATTAAATGGGGGCCCGCATTCTTCGCAACATTACTTCGAAAGATATGTATTATCCTCAACATTACTCAAAACTTTAGACTACGTATGATCAATTGAGGTTAGTAGCAGAATTTGGACGATTTTAAGTCTTTCCCTCATGGTTTTAAAGAAAAGTAAGGCGGAACAGCAGGTGAGCAACGTGCACTTGGATGATAATTCGAGTTATCAGCTCTTCATCCAGATCAATGCCAATAGAGCTGCTGATTTAGTGCCAGACTTTGGATATGAGTCTGATTCACCAAATACTGGGGTGGGGGAAGTGAAAAAATCTTCAAAGAAGAGTATCAATCCTGTTCTAGTGGCTCTGATTAATAAGGTAAAACGTCGGACTTCGAGAAAGCTTCATACGAAGCAGCCTAGTTGGGATGACACATTATTAATACCTTTGAAATATAATGATTACTGCCCTGTATTGTATTTGACAGTGTGGGACAAACACAAAAGATATAAGAACTACATGGGAGAAATGAGGATTCATCTAAATGAAATATTTTATCAAAATTCCAAATTTTCCAGTACTAAGCCGCTCCAATGGTATAAGCTTTACTCCAAGGAAAGTTACAAGCGTTACATCACAGGGTCTTTATTGTTATCTTTCAGTTTAGTCGTCAAAAAGAAGAAGTTGAAAGGAAAAGACAAGAAACGAAAGAACGCTTTAAAAACTGACAAAGATTTGCTGTCACAAGCTGGAAGTAAAAACTCATCAAAAGTGAAAGTAACGGTTTCACCCTCTGCTGACGACTACAGCGATTTATACAATAAAATGGAAACGTTAGAGGCATCAGACGCTCCTTATTACGACGCAGAAGCCACAGAAGAAGAAAAGCAAAAGATGTATCAGCAATGGATCAAGTCTCTTATTTACTCGAATCCTGATCCCAGCTTAATACATGCAGATATCCAAGGCTTTTATCCTTCTGTCAGCGATCTGCCACCTATGGCATCAGACTTGTCAGACCTTGACTCCATTGAAGCTTCCTCAAAGAGTCAAGAATCGAAGGAGGTCTCCAATGAGGGTTCCAAAGACTTGAAACACAGCATTATAACGAAAAGTGATCAAGTTGCAGAAAAGAATTCTAGCAAAGATTTCTTGTCTGTCAAAGACAATTTATCTAATGTATCTGATGAAAATTCTAGTATTCTATCTGAGGTTTCCTCATTAATCTCAAAAGAGAATGTTGTAAATGATCCTTTGCTTGCAAATGCCAACTTGCAAAGTTCGCCTCCTCATAAAAAGAACTCAAATTCCAAGAATACTAATGCAAAATTTTCCGTCAGCAACAGAGACGTTGCGGGTGTTCTTTTCCTAGAAATTGTATCTTGTTCTGATTTGCCTCCTTTAAGGAACGTTACTAGAACATCATTTGATGTTGATCCTTTTGTTGTTATTGCTTTCGGAAAGAAGACGTATAGGACAAGCTGGAAAAGACATACCTTAAACCCTTTGTTTAACGAAAGAATTGTCCTAGAAGTCCTACTGCACGAGACGAATTTCAACATTCAATTTTCTGTCTTGGACAAGGATAGGTTCTCATTTCACGATAACATTGCCGCAGTTTCGGTTCCAGTGAAAGATATAACAGATATGGCAACTCCTAGGGGGTCTCATTTCTTAAACTTAAGGAGTCCATTAGAAGCTGCTTCTGATTCTGTACTTGACTACGACTCACCGTCGCAAAACTCTAGCATTACGGTCTTGGAGGACGATAATTTAATCCAACAAGTTAAGAAAAAGAAGTTTAGAAAAAAAATTACTACACTGCATGGCGACACTTCAAAGTTTAGAACTATAAATTTAGCATTGAAGCTCCACAATGAAAAATATGAAGGTAAATATAATCCACAACTAAAAATTCGAGTCCGATTTGAGCTCTATGAAAATTTGAGAAGGCAATTTTGGAATATTTTACTTGAGCAATACCACGTCGAGGAAACTGGTAGATCGTACGATTACATTGAACTAATATCACTTTTAGATACCTTGGGATGTCAGAATAGTGACGACATTGTGAATGAGTTTTTTCAAGACTATCAAAAGCTGCCCTGGGGAGGGGCCGTTTTGACATTTGATGAAATCATAGATTCATTGGAAAAGCATATAACTTCTTCAGAGGCTTCAAGTGTAAAATTGTTCGAGATAGAAAAGTGCCCTTTGTGTTGTCAGAAAAGGTTGACAAAAAAACAAGATATTGACATCGTAACTCATGTTGCTTTGTGTGCATCGAAAGATTGGAGCATAGTTAACAAATTGCTAGTTTCTTCATACATTTCTCCTCAAATCGCGACGAAAAGATGGTTTTCCAAGTTATTGATTAAAATGACATACGGGAAATATCAATTGGGAGGGAATTCAGCAAACATATTAGTCCAGGATAGATTAACTGGTATTATTTTGGAGGAGAAAATGGGAGTTCACGTAAGGTTGGGAATAAGGCTACTTTATAATGGCTTAGATAAAGCCAAGTCCAAAAGAGTTCGGATATTATTGAAAAAGATGAGTATAAAACAAGGTGCTAAGTTTGACAGCCCGCAGCTGAAAAATGATATTCAATCATTTATAAAGTTCCATAAGCTTGATATGTCAGATTGCTTGGAACCTGATCCTACGAAGTACGCGACATTTAACGACTTCTTCTATAGAAAACTTAAAGAAGGAGCAAGGCCTCTCGAGGCTGCTGAGAATAGAAATGTTGTCGTATCGCCGACAGATTGTCGATGTACTGCTTTTACTTCAGTCAAGAGTGCCACACGCTTGTGGATCAAAGGACGCAATTTCTCTGTTGCTAAATTGTTTAATGGAAACTTTAATAACCTAGAACACACTGACTTGTATGAACAAGAGAACTGCTCGATTGGTATTTTCAGGTTGGCTCCGCAGGATTACCATAGATTTCATTCTCCAGTTGATGGAAAAATAACAAAAATTAAACACATCGAAGGAGAGTATTATACCGTAAATCCAATGGCGATAAGGTCAAAATTAGATGTCTTTGGTGAAAATGTCAGAATACTAATCGAAATCGAGACTAAAGAGTTTGGGCCGGTTGTAATGGTAGCAGTAGGTGCTATGATGGTAGGCTCGATTGTACTTACTAAGGGCGAAAATGAGACAGTATCTAGGGGTGAAGAAGTGGGCTATTTCAAGTTTGGTGGATCTACCATTTTACTATTGTTTCAAAGCTCTAAATTTTCATTCGACTCATATTTGATCAATAATTCTAACTCCTGTATTGAAACGTTATTAAGAGTGGGCCAAAGTGTAGGTCATTCCCCTGATACGAACGAATATAAAAGACCTCATTTAAGCTTTGAACAACAGTCCGATGATTTCAAGTTAAATTTAATAAGAATGATGACTGGAGGTGATTTAAATGATAGTCGAGAGTTGAACAACTGGGAAATAGGAAAGAGTCACTTTGAAAAAGACGATATCGAAAGTATCTTAAGAGAATCTGACGAAGGAAGTCTTAATTCTAATGAGAATGGTGATGATTTTGACTCTATACATTCAGGTCCGAATATTCCTGAGACTTCATAAGTACATAAAATTTAAAATTTAATGACTACGCTACTTTCTAATATAATAACTTTGCAAAAGTTCATTTCTGCTGCCCACTATACAATTTTCTCCATTCATCAATCTTTTTCTCATCGATCCTCTTGAACAAGTACTGGGCTTTTCCGATGCAGTGACCAGGTTCCAAAACTAGTTCAAATTTATCAGTTATAGATAAGGGAGGAGCATTTAATATTTCACATATTTGATTTCTTGTTTCGGGCATGAAAGGACATATGACAGCACCAATCAAATATACTAAATTTAATGCAACAGCAACGACCGCATCTGAAATATCAGGAGAAGTATCATATAAACTGTTATCCAATTTGTTTTCTTGTAGGAATTGATTACCACGGGAAGAAATCGCCATTGCGATTTCCAATCCCTTTCTTAACAAGACACCATCCATACATTCAATATAAGAGCTTAAAAGTTTATTGACATCACTCTCAAAATCTTCGTAATCTGGTATTTTCTTAGTATCGAAGATGGGAATAACACCATTATACTTAGCAATTGCAAATTTTACTATCCTATTAACGAAATTTCCCAAATTTGCTAATAATTCAGAATTATTCTTGGTTACAAATTCAGACCAAGAAAATTGTGCATCTGAAGTTTCAGGGCGAATAGAAACAAGATAATATCTCCAAATAGATGGTGGTATACCAGAATCTTTTGCATTATTTCCAAAAACACCTATTCCTCTTGACTTAGAGAACTTACCTCCTTCATACTGTAAATACTCCGTAGTACTAACATGGTAAAGCTTAGTCCAATTATCACGCGTACCAATCTGAGAAGCAGGGAAAACAACAGTATGAAAGGGAACATTATCTTTACCCATAAATTGATACAAATCCACTTGCTCTGGATTAAGCCACCATTTCTTCCAGTCGTCTGGGTTTTTATCTTTGAAGTAATTTGCTGTTATTGAAACATAACCAATAGTAGCATCAAACCAAACGTATAAAACTTTATCTTTAAATTTTTCTAAAGGAACAGGAGTGCCCCATTTCAAATCTCTTGTGATGCATCTAGGCTCCAATCCTTGCCTTATCCAAGAGTTAGTTATGGTACGCGAATTTTTGGACCAAGACCCTTCAACTGAAGCCTTATCTACCCAAGCTTTCAACTCAGGCTCCAATTCATTAAGTTTAAGGTAGACGTGGGTCGAGTTCTTTTTGATTGGAGTAGAGTCATCCAACTTACACCGTGGATTTATTAACTCAAAAGGATCTAACAAGGCACCACACTTGTCACATTGATCGCCTCTTGCGTCTTCATAATGACACTTAGGGCATGTTCCTTCGACAAATCTATCAGCTAAAAATGAATTGTGCTTTTCGCAGTATAACTGAGCATTAGTTTGCTCCTCGAGGTATCCATGTCTGAATAACTTCATGAAAATATCCTGAGCAATTTCAGTTTGGGCAGTGGTGGTAGTTCTTCCAAAGTAGTCAAACTTAATATCAAACCAATCGTACACTTGCTTGTGAATTGCATTGTATTTGTCACACAATTGCCGTGGTGTGACTTTTTCTTCAAGTGCTTTGGTTTCAGTAGCCGTTCCATATTCATCAGTACCGCACACATAAATAGTATTATAATTTCTGTTCTTAGCATAACGGGCGTAAACATCAGCAGACAAGACAGATCCAATGATGTTGCCTAAGTGAGGTACGTTATTTACGTAAGGTAAAGCTGATGTTACCAAAATGTTCCGTTCGCCTTCTTTTGGAATTATACTTTCCTCCTGCTTCTTAACAAGGTGACCAGACTTGAACTTGCGCGTACCCTTATTCTCTTGAGTCGGTCTTTTTAATGGAGAGAAAGACAAAGCTCTTTTAATACCTTCAGAAACAAGAGAGATACTCAAAAACTCTTCGAACCACTCATCTAACTTTGTTTGGGACTTTCCATTGCTAAGAACGGGATAAACGCTAGAAAATAAAACGATCTGTTCTGCTGTTGGTTTGGCGTCCGTAATCTGAGGCACACCCTCAATAGCACCGATAATTTGTTTTACATCGTCAGATCTAAGAGCCTTATACAATGAAGACTCTACATAGTCGATTAACTCACTTGATTCAAAATCCTTAGTAAGATATCTAACAATTGCATTAGCTTCGGTTAGCTCAAAATTCGTCTTTGTATTTTTCAACTTCAATTCTGAGTCATCATCCTTGATTGTCAACTCAATTCCAAATACGCTAAGAGTCAACAACACTTTCAAGTTGTCTGAAAAAGTAACGAAGTCGGCTCCTTTTTTCAAACTCAAGTCGAGGGTTGACATTTTATTGTGTGATGTTCCTCTGTAGTTCCTTTGGTGCTTTTTTATATTAGTCAATCCTAAGAGAGTCGATGGAAGTCGATGTGATCTTAAAAATAGATTAATCTTACACAAAAGCAAATTATCTATTAAGCTCTTTATACTGAAAAATTGTCTTTACAGCCCAAGTCCACTTATGATACAGAAGAGCCAGCCGCTAAAGAACATAGGCCGCTTAAGATATAGTACCAATGGGAATAGTTGGAATATTTTGGTATCTGGCATCAATAATAATTCTGAACTGCGGACAGAGGACTCAGAATTAGGACCAACATTCGTTGTTAAAGATAACATTGTTACCAAAGAACAGACGCTGACATGTGCATCACAAATGCTTTCAGACTACAAGAGTCCTTTTGATGCTACTGTGGTAAAATTATTGAAGCAGAATGGATATAAAATGCTCGGAAAGTCAAATTTGGACGAATTTGGAATGGGTGGATCGACTACTCATTCGTACTACGGTCCTACTATTAATCCGCGATTCGAAGAATGTGAGCATATCGTTGGTGGATCTTCAGGTGGATCTGCGGCCGCCGTTGCTTCCGGATTGGCTGATTTTGCCTTGGGCACTGATACTGGTGGCTCTGTGAGGTTGCCCGCAAGTTATTGTAATGTAATCGGCTTAAAACCCACGTATGGCAGAATATCAAGATGGGGTGTCACTTCATATGCTCAGACATTGGACACTGTGGGAATTTTCTCTAAAGATTTTGAATTACTTCGAAAGGTGTTTAATTTATTGGACGCTTATGATTCTAAAGATCCCACTTCCTTGCCAACTGATATGCGCAAAAAATACCAGCCTTTGAATAAGAAGAAGCTTCAAATAGGCATACCACAAGAGATGATTTTAAGTGACATTTCTCCAGAAGTAAAACAAGTGTGGCTAGATGCAATTGTTCGTCTCCAGGAGAAAGGACACACGATACGAACGGTATCACTTCCTTCTATAAAGAAGCTGCTTCTGGCATATTACACTTTAGCAACTGCTGAATGCGCTTCTAACCTTTCACGTTATGATGGCATACGATACGGCTATACGACAGACTCGTCTCCAACTACGGTTCCAGCTTTGATATCTAATAACAGGTCCAAGTCTCTTGGAGCAGAAGTTAAGCGAAGGATTATTTTAGGGAATTACACCATTTCCTCTGAGTCAGGTAACCATTATTTCAAAGCAACGGAAGTACGCCAGAAATTAAGTCGTGAATTCAATGACATATTTAATTTGTCGAATTTATTACATGAAAGTGAATATAACAGGTCGCACAATAAAATAGATGTCATTGTTACACCGACAACTATTAGCGGCCCTCCTAGCTTGAAAGATTATTTGGATCAAGAGAAGAAAGATTTTTTAATAAGCTATATGAATGATATTTTGGTTGTGCCTGCTTCCTTGGCAGGCTTACCTGCTATATCGATTCCTTTCAAAGGTCATGGCATTCAAATAATTGGACAATTCGGAGATGATCGTTTGGTCATGGACTCTGCGGAAGCTCTTGTCACTTAACTTAAATGTATATAGTTTATCTTTTATTTAATGCGGAATGTATATTTAAAATTGTAGTATGATTCTGATATGTTGAATGTCATTAAAGTAACTCATTAAAAAAAGGAGACAAGAAGCTGATACTAAAAAGAACTTAGTCAATGATAATGCAGTAAGTATATATAAAGAAACTGTTGAAATTTTTCTCTTATAGAACGGTTATTTTCTACCCAAAAGAGTCAAAAACTCTTCTCTTGTCTTCTGTTGATCACGGAAACAACCTAACATGCAGCTCGTCGTTGTCGATGATCCACTCTTTTGGACTCCTCTGCTCACCATGCACATATGGGTGGCTTCTATAACCACAGCTACTCCTCTTGGTCTCAAGATTTCACTTAATGCCATGGCGATTTGCTTGGTTAATCTCTCCTGAACTTGGAACCTTCTTGCGTACATTTCCGCCAATCTTGCCAACTTACTTAAGCCGAGCACTCTCTTATTTGGAATATAGCCTATGTGAGCTCTTCCAAAGAAGGGCACTAAGTGGTGCTCGCACAAAGAATAGAGTTCAATGTCCCTTACAATGACCATTTCATCGTGGTTTTCTTCGAAAACTGCTCTTTTGATAACATCTCTGATATTATCCTCATACCCTTTAGTAAAGTAAAGCATTGCACGGGCATAACGTTCCGGTGTCTCTATCAAACCTTCTCTACCTACATCCTCACCTAACTCATTCAAGATAGTCCGAACGGCATCAGCAATACGCTTTTCTCTTGACGCTGCTTCTTCTGGGGTCAGATCAATCCTTAACCTAGCACCCTTCGAAGGCCACGATAATCCATCACTATCTATAGGAGGATTTAAAGTGCATGGTGAGGCAACCCTAGTTTGCAAAGGAGTGCCTGCCCTATCTTCAAAATCGCTAGATCCCGTTAATCTAGAGCGTTTCATTGGCAAGATCGGTTTAGGAACAAAAGTTCCATTAATCTTTTCCCCTGATGATGGTCTATGTTCACTCATGTTCTCTTGTTAACAAGAATTAGCGATAACTACTTCGTATTTGGCCAATAATATGTAATCGTATATTCATATACTTGGGAAAGTCAAAACTGAAAAAAAAAAAAGGAATTTCACGTGAGTCATATCTCTGCAGCCATATCTGTAATGCTGTAACCGTTGAAAGAGACATTAAAAGAACGAAGAAAATCAGAAATTTTAATAAATTAAATGTTATAAAAATTAGTAGTAAATACATCGAAGGATATATCAACTCACCGATCTGCAAATGGATTCAAAATACGCACAGTTAAACACGGCAAAGCCATACCTATTTCAGCCCTTATTAGAACTGGTACTTGACTCAATTCTCTGATTTCTTGAATGTAGTTTTCGCCTTCAACCCTTGTAACTACATCTTGTAAGTATGGCATCAATCCATTATAAGGTTCATTTGCATCCGACTCAATAATGGAGGACGAGTTGGTCCTTATATTCTTTGGAAAGGACAATTTTGTTGGAGAAGAAGGCATGGATTTTGTGTTCGAATCCTTTGTTTGATGTGACCTAAGTGGGGGCACCACTAATGAAGGAGGCTCTAAGTTCAATTTACTTAATTTCTCAGTAATCGTATCGGATGTCATATTCTGTCTCTTTAAAATGGTCTTACTTTGGATATTAGCGGCTTCTGAAGCAGAAGCGCGATATTTGTTCTTGATTGAAGATCTGTAAGAAAGAGAAGTCTGCTCATCTGGAGGGACATAGGTTGCAGAATCGATTCCTTTTTCCCAATATAACTCTAGTAACCTATTTCCCTTTTCGAACTCGGCTTTAACTAAGGGCAATTGATCTCCATGTACTCTCTTTTCAACGCCAAACTCAGGAATAAACACATCAAACGAGGATTCATATACTTGAATAACGGTACCCATACAAAGTAATTGACCTGCTCCCTCACTCAACTCATTGATAGTCTGTGATAACAATAAATGTATCGCTTGTTCCTGTGCATTAGCAGCACAATCTTTTTTAAAGTTGCAATAATCGGCAGTAGCTTTCAAAGCATCCAAGTCTTTTTCTTCTTCCCTATTTTTGAGAACCGCTTTTAATTGCCTATGAACAATCAACACAGCATATCCTCTTAAAGGAGATGTGAAATGGGTATACAAAGGTAAATTTAAATAGTAATGACCGTAAGAATCAGGATCTTGCTTACCAGCCACATAATATTTACCCCTAGACATGCATTTATACAACAAAGTTTCTACGCATTGTCTTTTAACTGTGTCTTCGATATCTAATACGGACTGTTGCAACGTAGAGGATGTCGTGGTATCAATTTTGCAGCCCAAGTTCAGAGCTTTCCGAACAAAAGTTTCCATTTTCTGTAATGTTGGAATTGGATGACGACGAAGGAGAGCCTGATCACCTAAACTAGCGTGTATTTTTGCCGCAATAGCGTTGTTCACCTTATGCGAAAGTTCAGAAATGACATCTAAGGCAAGACTGTCTTGGAAGATGTTCAAATGTAACCTGACTTTTTCGTCATCTAACTGATTTAGCAAAGTAAGATTCGGCTGAATTCCCAAATCTTTATCATCCAACCTCAGTCTACGAAATTCTTTGGCTATCAAGCTAAATGTCTTCACATAGTCAGAGGTAGCAGACGATATAGTCTCTACATCCTTGCCCATTAAAATTTGATCAAAGTCATCGTAGGTTACAATTTGCTTGGGTGAGATTATGGATTCCAGAATATAGAGATCCTCAACTTCGAATGTCACTGTATCAATTTCAAAAATTATCGAAATAGCCAAATTCTTTTCATTCTCTTTGAAAGAAACAGTCTCGTTGACCTTTTGCGGGTATAAAAGTGCAGACTTTTGGGGCAAGAAAACAGAGGAAGACCTCCTTTTTGATTTCCTATCAAAAAGGCTTCCGGGGCTGATATAATACGAAATATCAGCAACGTGGAACCCAAGTTCTATCTTGACGTCCGAAATTCTTTTGACATGAAGGGCATGGTCGACGAAATCACCCGTTTGAGTGAAGGCAATGATATAATCGTTCATATAGTTCGTTCTCTCGTAGTTAACTAGCTCGTTATCGGGACTAGGTAAATCACAACTCATTTCATCCGTATACTCATCACACAAGAAATTATTATCTCTCAAAATAGAATCGATTTCAGTCTCCTGATTATCAATTCTGCCCAACTTACTGACTAATGTACCAAAAGGATGCAAAGAAGTGATCGGCCACCTTTTTATAGAAGCAACAAATAACTGGTCTGCGTATTTTTCGTGATTTTCAACGAAATCATCAGGTGCTTGCTCCGTAGGAATGGCAATCAAAGGAACTTTCTTGTCAGTTGGTTTGAACCAAACAATTTTTGGCGCTTTTGGAGTTTGAACAGACGGCTCCTTCCCACTCTTTTTATCTTTTGCAGCTTGTGCGGCCTGTGCTGGTCTTAAAAGCCCCAATGTACCAGCAAACAGTTGACCCGGAATTCGATCAACAACAGCAACCACATGGCCAGCATATAAGGGTTTGACCTCGTCATTAATTTCCTCCTCTTCAACTAGTAATAAAGATTGTCCTTCCACTTCAACATCGTCATTTTTCTTCAACGTTGGTCTTTGCTTTAAAGAGCCTCTTCTCGTTAAGCTGGAATCGTTCTCACCATCCTCATTTTCCGCAGAATTAGGAGCCGAAGTCGCATCATTATGTATGTCATCATTCAAAACAGAAGAGCTTGGGGATTTGATATAAGAATTATCTTTTCTTCTTTTCTTTGCCTCCTTCTCCTTCTTCGATTCCCAAACCTCATCAACCACCAATAATTCTACTGCCACAAGGTCTCCTTCCAAAGCACGATTACGATCTTTTGATCCACAGATAAATATATCTGCATCCAAAAGACCATCTGTCGATACATAGGCATCGGATCTATTTTTCTTATTGACTCTCAAAATACCAGTAACCAAACGGCCCTCTTGTATAAGTTCAGGCAATGATGATTGTGGTAAATAAGGAGCGAACAATGATTTGCGTCCATTATTGTTGTTGGTTGCAGGCATAAATTGAGAGAGCGATGATATTGAACCACCGTATGAACTGTTTCGAGATTTATGACCCGGGACGAAGGATGCCTGTGGGGGTTCCAATTGTGTCGATTGTCTCTGATGTTGCTGTTGTTGAGTCCTCCAATTAGAATTTATATTCACCTGGAGATTGGGATCAACATTTCTAGAGCCGGATCGATAGTGGGAGCCCCTTCTTTGATGACCACGCTCAGGACTGTGACTGATTGAAATATTCGGCGTCGGAGGTAGCAAGTTCTCAGGCGGAAACTTAAAAGACTGTTGTCCATATGCTAATGATCGAGATCTGTTATGCAGCGACGTTGAGGGTGGACTCATGGAATCATTGCTGTCTGTTTCAGGGCTAGAACTCGGCGGAAACTTGAAAGAACCAGAATTTTCGGGCTCCACTGCATTGGTGGTATTCGAAGGGCTCAAAGATGATCTATTACTTTGCCTCTGATTTGCAGCAGCCTTTATGGCTTCGCTTAACCCTAAAGAGTGTCTTCTGTTATGACCCTGAGCTGCGTTGTTTGATGAACCTGTCCTTCTGTGTCCACTGCCTGACCCACCACTATTCGAGCTAGTAGAAGAGGACCTTGAATGCCCACGGAAATTAGACGGTGGTGGAGCAAATTCAGAAGGCTGAAGATTATACGCGTATTGTTGAGATAATTGTTGTTGTTGTAAGATTTGCTTCTGCTGAGCTTGTACTTGTTCCAATTGACGTTGAAGGTTGTATTGCTCCACTATAGAGGTTAGTATTTTGAAATATAATTTCGTTTTTTAAATATTTAACTTACCCATCAATGTAGTCAATTCACTAGGTGAACGTCTATGAGCAATATGCAAATTCTTGGGTTTTTTGGATCCCTCCGAATCTAAATTATCAGAAATGTGTTGATCTGCCATGTCCTCTAAATTTCAATTATTCTTCTTAGCGATTGAAAATGTTATTTCGAGGTATAGCAAAAAGTCAATTCAGTATTTATGAAATGCAATTAATCCTGATGCCAATCGAAATAATATAAAATTCTTAATGTCTCCTTTTTCTCAGACTGGTTGGTTTAGCAATTGGGATACTTTCTTGGCTCAGTATTGGAGCGTAATTTCTGTAGTAATTTCTTAAAGCAACGTTAATGTATCCCCGGAAAAGTAGTGGCGATTTATTAAATGAGCGATATGTATTACGTAAATTCCAATCAATCAATCTGTTTTAGCTAAATAAGCTAAGTGATATGTTCCTGTAGTGCTACCCAGATCTATGATCAATAATTTGAACACTCAATTAGTTTCTGGAGAGTAGTTTTGCTCCAGTGAAACTTTCTGGTGCTAAATTTGTTTTGTCTAAGGGAGTGCACCGAAAATTTTTCTAGTCACACAAGTGCGATTACTTAGTAAGTAAGCTGGCCAGAATAGCGATTATAAAAATAGATATGGCCGTTGAAAGCTTAAATTTGAAGGAAAATCGATGCAGTTAAAGACTTCTTAATAGCTCCTATGATCAGTACGAAATGTAGAACATTATTAGTAGCTCATACTGTTTTCGAAAGCTCAATTGTGGAGTGTTGGGGCCTAACATATCCTTACAGATCTATACATTACAGAGAATGAAATAGCACATAAACTTTCCGGAAAAAGCGGAGTTCTTTCATATTTGATCTCATACATATGTCTTTTGCTATTTGAAATGCTATACTGCAATGGTTAAAAGACTTGGGGTCAAAGACTCTAGATCTAAGATCACAACCTGGCCAGTTTCGTTAAACTCTGGAATTGATATCAATCGTATTCTGGTATCTTCGTGGATAAATTCTTTTGTGCTGTATGTAGTCTGATTCCCAGCAAAATATACATGGGGAAGCTCTTTGCTCAAGACAAAGGGATCCGTACCTTCATAAGGATAACAATAGAGCGTGTCAGGAGCAGTTGGTGCAATATTTTGCCATTTTATCGTATCTTCCATTACATCTGCTGGATTACGGTCTTCTCTCACATCTTCAGGTAAATACTTGAAAATGTCTTCTATATTCTGACCTGATGTCCCAAGTAAACTCACACCTTCAAAATCGAACCAGTTAGGGTTTGTTGCCAACTTTAGGATACTATTTTTATAAAAGTCCAGGCTCTTCGAAAATATTGCCCGGTGTAATGGCTGCTGAGGCAAACAGATCTCGGCTGGATCACTTGCACCAGGCATGATTGTGACGGGCATGGATGCTAAAATATCATCTATTAAGTGCAGAAATTTAGTTAGCGATTCTGGGTTGAATTTCGATATGTTTTTGGACCCATAATTATTGGAGGATATGAAAGTCTCGTCACTGTCGTCTTGTTTAATTGGCTGTACTGAATTACCAACAATGATTAAGTCTGCGATCTGAGAAGCGCTTTGTTTTTCTTCATCCAGGCCTAGTTCTCCCGCCAAATATTGTTTCAAAAGCTCCAATTTCAAATCATTCGTAATATTATTATCAATATTGAGACCAGATATCAAGGCAACTTTTCCTTTGACCCTATTGGAAGCAGACAAGGGTCTTTGGGGCGCTGGAACTGGGTAAACTATGTCAAAAATCTCAAATATGCCAGCCTGAATTTCAATTCCTAACACAGCAACAATGCAGCCAGTTACAAGTATATTCTTTTTCAAAAAGTCATCATTATTGAGTATTGCCCTTCCTGATTCATCTTCTATCATAACAGTCCATGTTTCATCATCGCGTATATAGCTCTTTGGGAATGGTGGTAAAACATCGTCCTTCCCAGCGTCAACGTCTTCTAAGATATTTAATTTGTACTTGAGATCTGAAAATACTGTTCCACTAACCCAACACAATTCTCCACCTCTGATATCCAATATCTTCTCTTTTTTTTTTATCACCTGTCCATCCACCTTTCTAGTTCCGTCACCCCATTTCGCTAAAGCGTTATTATCAACTCCATCCTTTAGTGTGGATAATCTATACTGATACATCGAAAAGAATTGTTGATCATACTTTCGATTACGTGAAAGTTTGAAGTCATCCCTTCTTGGATAATTTTTATCGCTTGAAACATCCTCTCTATTGGACACAGAGTACTCTGTAGATATATTCTTATTTAAGTATGCTTGTACGTCATCCATTGCCTCATCATAGATTAAATTAAAAGTTTTATTGGAAATGAGATTCATTAAAATTATATACGCGTCGCTAACAATTGGTGTTTTACATTTACTAAAATCTGTATAAATAAAATTACAAAAACTATGCAAATATATAGATATTGTGTGATATATAAATTGAAGCTCACTTTCTCTTCTGCTTCTTTTGAGACTTCACACTTGTACCTATTGTTATATTTACCTTTGGTGGAACATCAAACCCAAATGACTTAGCTACTTTCACAAGATCCAATTTATCGATTTGGTAAACGGTCTTCAAATGATGAGATGCGTATGCCTGCAAATAGGCCCTGTAGCCATCCTTCGCCGACTGATGCAACCAGTAGTTACTTTTTATTAACTTGGTTAGTTGTGATTGAACATTGGCAATTTTGTTAGTGGGAAATTCATATTCATTGAGTGGCACGTTGGCTGCTTTAAGATATCTTAAAAAGCCTAACTCATTTGGAGTTAAGAACATCAAGGACTTACCCTTACCCAGAGTCCCTCTTGCTGTTCTACCTACTCTATGGATATAGTCCCTTGGATCATCTGGCGGATCAAATTGAATAATCCAATCAACAGATGGAATATCAAGACCTCTAGCAGCGACATCGGTACAAATTAATATACCTTGTTTGGCATTACAGAATTCAAAAAATGTGTTTGTTCTCTTTTGTTGTTTTTGCTTGCCATGCAAGTCTAAGACAGGCAAGTCGATGTAGTTTAATAGCTCTCCAAAATATTTGACACAGTTACAAGACGAAAGGAACACAATAATTTTCTTTTTCAAATTTCTTTTCAAAAATGAAAATAATAACAAGAAACGCTTATCAGAATCACAAACCACATATCCTTGTTCCAAACCGTCAGCAGTAGAAACTTCTGTATCAGGAACAACATTGATATATAAAGGACCTGGTCGCAAAGAAATTCTAGCCAAGTCTTCGACTTTGGTGGTTTGTGTAGCCGAAAATAACATAGACTGTCTCTCCTCTTTGGGAAGGATTTTTATGATTTGCCTCATTTCCTCTTCGAAACCAATTTCTAATATTCTATCGGCTTCGTCAATGACTAATGCCTTCAAATTTCTAAAAACAAACCCTTTAGTATTTTGTAAATGATCCAACAATCTTCCTGGTGTTGCAATCAACAAGTTTACTCCTTTGCTCAATTTTTCTGCTTCCTGTCTTCTATTTGCGCCTCCAATAACGATCCCAAAAGTTTGTGTGTGATGGGTCATTAATTCTCGTGCAACACCAAATATCTGTAATGCTAATTCTCTAGTGGGTGAAACAACAATAACTCCTGTTCCATTTCTCGGCTTGAATTTTAAAGAATACAACATTTCGATGGCCGGTATTAAAAAAGCTAAAGTCTTACCGGACCCAGTCTTCGCAGCACCTAGAACATCCCTTCCTGCAAGTAACGGCGGAATGGTTCTTGCTTGTACTTCTGTCATTGTTGTGAATCCCATAGTCTTGATTGCCTTCAAAACAGGCTCAGAAAGGCCTATTTCTTCAAAGGTTTCAAGTGACTTTTCTGATGCTTGAGCATTTGAAACAATACCTGATTTACTTTTAGTATTTACAGGTGATTCCGACTTGGGCTCAGTTGACTCTTGCAAGGCTTCAGTATCTTTATATTTCTCTTTTTTAGCTTCTGGATCTTTGATATTTTCACCAAGCAACTTTGCAACTTCGTCAAAGTCATCATCTAAGCTTTCAATCACCAGTTGATTATTCTGTTCAGCATCTTCCGCATCCTGCTCATCATGACTCCTTTTCTTAGAGTTCTTTGAAGATTTCTCTTTATAAATCAGAGCCTTATTCTTGATATCCTTACTCTTACCCATACTTCCAATATACAATGTAATAAAGTAGCTATCTTAAGAGTCGTTGAAGCTCATCTCTCATCGCACTATTCAAATTTTTGAATAAAAAAAAAAGAGGACTGCACATAGTATTGAATCTGAAAATGTCTGCCAAAATAACCTATCTAGAGTAATATATAGATTAAACGTTAGATTAAACATTAGTTTGGTTTCTCCTTATTACTATTGACAGAGGTCTACAAATGTATGCTGCTTCTTCAACAAAGTCCTATATGGAGGCGATGGGGCCCCTAATAGAGATAGTAAAGTCCTTACCCGTATCGAAACGAGAGAAAGTACCTTCTGTTGATACTGAAACTCCATCAAATATAGCACTAGATAAGATGCTAGAGAATTTTGAAGTATCTACAGAAATTTTGGATACGTTAACCTCAAAACATGATATATTAGCAGAAGTGAAGAAAGATTGTAAGCGTGTTAGCCTTGCAAGAGATGATAAAGAAGTTGAAATTTGGGAATTGATAAGGAGCATCTTGACTTCTGTAAACAGCCACGAAGAATTACAATCGGAATTGTTTAACGTATTAGGGTTTGAAGAATTTGATTTAATATCAAAGCTTCTACAGAATAAAGTGGCTATATTAGAAGCTTTAAAATCAGATGAGCTGCAAGACTTAAAATTGTTGAACGCCGAAGAAAGAGCTCAGCTATTAATAGATAATCAAGAAAGATCCAAGAGGCAGCCATTGGGCCCAAAACTTTCTCATCGTAAGTATCCCCATGTTTTTAAAAACCCAGATGTAGGAGGCATGCTATCTATTACAGGAAAGCGATTTTCATTGCCAGAAGGTACTCAAAGACGAAGTGAACCAAATTATGAGGAGATAATTATACCGAAACCTTCCATAAAAGCCAATAAATGGATTTCTGAGGAAGATCTCATTCTAATAAAGGAATTGGATTTAATATGTCGTCGAACTTTCAATAACTATAAGACATTTAATAAAATGCAAAGTCTAGTATATCCAGTTGCGTATAAAACTAATGAAAATATGCTTATATGTGCTCCAACTGGGGCAGGAAAGACTGACATTGCTCTATTAACGATATTGCATACCATCAACCAATTTTCAACGCAAAGTGAAATTGAAACCGGTGACGTGTCCCTAGATATAGATTATGATGAGTTTAAAATTGTGTATGTTGCACCCTTGAAGGCATTAGCAGCAGAAATAGTCGAAAAATATAACCGCAAGCTTCTGTGGATGGGGATATCTGTCAGAGAGCTAACAGGTGATATGCAATTGACGAGACTGGAGATTATGTCGACTCAAGTAATCGTTACAACACCAGAAAAATGGGATGTTGTAACAAGAAAACTGAGTGGAGACAGCGATTTGGTGACGAAGGTGAAACTATTGATCATCGATGAAGTTCATTTATTACACGAAGAACGTGGTTCAGTTATCGAGACCTTAGTGGCTCGTACTTTACGGCAAGTTGAAAGTACCCAGCTGATGATCCGAGTAGTTGGCCTTTCAGCTACATTACCAAATTTTATGGATGTTTCTGATTTCTTAGGAGTAAACAGATCATCTGGTATGTTTTATTTCGACCAGTCCTTTAGACCTGTGCCTTTGGAGCAGCAACTAGTTGGAGTGAGAGGAAAAGCCGGGTCGAAGCTAGCACAAAAGAATATCGATGAAGTAACTTATCAAAAATTGATTGAATATGTCGAAACGGGACTTCAAGTCATGGTATTTGTGAATTCTCGAAAGGACACTGTGAAATCTCTGCGTACTTTTATCTCTATGGCAAGAGAGAATAATGATTCTAAATTATTCGACACGTCTGAGACCTGTGACGTTTATTCGAAATATTCCAGAGAAATGGCTAGTAAGAACAGAAACAAGGATATGAAAGAATTATTTCAATTTGGTTTTGGAACTCATCATGCTGGTATGTCTAGATCGGATCGTAATTTAACTGAAAAAATGTTCTTAGATGGTGCTATAAAAGTCTTATGCTGCACTGCAACTTTAGCTTGGGGAGTTAATCTACCTGCAGCAGTTGTTATTGTCAAAGGAACTCAAGTTTATGACGCTAAGCAAGGTGGGTTTGTTGACTTGGGAATATCAGATGTCATCCAAATTTTTGGTAGAGCTGGAAGACCGCAATTTGAACAGTCAGGAACAGGTATCCTTTGCACTACAAGTGATCGCCTTGATAATTACGTTTCATTGATTACGCAACAGCATCCTATTGAATCAAAGTTGGGTGAGAAATTAATTGATAATTTGAACGCTGAAATAGCTTTAGGTAGCGTAACAAACCTTGAAGAAGGTATTCAGTGGCTCGGGTATACTTATATGATTGTTAGAATGCGCCAAAACCCGCTAGGTTATGGCATTGAATGGAAAAGATTTCAAGATGATCCCATTTTGTATGGAAAACGTCGGTCGATGATAATAGCTGCGGCTAGAAAACTTCATCAGACTCAGATGATCATTTTCGACGAAAACTCTGGAGCCTTTACCTCAAAGGACCTAGGTAGGATTGCGTCTGAATTCTATTTATTAAATAATTCTGTGGAGATATTCAATCAAATGCTTAACCCTAGAGCCACCGAAGCTGATGTCCTTTCAATGATAAGTATGAGCAGCGAGTTTGATGGAATTAAGTTTAGGCAAGAGGAGGCTGAAGAATTGAAGAAGCTTTTAGAAACATCAACTCGTTGTCAAGTGGCTGGTGATGTCGACTCAACACAAGGAAAAACTAACATTTTATTACAAGCATTCATTTCCCAAGCTCTGATAAAGGACTCCGCATTGGGCGCCGATTCTAATTATGTTGCTCAGAATGCAGCAAGAATATGTCGAGCTTTATTTTTAATTGGTATCAACAGGAAATGGGGAATTTTTCTGAGAATATTGCTCGGTGTCTGTAAATCGATAGATAAGAGGCTCTGGGTTTTTGATCATCCCATGTCACAATTTGAATTACCGGAGCACATCTTAAAGGTCTTCAAGGAGAAAAATCCAACAATTGAATCTTTAAAGGATATGACTTCCCCTGAACTTGGTGACTTTGTACATAATCAAAGAATGGGTAGAACCTTACAAAACCTAGTGTCAAAGTTTCCATTATTAGAAATTGACTCTGAGGTCTTCCCTATAACCACTAGGATTTTACGAATTCACCTTTCCCTTATTGCAGACTTTAAATGGGACGAAAAGTATCACGGAAATGCTCAGTTTTTCTGGATATTGGTGGAAGAGTCAGACCATTCCAATATTTTGCATTCGGAGAAGTTCATTTTGAATAGGAAAAAAATGAAAGTGCCGCACGAAATGGATTTCATGATTCCCTTATCGGACCCTCTTCCTCCTCAGATAATTGTGAGTGCGTTATCTGATGGCTGGATAGGATCTGAGACAGTTCATTCGATTTCTTTCCAACATTTGATAAGACCATCCAATGAAACAGTTCGTACCAACTTATTGCGTCTCCAGCCTCTACCAGTCACAGCATTGCACAACCCAGAAATTGAGTCTATTTATTCTGCTAGGTTTCGTTATTTTAATCCTATGCAGACTATGACTTTCTTCTCTTTGTACAATACGAATTCTGGTGTATTTGTAGGATCACCAACTGGCTCAGGGAAAACAGTGGTCGCGGAGCTTGCAATGTGGCATGCCTTTAAGGAGTTCCCCGGTTCAAAAGTCGTTTACATTGCTCCTATGAAAGCCTTGGTACGAGAAAGAGTTGAAGATTGGAAGAAGCGTATATGCAATAATACTAAATTTAAGTTGGTTGAACTTACTGGTGATTCAACTCCGGATGCAAAAGATGTTAAGCAAGCAGACATAGTCATTACAACACCGGAAAAGTTTGATGGTATATCTCGTAATTGGCAGACCAGGAAGTTTGTTCAGGAAGTTTCTTTGGTTATTATGGACGAGATACATTTATTAGCTAGTGATAGAGGACCAATTTTGGAGATGATCGTTAGTCGTATGAATTACATCTCTTCACAAACTAAAAAAGAAATTAGGTTATTGGGAATGTCGACAGCTGTTTCAAACGCAATTGATATGGCAGGATGGCTTAACGTAAAAGAAGGACTCTTTAACTTTCCTCAGTCAGTTCGGCCTGTACCGCTACAGATGTATATCGATGGCTTTCCTGATAATTTAGCATTTTGCCCCTTGATGAAAACTATGAATAAACCTTGTTTCATGGCTATTAAGCAACACTCGCCTGAGAAACCAGTTTTGATATTTGTTGCTTCTCGACGTCAAACTCGTTTGACAGCTTTGGATTTGATCCACTTATGCGGGTTGGAAGCAGATCCTAGAAGATATCTTCATATGGATGATTTAGAACTACTGGATGTGTTGAATAAAGTCAAAGATGAAACTTTACGACTCTCTTTACAATTTGGTATGGGTCTCCATCATGCCGGTCTTGTAGAGTCTGATCGACAGATATCTCATAAATTATTTGAATCAGGAAAGATTCAAATTTTAATTGCAACTTCAACTTTAGCCTGGGGTGTGAACTTACCGGCACATTTAGTTATCATTAAAGGTACCCAGTTTTTTGATGCAAAAATAGAAGCTTACAGGGATATGGATTTGACAGATATCTTGCAAATGATGGGTAGAGCAGGGCGTCCAGCATTTGACAACAATGGAATTGCCATCGTATTGACCAAGGATTCGAAAAAAACATTTTACAAGCATTTCTTAAATGTCGGCTTTCCTGTTGAATCATCTTTGCATAAAGTTTTAGATGACCACATTGGAGCAGAGATATCCTCTGGGACTATTACCACTCGTCAAGAGGCAGTAGATTTCTTAACGTGGACCTTTTTATATAGAAGAGTTCACAATAATCCTACTTATTACAATGTTGAAGATACAAGTCCTTTAGGAATCTCAAGATTCTTAAGTGGTTTGATTGACACAACGATCCAAGAATTAATCGATTCAAAGTGTGTTTTGCTTGGAGGGAAAGGAAAGTTAATAGCAACGCCTTTTCTTAATATAGCGTCCTATTATTACCTTTCACACAAGACTATGAGAAACTTAGAACAAAAGCTTGGGTCTAGTTTATCTTTCCGTGATTGTTTAAAATTATTATGTGAGGCAAAAGAATATGATGAATTAGCCACACGCCATGGTGAAGAACTTATCAACATGGAATTATCTGAAGCAATGAGGTATCAAGCAAGTGATTTGGAGTGTGAGTTTATATGGGATCCTCATGTAAAAGCATACTTGTTGATCCAGGCATTCTTCAGCCGAATCGAACTACCAATTGCAGATTATGCTCAGGATACTGTGTCTGTCCTTGATCAAGCCTTACGTATTCTACAGGCTTATATTGATGCTGGTGCAGAGTTGGGCTACCTCAATACCGTACTTACATTTATTTCACTCATGCATTGTCTCAAGCAGCGGTATTGGTACGATGACAATCCCGTGTTTGCTTTACCTAGCTTGAAATTACTGAATTCGAAAACTAATCTTTCATTAGAAACTATTGGAAAAATGAGCGTAGCAGATCTTATTCTGTTGAGTAAGAAGTTGGGTGTATCTTCTGATAATGTGATAGACAATTCAGTTCATGAAAGACAAGCAAATGGTCAAAGTGCAATCGATCTCTTTGTGAAAATTTCATCTAGGTTGCCTGTCAGCAACTTGAATATTAGTCAAAAACTGAGCGATAGTCTTTTCATTGAGCTTACTCATCTTAATTATCCGTTGAATAAAGACTTCAAAATGTATTGTCCTCACTTCCCTAAAAGTCAAAGAGAATCTTGGTTTATCATTGTCAGTGACGAACAGAAGCTGGAATTACTCTTGTTGAAGAGAGCTTCTCCAAGATTAATCGGAAAGAAGGGGAAGGTTCAATGCACCCTAGAAATTCCCGAAAATTTGAAAGGACAAGGGGTTTTCATCCAGTGTATAAATGATGCCATGGACTTGAAATACTCTACATCTTATCAATTACAATGAGAAGGATATCATATCAAATAGGGTCATTAATGCATAATTTTTCTATTGACGGAGATTTTAAATATAGAACGCACATTCTTGCTTACTCAAAAAAGTCATCTTCAATATTACTGGAATCCTGCTGAGGAGCGTCTATCTCTTGAGTTGGGTGATACTTAACCTTATTATCGAATTTGACTGCCTTGCCTTCGAGAATATCATCAATGGACACAGGAAGCTCTCCGTTGTCTATTAATGTCTCCATTTCTTTCCTAAAAGCTCTTTTCCGTTGCTCGGTTTCTTGAATGCCTTTCTTGACTTTTTCATTCGACAAATCTATTTCATCTTCATCTTTAGCATTTGGATAAAGTGATATATACTTTTCAGTTTTGGGATACAATAATACATATGCCAAGTCGATTTCATATTGCTTCACAGCTTTTCGTGCCTTTTTTATGTCTTTCCGGACTTCTGTCTTCGACACTTCATCCAAATTCTTCTTAGCTTGTTTCAACCTGCGAACTACCTTTTTCTTTTCAAAGAATCGTACCATGTGATACTTTTTGGCCGTTTTCTTGGCCTTAGAGCTAACTTGACTATGCTCCAATTCTACTCTTAACGCCTTTAACCCTCTTTCATTCTCATTTCTAACGTCAGCTGGCAAGTTATTTTTTTTCAACAATCGTTCAATATCTCTAATTTTTTTTTTCAATCTAGATGTCCCAGATCCAAGGGCACCTGATATTTCAATGGAAGTACCATTTGGTCTCCTATTACTCTTCTGGGCCTTACCCATGCTTTAATTCAGTGCTTTAAATCTATAATCAATGTCTTAAGAATAAGATCATCTCATCGCAAAAAATCTACTGGTTTCAATCTTGGGCAAGCCGCACACAGAAATATTCAGAACGTACCGGTCAAGATTTTTCAAACATAAGTTGATCGTAATACTATTACAACACTCCAACATTCAAGATGGGTGCGATCGAAAAGATACAGCAGATCCAAGATGAGATGGCAAGGACGCAGAAGAATAAGGCCACGGAATATCACCTTGGTCTTTTGAAAGGAAAATTAGCAAAGCTACGCAGAGAGCTCTTGGAACCTGCTCCAGGTGCTTCTTCCGGAGGTGGACAGGGATTCGAAGTGGCCAAGGCTGGTGATGCCCGCGTTTCTTTAATTGGGTTTCCTAGTGTCGGTAAATCTTCTTTCTTGTCGAAGGTGACGAATACAAAGTCAGAAGCAGCCAATTATGAATTTACCACGTTAACATCTGTGGGTGGAATATTAGAATATAATGGTGCAGAAGTGCAAATTGTAGATTTACCTGGTATTATTAAATCAGCATCTCAAGGTAAGGGTAGAGGGAGACAAGTTATAGCTGTTTCGAGGACATCGGATTTGATAATGATGGTTTTAGATGCAACCAAAGGGGATGATCAGAGAGAGATCCTAGAAAACGAATTAGAAATAATGGGTATTCGTTTGAATAAGGAGCGTCCCAATATCTCCCTCAAAATGAAAAAAAATGGAGGTATTAAGTTGAACTCGATATCTCCTCCAAAATACTTGAATGAAGAAATTGTGGCTGGATTGTTGAAAGATTACAAAATTCATAACGCTGATGTGCTTATAAAAGATGAAAATGTCACAGTGGACGATTTCATTGATATAATAAATGATCAACACATTTCTTATATCAAATGTTTATATGTTTATAACAAGATTGATGCGGTTTCTTTAGAGGAATGTGACAGATTAGCAAGAGAGCCTAATACTGTTGTGATGTCTTGTGAATTAGACTTGGGAATTGCTGACCTTAAGGAGGAGATATGGAGAAAGCTTAATCTTATGAGGATATACACAAAGAGAAGGGGAATTCAACCAAATTTTAATGATCCAATGGTTGTCAGAGAAAACTCTTCTATACAACAAGTTTGCGATGCCATACATAGAGACATGAAAAACAATTTCAAATATGCTTTGGTATGGGGTTCAAGTGCGAAGCATTCGCCCCAAAAGTGTGGTCTCAACCATCCGGTTCATGATGAGGATGTGATACAAATAGTTACTAAATAGTCCTTGAATCAATATTTTGCATGTAAAAGATTTACGCGATATTACTATAGACAGAACATATTAAGATATAGATATTCATTTGGAGATACACGGTAGATGTCAGAAAAGTATAGTGAGCTCCCTGACATAGATTATCTGTCCCAAGAAGTATTTGAGACTTCAGATGTTCAATCAATCGAATCCAATTTTAAAGAAGTCGAAACACCTAGTCCGAATCAATCATCAGATATAATTGAAGAAGGCTTAAGCAATGAGAAAGTTAGGGACGTGTTTACTGATAATATTCTTGTAAGCGAGATAAATCTGGTTGACTTTCTGGGTGATTTGGGAAGCACAAGCCTTGGTGGAAGAGGTTATCGCCTAAACCATATAGTTGAAACAAGTGATCAAAAATTGTCAAGGATAAAGAGAGAGTTAGAAGAACTACGAATTAGTCAAAGAAAAGGTGAATTGCAACCTAACGAGGAAAATGAAACGAATAAACTTATGAGTATGTTGGAAGATTTATCTTCCGGTCCAGATAAGAGCCACCTGAATGAATACAAAGATCGAATAAATGAACTTTTCAAGAGTTCCTCCAAATATATGCACGATAGAGACCCTATTAAGGTAGAAAAAGAATCAATCACGCTGTCAATTAATCCTAACATATTGGAGTTGGATAGGAGAATAAATTCATTAGAGAAAACACTAGGAGCAGACGCTCTTCAGAAGTTTACAACAAGTACGGGTCCCAATATTCCACGAAGAACTATTGAAAATGATCTACGTGACTTAAGACGGAAGGTTTCAATTATAACAAATCCCCGGTTTCAGCTTGATAGTGTTAAAGTTGAGATAGAATCTTTGAAAGGACAACTAGAGGATATCACGTCAAAAAAACAGCTAGCGGAGCTTACAACTACCATGGCCTACATCGGGAATGACAAAAGATCGAATCCGCATGAAGCTAAGGTCAATGCCTTGTTCGAACGTTTGAATGAATTTGACAAAATGAGCAAAATGGTTCCTTTACTAATAAAGCGCTTAAAATCGCTTCATGTTGTACACTCAGACTTGAGTAATTGTATACAAACCTCTAACGGGTTGGAACAGATTCTCACTGACATGAAAGGAGAAATGAGAGAATGGGACAACTCTTTGAACAAACTCAATACTCATTTAGATCTGTATGAAAAAAATTTTGATATGAATGAGAGCGTTATTGAGAAATGGGTCGCAGACCTTGAACAACGAATTGCTATAAAAGAAAGAGATACTTCTCTGACCTTGCATTGATTTACTTTACTCAAAGCTCTACTACTGCCGAATTTGCACCCATAGCGTACACATTCAAGCTATAATTGTCATAATGTATTTACTCAAAGATGGGAATTTAATAATCTATCTCATTTTCTATACAAGTAGCTTCGTAAGTTATTAATCAGTTAATCAGAAGAAACACAATCATAAAAGTGTTCGTAGTATAGCTCATGGTATAGCTCATGGTATAGCTCACGGAAGCTTTTTTTTTATCTGGCATACTGAGCATATAGAATCCATCGGTAGGTGACGGCGCTCGCTATAGACTTCCCATTTAAAATTCCCCATTGCGCACTTGAGATTAATGGTATCTATTAAAGTAACTGAAAGTATGGAGCATATATGAATGGATTGATTCCTATTTGTTTCTAAAAGTAATTTTCTTAAACACACTTGATTAAAACTCAGTAATCAGCTTTGAATCAGTACCCAATATGTTGAGGTTCATATCTGCAGCTATGGACCAAGCTGCCTTGAGAAGTGCAAGATCATACGGACTTGGTTCCATCTATTATGGCTGTAAATTGGTGGCTGCGCTGAAGGCAATCAGGTCAGCTTCACAACTAGCACGCCCCCGTGTACTCCCGAAGTTAGATAATGAGCATGTTAAGAGTTTCTCCTTCTCAGAGCAAAAGGATTGGGATTTGTTGCGTGCTTCTATTACCAACTTGACTGACAACGGGGTGTTAGACATTCCATTAGTAATTGGTGGAGAGAAAATCTACAAGACAGAAACGCTTCCTCAAATCAACCCAGCTAAGCGTGAGCAGCAATTAGCTAACGTGTCACAGGCTTCTAAGGAAGATGTCGCTGCTGCCATTAATGCTGCAAAGGAAGCTAAAGATAAATGGGCAGCTATGCCATGGGTTGACAGAGCTTCAATTTTTTTGAAAGCGGCAGATTTGATTTCAACAAAATATAGGTATGACTGCTTGGCTGCTACTATGTTGGGTCAGGGTAAGAATGTTTATCAAGCCGAGATTGACTGTGTTGCTGAGCTTATTGATTTCTTGAAATTTAACGTGAAGTATGCTGAGCAATTATATGACCAACAACCCATTGAGACATCTCCTGGAGTATGGAATCGTGCTGAGTATCGCCCGTTAGAAGGATTTGTTTATGCTGTCACTCCATTTAATTTCACGGCCATTGCAGGTAATCTTGTTGGTGCACCTGTTTTGATGGGTAATACTGTCGTTTGGAAGCCTTCAGCAACCGCAGCTTTATCTAACTACATTTTGCTTAATATATTGGAAGAGGCAGGCTTACCCAAAGGTGTCATTAACTTCGTACCAGGTGAACCAAATGAAGTGACGGATGTGGTATTGAAAGACAAAGATTTTGCTGCCTTGCACTTTACAGGGTCTACTGATGTTTTTAAGAAATTATACTCAAAAATTTCTGATAATGTTGCCGCTGATAAGTATCGTGATTTTCCCAGAATTGTGGGAGAGACTGGTGGTAAAAATTTCCACTTGATTCACTCTTCAGCATCTGTTGATCATTCTGTTCTTTCCACCCTCAGAGGGGCTTACGAGTATCAAGGTCAAAAGTGCTCTGCCACATCGAGGTTGTATGTTCCAGAATCTATCTGGCCACAATTCAAAGAAAAATTGGTTAGTGCTATTCAGACAATTGAAATCGGAAACACTTCAGATCCAGCCGGCTTAAACGCATTTATGGGTCCTGTTATTCATGAACAATCGTTCGACAAAATTTCAGCTGCCATAGAAGAAGCTGAAAATGACTCTGAACTCACGATATTACAAGGTGGCAGAAGTGATAAATCTAAGGGATTCTATATTCAGCCAACATTGGTGCAAACCACCAATCCTAAACACAAGTTTATGTCCCAAGAATTCTTTGGTCCACTCTTGACTGTCTATGTTTATCCAGACAATCAATACGACTCAATAATAGAGACCATTAATACATCCACTAAATATGGATTGACAGGTTCCATTTTTGCTAGGGATCGTAATGCAATAAGATTGGCAGAAGAAGGACTTAGGTTTGCTGCTGGTAACTTTTATATCAATGATAAATGCACTGGAGCAGTTGTAGGTCAGCAATGGTTCGGAGGTGCCAGGGCTTCTGGAACTAACGATAAAGCAGGAAGCGGGAACATTTTAACAAGATTCACTTCTATAAGAAGTGTTAAAGAGAACTTTTATGAGTTGAACGATTTCAAATATCCATCAAACTACAAGTAAAAAAGATTAATTAAAAATTTATACTCGTCATAAGATTTGTTAGTTTGAAATTCGTAAATAAGAAATATATAATTGAAAGCATTCAGTCGAGAACGTATGCAACCACTTAGTTCTTACGTGGCGGTACGTAGCCCCCATTTCCTTGGTTGAAATAACCTTGAGGTGGACCTAGCGGCACCTGAGACCTCGGGGGGCCACTAGGTCCTATTATTCTTCCCAACCCATGGCATACTGGGCAAAGGTCCTCATCAAGAAAGAAATGAACTAAGCCTGAACCTCTGCATCTTCCACATAAAATACCACCTAATCTAGGATCCCCTGGTGGCACTCTCACTGGGGGTAAATTGCTCTGTCCCACAAAATTTGTTGGACGAATATATTCTGTCGTAGATCCAAAGAAGCTATCTAAAAGACCAGATGATGAGACTGCATTATAAGGGTTTCTTGGACTGAACATTTCCCAACAGTCTTTGCAAGTTTTTCCATTTCTTAGTTTATAGCCCGTATTCTGACATTTTTCACATAAGTATCTCCGAGGATATTTAAAGGGTAATTCTGGGTTTGGATTATAACTATTATCATTCAAATAAAATTTCTGCCAACAATCTCTGCATATTTTCCCATTCTTTATCTTGTAGCCAGTATTCTTGCATTTTTGGCAAAAATAGCCTCTAGTATAATGAAACGGTAAGTTAGCGCTGTTACCGTACAACGATGACGACGATGACGCTTGCAGTGCCTCTGGACGTTGAGAATCTACTTGCAGTACACTCGAGGGTCTTGGTGGGCGAGCTGGAGGTCTTGTAGGTCGAGGAGGTGGAACTGATAGTGAGGGTCGCGAGTATGAAGCGTCCGAATCTGGTGTGGAAAGTCCATGATAAGAATTGTTCTTAGATTCACTTATGACTTCATCGTATGATGGAGGTGGCTCAGACGGACTATCATTATCTATCCTATGAGACATGGGAATATAAATGGATAATCAATTATTATATTTCGATGATCATCTAATTGAGATACTTCACAGATCACTATTTATCCTTCCATTGCGCGTGATTCAAAAAATACTCAAATTCAACAATAATTCAATACAACTGAGTATATAAAATTGTCGAATGGTCTAATATAATCCAAGTTGTTATAATTCAATGATTTGGTTATCGGAAAGACAAAGTAAGTATTTGAATGATGATTGAGTACTTAGACTCTCTCCAACAGACCGTCTCGAATACTAATATAAATCAGAATTTGGTGTTGGTTTCACCGCAGGTGGATTCTTCTTTTTTATCTTTGGAATCATTACATTTTTTGATTCTGGATTGCTTGCATTGGGAAACATATTGTTTATTATAGGTCTCATATTGATAATTGGGCCCCAGAGAACTGTAACGTTCTTTTCTAGACCGACAAAAATAAGAGGAACTATTTGCTTCGGGCTTGGAATAATATTGATTTTGATGAAAAGATCCTTCATTGGCTTTGTTTTAGAGAGTTTTGGCATACTAGGGTTGTTTGGAGACTTCTTTGGAACGATTGTACAGTTCTTAAGGTCAATTCCGTACATAGGCGATGTTTTAAGTCATCCAATTATTGCGCCAACCATTGACAGATTGGCTGGGGTGAACACTCTTCCAGTTTAAAATAGTGTTTAAGGCTTTGTTATTCTTGAAAGACTATCACTCAATATGACATGTGTGTCATTATCTTATACGCAAAGTATTGTCATCATTGTACAATTATTATCATGTTTGATAGAACTTAGATTTATATGCATTTATGTTAATATAATCGGTGGTAGAGAAGTTCTCCGTGTGATTTTGCCTCGTTATCGTCTTTCTTGTAGTAGTAGTCTTTTCTATCTTTAACATCGTGGTAATGCTGAAAAAAAAAAGAAATGATTTCGCCCAGGATCGAACTGGGGACGTTCTGCGTGTTAAGCAGATGCCATAACCAACTAGACCACGAAACCTTTTCTTGATTTTTG